CTCAAGAAGTGAGTCCAACTTATTCTGAAGAACATTTATATCGATCTTGAGAGTGGATTGGCGCTGTCTAAGAACATTCAGTGCTTGAGCAGCATGCACAAGATTTGTCTTCCCAACTTCATAATCATGAAGCGCCGTTGCAACGTTAGGATCCATCTGATCAATTCCATAATTGTCAACCAAAATCAGCAATCGCATATGGAGTCTAAATCTCGATTGCTAGACCTAAACAAAAAAAAAACGTTCTCTGACATAGTAGCTCTGATGGAGCAAAACCTAAATCACTTCCATCAGTGGTGATGATCAGTCCCATAAATGTTTAACCAAAATCAGCAACGGCACAATAGATGGAATCAAGAGGTAAACAAAGCAGAGTAACTGTCAAGAAATCAATGGCTAACAGATATGATGGAGCAAACCCTAAATCACTTTCATCAATGGCGATATCAGTTCCAGAACTGTTTAACACCAAAATCAGCAGAGTCTAAAATCACGAGAGGTAAACACCGGAGTATCTATCGAGAAATCAATCGCAAACAGCTCTGATGAGAAAAAACTAAATCAACACTTACCTTTCAACAATGGCGGATGGAGAGATTTGGGAGTGTTGAGGATATTAATTACTTAGTCAACAAGTAATTAATTTCTTGTCCTTCAAGTCCCTTGTTTCCTTGTCCTTGTCAAATAAGGAAACTTGGTTGTCGTTAGGGTTTTAACCCTAGTCTATCTCTATATAAGACTTAGCTACGAACCTGTCGTAAGCAAGCCGTCACAATGTAGTCCTTAATAAAATCGTCTCGTGAGCTCTTCCGAGCTCACTGTGGATTAGTCTCGATCAATCAATCGACCGAGGATACCACGTAAAATCGTTTGTCTGGTGTTCTTGTTATTCCGCATTATCAAATTCTATAGGGAGAGAACCGAAGACGAGAGGAACAACGATGGGAGGAATGGAAGGTTGGCCGAGGCAGGAGCTGTAGGTGATGGACGAAAGGATGCAACTGTGAGATTTGTGAGAGATAAGCACTGGATTGGGGAACTAAAACGGAGGGAGACGCAGGCACACCAGTCGGATAAAACGGAGGGAGACGCAACAGGGATTGAGGGAAGACCCAGGAAGGAGCCTTGGACAAACTGGACATGGCGAGAGGTAAAAAGCTTGCGCTGCACTGGATCATAGCAACGATAGGCACTTTGAGATAGAGACTAGCCAAGGAAGAGACACGGGCTGGGTCGAGGGGCGAGCTTGTGGGGAGGATAGGCGAAGCCATTGGTAAGAAACACAGCAGAAGGAAGGAGTTTCGGGTAGCTGGGCTGGGATATTGGCGATCGAGGGAGGTAGAGGGCGAGCGATTCCTCCACACATATAAGGAGGTTATCCTCCAGATCCCTTTCTGTTTTTCCTGTGTTGTGCGCATAGTACGGAAGGGTGTCTCCGTCTTTTTACTAAATAAACTTAAATAAAAAAGACAAATCGTTCCATTAAGTGGGCCGAGCCTGCATGTTTGTTGATCTTTGGGTTCTTGAGATCAATTTAATTAGAACGGAGTTTGTGCTGAGAAATAAAACAAAAAAAGTTGGCGGCAGGTAAGGAAATTTTCTCCACTTTTGTTACACTCAATTAAAGACAATACATATTTTTATGCTTATTTTCAGCAATCTACTATAGTTAGAAGTTGGTTTTATTTTATATGGTTTTAAGAACACTTCATTTAATATGACTAATAATTGTATGGGTTGGTTGTGATGTCCTTCGGATCAAGGAACTATATCAGTAGAGATGTTCCCAAATCATAATATTATTATTTAATAATCAACTGATGGTATGAAACTCGGAATGCGTTAGGGTGGCAACTAAAATTTTTTAGTAGCCACCGTGGCTACATCACTATCTGCCGTCCATTTTTATTCTTTTCCTCTTTTCTTAATCTCGCAATTAAATTTGTTTCATGGTAATTTTGAAAACAAAAAATAGTCAACACCTGATTATTGTATATATTCTACCCAAACCCTAATCTACCATCTCTCCAACTGAATCCTAGACGACGCCGACTACCCGCCCCCTCTCTCTCTCCTCCCCACCCTCCCCTCTCTCCCCCCACCCTGCTATCTCCTCTTCCCCTCTCCCCCCCCCCCCCCCCCACCTCCTTCGCTCCCTTGCCAATTGTCATCTCCTCCGCCCCTACACCTACATCTCATACAAAAAATTAAGGGTTAATACCTTAGTTTGGCCCGAACTATACACATACTTTCTACTTTGGCCCGAATTATTGAATATTGCTACTATGGCCTGAACTATGTAGCAAACTTCCTCATTTGGCCTGGAGGCGCGTTTGACCGTCAAAACAGACGGTCAACCAAGTTGACCGTTAGTCAATATACACATCAGCTGCCACGTATACATTAAAAATTATATTTTTTTTTTTACAAAAAATAAAAAATAAATTAATAACTCTAAAAAAAAAGGAACGGAAAATATAAAAAAAAAAAAACCACAGCCACCCATCTGAAAAGGAAAGAGTTCACCCACCGGAATCACCTGCGTATATATATATATATATATATATATAAGTAGACGGAAACAGAGTGAACCTCACATTACGAATTCCACGAAGAAATTGGCAAGCTTTTGGGGCGTAGAAGAATCCCCAAATAGGCAAAAAGCGAGCGAGAGAACTCGCGAGCTTTTCGTCGCCTCCTCGATTTCAATCGTCCTTGGAGTAAGCAATGTCGCCGTTATGGAAGCAAACAAGCCTCCTCCGCCGCGGCCGGGGCATTCTCGGAGACCAGTCCGTCCACCCCGCGCCAGAAAAATCGCGACTGCTCGGCGACGGCGGCGAGAAGGAGGCTAGCGTCGAGAAGGAAGACAAAGCGGCTGCGGCGTTCGATTCGCGTCGTCGCAGCGGCGGAGGCGTTCGATCGATGTTAAAGAAGCTGCTGCTAATAGGCGGCGGTAGGGAGAAGAAGGGAGCGCATCTGGCGGTGTACATCGGCGAGGAATTGCGGCGGTTCGACATCCCGATCGAGTACTTCCGTCACGAAGGGTTCGCGAGGCTGCTGCTGGAGTGCCGGGACGCGGACGCTCTGGATTTCAACATCAACCTGCCGATCGAGATCGAGTCGTGCTCGGTGGAGAGGTTTCACCGGATTTGGAGAGGCGCCGTCGAGGAGGAGGCCGACGCGCTCCGTCGTCGGCGGTGGCTGTGGGTTTTTTTTATTATTTTCCGTTCCTTTTTTTAGAGTTATTAATTTATTTTTTATTTTTTATAAAAAAAAAATATAATTTTTAATGTATACGTGGCAGCTGATGTGTATATTGACTAACGGTCAACTTGGTTGACCGTCTGTTTTGACGGTCAAACGCGCCTCCAGGCCAAATGAGGAAGTTTGCTACATAGTTCAGGCCATAGTAGCAATATTCAATAATTCGGGCCAAAGTAGAAAGTATGTGTATAGTTCGGGCCAAACTAAGGTATTAACCCAAAAATTAATCCCCTCCCTTTCTTTCTCTCTCTCTCCCCACCTCCTTCTCTTCTATTGTTCTTCTGCATCTCCTCGGGCCAAAATCAACGGCTGGGAAAGAGGTAGCTTTTGTTTGTATTGGTATGTATTTTGTTTGTATTGATAATGATTTTTTAGTAGTAGTAGTGTTTTTTTCTATTGGTATTTTTTTCGCAATGATATTGTTGTTTGGTAGTGATGTAATTGTATTGGTATTGGTTTGCATGTATTGGTATTGGTTAATAAGTATCAGTGTTTTTATGGATTGATATTGTTTATGTCGCATTGGTATTGATTATCATGTAATGGTATTAATTTGTATGTATTGGTATTGATTAAATCTGCAATGGTATTGATTTTTTTTGAAATGGTATAGATTTATATTGGTAGATTGTTTATATTGGTAGTTTTCGTGTAATGGTATAGATTTATTTCTGCAATGGTATTGATATTTTTCAAAGTGGTAGTGATTGTCTAATGGATTGATAGTGATTTTCGTTTTTTTTTTCTTTTGCAGAAAGATTGAGAAAAATAAGGAAAGGAAATCTTGATGGAGATTACGGAAGTGAGAGAAAGAGAAAGAATCGTAATTAATAGATTTTTGTAACTGTCTAAAATGTAATTTATTAAGAAAATTAATCAATACAATTTATTTTTCCATACCCAATTTACCATTAGTAACTATGGTGATTACTACTTTTGACTCTGATCCGGCGGGACCTGGCAATCCGGTTGGGAACTTCGGTTACGGGTCGGGTCATGTTTGGTTGGCTTATTTCAGGTCAAATATTGACCCATCCCATTCGTTTCGGGTCGGGTTACAGGTCATTTCGGGTTATGAGCATTCTCAGAAACAATATCAAACATGCTTCATATTTTCTTAAAGAACACAAATTTTCACATATGCATGACAATAGTTTACCTAACACATGTCAATTAACATATTTTCAAATCCTCCCACGCTAATGAAATGAAATATAAATTGTGCAAATCGTCAAAAAACAATCACAAGAGTAATACTGCTACAAGAAACACATGATATTTGATTGTCCTTAAACTCCAAACATGTCATTCAAATCCTTGTGATTTTTTTTAAACATCTCACCAATTTATGAGTGATTTTATCTTATTTTAGGAGTAATATATTAAATGAAACGGGTCTAACGGGTCGACCCGCTAACCCACCCAACCCGATCCAAAAAATCACAGGTTATCGGGTTCGGATCATTTGGATTTCAGATTACAAAAAATCATAGTTTCCGGGCGATTTCGGGTCGGGTCAATAGATCGGGTTGTAATTTGCCAGGTCTCGGGAGAAGAGAACAAACTAACAGCTAGGTTGTTAACAAACATAGGCAGCTGAAAAATGCTAACAAGTACAGGGCATGGGAAGGAGAAAACCAATCGCATTCGGTTGGTTAGCAAAACCGATTGTGTTCCGTCGGTTCGCAAAAAAGCATCGATCGGCATTGTAAACAAATATTAATGACACTTTCTTGATCGTCACAGAAAACCAAGGATAATTTTTTAGTATATAATTCAAATTCGCCCAAATTACATGCATCATAGTTTTGGAAGTTTGAAGCATCTAGTATACAGAACAAAAGTTGCTTCAAGTTCACTGCATTGCATCACAAATTTCTTGCTTCTGGGTCATAAAGCTGTAAGCTCGAGCTTGAATCCTGAAAGTTTATCTAAACTAAACAAACAGCTACCTAACTTAGTGCGGACTCCTCATGTCAACTAGACACGGCAACTCTTGGCTAGATGATCGCAGTCTTTATAAACTTCTAAACCTGGCTGCCCCAATTCTTCTTCTTTGAAGCATGCGCATCGCCTGCTCATTTTACCCGTCAAAGCAATCTCCATTGGTCGCTGCACTAACCTCGGGAACCCATCATCACACCACACCTGCAACCCAATAGAAACATGCCCATCACCACACTTCTTTGAACTTTCATTGTTAGAACATGGAGAAAACTAAGTACTACTTCAAATATATCATTTTCATACCTCCCCACCCTCGTCTTGACTCCACCTGGAGTTGCAACTGGTTTGTTTGGCTTCTTCCTTCTTCTGCTTCTCCGCGAGCTGCTTGCCTCTTGCTGCCTTTGCTTCGACACCTTTCAGTGATTTCGTGGGATTTCCATGTTCATCGTAGTAAGGACCGACCAGCTTCCCCACAAACCTAGCAAGTTTAATTTTAACAAACATGTAAATAAAACATTTTCTTGCAGACATTTGAATATTTTGCATCAAGTGTCTACTAGAGAGGGTACATGTTCCTGGAGTTCAGGTTACCAAACTCAAATGATTCAACTTTTTGTAAGTGTGTGAAGAAGTGAAAATAACTCCACTGGATCTCATGTTACCAAACTCAATCTATTAAATACTTTTCCTGGCAGTGGTTTCATTGCAGAAAATGTCAATTTTATAGGTAACAGCAAGATAGCTGCAGGCATGTAATATGGATCATTCTCAAATGTAGTAAGTTATTCTTAGAAGACGCATATACGAGAAAAACTGTACAACTTACGTGTATGTTCGAAAATAGAAGTCTCTCCATTCAACAATACTCTTGACCTATCAAAACCCACACAGCCAAATCACATCTTTAACAACCCTGTTCTTTGTATCAGAAGAAAACTGGTTGACCAAATAGAAAACTGAAGTAAGATACCAGGAAACAGGAGAAGGGAATGGACAAATTTCCTGTTACACTTACCAAATTGCTGCAAGATAGAGCGAAGGTTCTTGGAACGATAGCAAGTATAAAGATCAAGTCAAATATACAACTCTGTGAGTCTCTGCTATGATCAAAGATTCTTCAATACAATGCCATGAAGAACTCTTTTGAAGCTCTCTAGATTCAGACTTGCATTAAAGTTTTGACAGTCAATATGTCTGATATGACAAGTTTCAAATCTGGTTGAGATCCTGGAAAATCAATTGTGCCATAGGACTTTAATTTGAAGCTTGGTATGGGAATCAGTTCATAGAAGTAGTCCACAGCACACAGAGGTCTTCTTCCCCAAACATTCAGGGCATTTTGCGTTTTTATGCCATTGAATCTATCTCGTATTTACTGTCAAAAGTAGACCTCATACCAGTGACTTCTTAGGAGTTCACATGCTAACGACCATTGTGATACCTAATCACTTCTAGACAGAATTCCACAAAAAGGATTTCAGCGAGAGAGATTACCTCAGTGGTGGACAAGCCACGGACAGAGTCTGTCAGCCCATCTCCTGCAAAGGAAACATTTTAAAGTTAATTTTGTAATAAGCTGGGATGACATTTTTGTAACACAAGGTAACAAAGAAGGAAAATCTCCATTGGTGGTAAATTGCAGTAGACAAATACTTCATAGCCTTTCTACTGCAAGCATTAAGGGGTGTAGAATAGGGATTTTTCATGGATATTCGGGTAACCAGAGCCCAGAACTACTTAATAGCGCATTTGGAAACTTTAGAACCCTAATAAGTATCAAAGCCTTGCTTCAAGTAGCACTTAACACAAGAAGTTGAGTTTTAGTTATGCTGCTGTAAAGTGGTCAAGTAAAACAAAATTACCTGTAAAGTTCCCAGAAACAAATGCTCGCGAAGCATCCCTATGCTTGCAAAGAACACAGAGAGCAAATGAGTCAGTAAAGGATATAGTTAAGTACATTGCTGATTGAGTGGCCAAATACAACATATCAAGCATATTGATAAAGACTTGCGGTAGAAAGGAAAACCCGAATGAACAATGACAACAGACAACCAAGATATGATATGCCGTGCTAATCGTGGTAAAACACTGAAAGTGCAAAGCAGCATTGCATCTAAAGAGCTCAAGGTAGGTCAAAGCAACCCATACTTCAAACCAGGTAACCATCAGAGTTGTGACCCTAATCAAGCAAACTGCTGAGAATGTATCTAACTAAACGTATGCAGCAATCGATCTGTCTCCCATAACATCCAAACGTTTTTTGAACGACTGACGAAATTGACAAAGAAAGGATAAATTAACAGACCTTCCAGCGAAATGATTGTAGCCCCCTCCAACTCCATAATGAGATCTTCCTTTGGTTACATCGAACACCGAACTACATAAACCCCAAACATAAAACAGCAAATTCGCAGTAAAGAAGACAAAATCACTGAAGCTCGCCCCATGATCTTCCTAATAAAATGCGCAAAACATACCCAAGGATGCCGAGAAGAATGGGTAATGTTTCGTCGGTCCCGTTGTACAGAGCAAGCTCCTCGACAGTGAAGAGTCTCTGGCGAATTGGCAACAGGCAAGTTAAACCGCCAAGTCAAACATAAACGGGAGTGGGCGAAATGAAGTAAATGAAGAAGAAGAAATGGCGGTGGTGGCGGGAAGCTTACCTGGGGTCGCTGCAGAAGCGAATTGAAGTTGAAGGAGGAGAAAGTGGAACCGAGATTGAGTTGCAGCGGGGAATTGAAGAAAAGAGCGGCAGTTAACGTGCCGAGAATAGCGATCCCCACAAACGGAGATTGCAAAGCTCTTTTCACTGCGTTGGACATTTCCCCCCTTCTTCCTCTCTCTCTCTCTCTCCCTCTCTTCTTAACGACTCATGGAGTCGCCAAGACAGCCAGCGATTGCTGCTTAAGTGGATAATTATTATTATGAATTGATATTTTAAGTGGCGTAAATGAATGTTAATTGGGCTTACATACAAAATAAGGACTTAGGCCTGGGCCTGGGCCTGGGCCTGGGCCTGATATTCTTTACAGTCAAGGTGTGGCGAGTTCGTCGGTACTGCCGACGTTTTCCGTGTCCGACTCGCTCTCGCCTCTCATCAACCGACTCAAACGCGGCATCCCAGAATCTATAAATTAGAACGCAGTCTCAAGTTTCTTGCCCATTGTTTCTCGTCATCGCAATTCGCACTTTCCCTGCTCGTAATTGAGAACCGAAAAGCCTGATCGCATTCGAAGCTTCCCTTTCAAGATCCGAAAGCCTGTTCTCGTTCCAAGCTCTTTCTCAAGGTAAACCTAGGGTTTCCCTCGCATCTTTATTCTGCTGCCAATCGTTCGGAGTTTGTACGTACGATCGGGCTTTCTTTGCGATACTGCCTAGCGAGTTCTGTGGTGATTCTGAATTCGATTCATTGGATTTCTCTATAGCGTGATTGATCGTATGGTTTTGAGTATTCACGTATGATCCTGATTCTTGAATCTGATATAGCTTAGGAGTTTTTCTCGGGATGTTGTAGAATTAAGAGATAGGTTAGCTAATCCATCGTGCTAGATGTGCTTTCCTCGTTTTTATGAAGAATCGAACAACTTCGTTTGTCTTGACTGTGATTTGTGTATAGTTCTGCTATTGAGTTCATTCATTCGGTTGATTGGGGCATCTTCCTGCCTCTCAAGTTGAATGCTAGAATTGGCTGATTCAAAGTAGTTTAGGGCTTCTTCTTTCATTCATGCAATCCATTGCCTTCTGGAATTTGAAAAATTTTAGTTTACATTTATCCTAATGGCTCTTTGCTAGTTAATCCGAACATGGTTATGGTCTCGTTTTAGTTCAGAATGTTCAGGTCTCTTGCATACACTCAGAAGATGCTTTTTGAGTTGGGTAGTGATTTCAATAGCTTTGTTGGATTAGTCTCTGGTTTACTTCATTGTTTCTGATCGTTTTTTTTTTTCTTCCTAATTGTTCAGATGCAAATCTTTGTGAAGACTCTCACTGGAAAGACAATCACCCTTGAAGTGGAAAGTTCCGACACCATCGATAATGTGAAAGCTAAGATTCAGGATAAGGAAGGCATCCCTCCTGATCAACAAAGGTTGATCTTTGCTGGTAAACAGCTTGATGATGGCCGTACTCTTGCTGACTATAACATCCAGAAGGAGTCCACTTTGCACCTGGTGCTACGACTTAGGGGTGGAATGCAGATCTTTGTGAAAACTCTCACTGGAAAGACAATTACCTTGGAGGTTGAGAGCTCAGACACCATAGATAATGTGAAGGCAAAAATCCAGGACAAGGAAGGTATCCCTCCTGACCAACAAAGACTGATTTTTGCTGGCAAGCAGCTCGAAGATGGCCGCACCCTCTCCGACTACAACATCCAGAAGGAGTCCACCCTTCACTTGGTGCTCCGACTTAGGGGTGGAATGCAAATTTTTGTTAAGACCCTCACTGGCAAGACCATCACACTGGAGGTTGAGAGTTCTGACACTATTGACAATGTGAAGGCGAAGATTCAAGACAAGGAGGGAATCCCTCCTGACCAGCAGAGGCTGATCTTTGCTGGAAAACAGCTTGAGGATGGTCGCACCCTGGCAGATTATAATATCCAAAAGGAATCCACCCTTCACTTGGTCCTCCGTCTCAGGGGTGGGATGCAGATCTTTGTTAAGACCCTCACTGGAAAGACAATCACATTGGAAGTCGAGAGCTCAGACACCATTGACAATGTGAAGGCGAAGATTCAAGACAAGGAGGGGATCCCACCTGATCAACAGCGGCTTATCTTTGCTGGGAAGCAGCTTGAGGATGGAAGGACCCTTGCTGACTATAATATTCAGAAGGAATCCACCCTGCATTTGGTCCTTCGTCTTCGTGGTGGTATGCAGATCTTTGTTAAGACCCTTACTGGGAAGACCATCACCTTGGAAGTGGAGAGCTCCGATACCATCGACAACGTGAAAGCCAAGATCCAGGATAAGGAGGGGATCCCACCAGATCAACAGCGGCTAATCTTTGCTGGGAAGCAGCTCGAGGACGGAAGAACCCTTGCTGACTACAACATTCAGAAGGAGTCCACCCTCCACCTGGTCCTTCGCCTCCGTGGTGGCATGCAGATCTTTGTTAAGACCCTCACTGGGAAGACCATCACATTGGAAGTTGAGAGCTCTGATACCATCGACAATGTGAAAGCCAAGATCCAGGATAAGGAGGGCATACCGCCGGATCAGCAGAGGTTGATATTCGCAGGGAAGCAGCTCGAAGATGGGAGGACACTGGCCGATTACAACATTCAGAAAGAGTCCACTCTGCACCTTGTCCTCCGCCTCCGCGGTGGCTTCTGAGGAAAGCCGAAAGCAGCTTGCTCGTGATGGACGGCAGTCGGCACCCTCTTGTGATATGATGACAGTGCTGTTATTTTGTTTGAACAGTTTTATATTTGTGGTTCTGCAATTGGTACTGTCTTCTTCTGGTTTTCGATGAACAATGTTTAGTCAGTGTGATTAGGTTTTTTGAGTGATAAGATTGTGCTCGAAACAGGGGAAAGAAAGAGTTGATTTTTGTGTTTGTCTATGCTTAATTTTCCCTTGTACTAGTGCCAATAAGTCTTGCTAGATCTTAATCACTTGTGATCTTCTTAAGGCGGTTCTCGTTTTCGGCTTTGAGAACTGAAACCTCTTGCGAAAACAAACTTTTCGAGTTCTGAAAATCAAAACCGAAACGCGATATATTAACGAGAAAGAGCAGTCACTGAATAACAACGCCGCAAATGCCCTTCATATATGCCAGTAAGCCATACTCTCGACTTCCTTCTCTGCTTTAAACGGCTTTGATTTTCCAGTTTACCTATGTAAAACGGGTCAGAGTGGACACAGTTATTAGTCACTTACTAGTTAGCTCATTGCACTATCAAAAAAACAGAGTCCCACTTTCTACCCCAGTAAACATCAACCGAGTCCACTGCAGCAAGTGGATGTGAGCTTTAATGGCGAGGAAGAAAAATCCTTTCAAGTCCCAACCACACAAATGTATCCACCGAGTCCACGGCCACAGTCACAAGTCTTCCCCAACTCCAACGAATGCCCATTCTTCCACGCGGAAAATTAAATTCTGGCAATGGAGTCTTCTTCACTAAGAACCCAAAAAAAGGGGGCAAAGTAGGAGCTCCTTTCAGTTCCCCCATCTGGTATATAAGTCCAAACAACTTCAACCGAAAGTCACATATCTCATCTTTCCCCCCCAAGTTTCTCTTTTTCCCTTGTTGGAATCCGATGGGTTGCCACCGGACATGGTTTCTGCAGCTGTTGGCGGTGTTCCTCCTGTGGAGCAGTACGTCGGCGGTCTGCCGGAAAAACATGGCCCGAGCTCAGGGTAAGAAGGCACTCCGGGTTGCTGCAGGGAAGCCTTCCTTCAAGATCGCCATTTTCGCCGACCTCCACTTCGGCGAGAACGCCTGGACCGATTGGGGACCCTTACAGGATGTCCTTTCCACCGGCCTCATGTCTTCGGTTCTCGAGGAACAAAAGCCAGGTGGGTACTGTGCTGAATCGTAGTCAATATCGCGTTTTAACACTTATAGTCACCAAAACGCTTCTGCGTAGTATTGTAGTCAAAATTACGCTTTAAAGTTTACATTTTTAGGCTTTTAACTCATTAAAACGCTTAAATCGCAATTTTCACTGCATTAACGGTGCTGAATAGGAGTCCACTTGCTAATGGCGATTTTTTTTTTTTTTTAATCTCTGGGGTTTTGCTAATTCCCTTTGATGTTGGCTTTCCCGCTAGATTTCGCGGTGTACTTGGGCGACGTAATCACGGCGAACAACATGGCGATTGCGAACGCCAGCGCTTACTGGGACCAAGCCATTGCTCCGACCCGCGACAAGAGAATACCGTTTGCGACCGTGTTCGGGAACCACGACGACGCAAGATTCGAGTGGCCGATGGAGTGGTTCTCCCCGCCGGGAGTCCCCAAAGTCAGCTGCCCGGCGGCGGCGGGAGCCGGCGACTGTAGCTTCAGGGGAACGGGTCGGGTGGAATTGATGAGGAAGGAAGTGGAAAGGAACAGGGAGCTGTCGTTTTCAGCAAGCGGTCCGAATTCCCTGTGGCCGAGCGTGTCGAATTATGTGGTGCCGGTGGGTTCTTCCAGCGGCAGCGGATCGCCGGTTTTGTTGATGTATTTTCTGGATTCCGGCGGCGGTTCGTATCCCGGCGTTATTTCCGGTGCTCAGTCGGACTGGCTTCAGGCTAAGTTTAGAGAACTGAATCCCGACGGCAGGTAACTTTTGTTTCTTTCTCAGTTCGGCGTTTCATTAGGCCCACTGGGCCCAGAAGTTGGGATGTAATTACACATTAGGAACGTGGGCCTAATCGATCCATAGAAGTTTACCATAAACTGAAATTTTGGATAATTTCCTAAATGAGTCCATTTGATTCCATTATCTATCATTTTGAAATACTAGTCTCTTCTGAGTTAATTTTTTTTTGATCAAAGGAAGGCAGTGCCTCCTCTCAATTTATTAAGATATCTCTAGGCTCTGAAAGGCCCTGCATGTCATACAAAAGTAGGTGGTTCAGACAGCTATGGTCGATTGGGGTACAGTGGAGATTAATATCAAGGGTATGTCCCAAGTTGGCCAGAAAATCAGCACATTTATTCCCTTCCCTGTAGATGTGTTTGATGTCGACTTCCCACTCCCTCGAGATCAGCTCATGAGCTCTACTCAGCACCCCGGCTTGGGCGTGATCCCTGTAGCCCGTATCCTGGAGGAGCTTCACTGCCACCTGCGAGTCGAGTTGGAGCTGCACTTTTCGATAACCCTCGTCCCAGGCCCTTTGAAGTCCCATTGCAGCTCCCCGGAGCTCAGCTGTGGTGATAGAACAAACTCCCAAATTGCAGGCAAATGCTCCCAAACAACGACCATCCTGGTCCCTGAGTAAACCTCCTGCAGAGGCGCTCCCTGAACTTTGTATGACCGATCCATCGCAATTGATAGCTACCCATTGCCGTGGGGGAGGATTCCAAGCTATCTCACCATTCTGTCGCGGAGGGCCGGGTGTGTGATGCAACGCCTGATCCTTCTCCATCGCATCTCTGATAATCACAATCCATTCATTGATCCGTCTCATGAAACCAGCCTTAGTAGTTTCTTTCCCGTTGAAAACACGCTCATTACGAGCCTTCCAGAGCGCCCAGCAGGTAGCGCCAAATCGCAGGCTGCGATCAGGTTTACTGAGGTTCTCCTCCAGCCACTTGTTGCAATCTGCAGCGAAAAAACCAGGTTGTTTTTCTGGTTCTATGGTGTCGCACCAGACTTCCCTTGCTAAATCACAGTCTCTGAGTATATGTATCACTGACTCCACTTGATCACCACATCTGCTGCATTTGTCCGAGCTGGAGAGATGTCTCCGTTGTCTTTCAAGGTTTGTCAGGAGCCTTCCTTTGACCGCAAGCCAGAGAAAATACCGGATCTTGGCAGGCCCCCGCCATTTCCATACGAGCTCCCATTTTCCCTGTTGATTATTCGCCTCATAGTTGGACACAATGTCGTAAGCTGTGCGGATTCTAAATTTCCCATCTGATTCAGGACCCCAGATTGGGAGATCCTCTCCTGCATCCGGGCGGGGTGGTTGGACACCAACAATTTTGCGCACCATCTCTTCCGGCAGGAGCCTCCTCATCCTCTCCAAATCCCAATCCCCGCTAGCTTGAACAAAGCTGGCCACACATTGATCCTCTTCCAGCTCGTCATCCTGAGGTAGAACATGGTCAGCCAGGCACTCCCCATTCCCCAGCCATCGATCAGTGAAGAATGAAGTGGATGTTCCATCTTTAATTGCCATTTCCATACCTGCCACCATCACTGGCCATGCGCGTTGCATACCCCGCCAAAGATTGGACTGTCTTGATGATGCTTTAGGCCTCAAGTTACCCCCCCTTACTCTGAAATACTTTGACTGTAGAACTTGAACCCATAATTCTTCCGGGTTCTTCAGAAATCGCAGTTCAGCTTGGTGAGGTAAGCTAAATTTAGCTCGTGAGCTTTCCGAAGTCCAAGCCCGCCATCTTCTTTCTTCTTGCAGATTCCCTCCCAGTGAACCAGGTGAATTTTCCTTGCTTCTGGGGTAGATCCCCAAATAAAACCTCTGATCCTCTTATCAATTTCGTCGCAGATAGTGATAGGCAAGAGTGTTGTCTGCATAGCATAGATCGGGAGAGAGCAAAGTACTGAAATGGCTAGAGTGACTCTTCCACCAAGCGTTAGATTCCGAGCTTTCCAACCTGAGAGTTTAGAATTTATTCTGTCCAGGATGTATCGATAAGTGTCCTTCGTAACTCGCCCGTGCAACACTGGAACACCCAGATATCTCCCAAGGTCTTGAGTAGCTGGCATTCCCAATATGCTCGCTGTACTAGAGCTGGTGGTGCGGTTAGTATTCTTTGAGAAAAATACCACCGATTTCTCCCTACTAACAAGTTGTCCCGAGGCTTGACAGAAAGTGTCGAGGCACTTCATGATCACTTCAGCTTGATTCGTGCTAGCTTCAGCAAATAATATTAGGTCATCAGCGAAGAAAATATGGGACAATTGTGGTCCTCCAGGATTCAGGCGGATTGGCTTCCATTTCCCCTGATCGATGGCCTCACGAATAAGGTGACTGAGCTTCTCCAAACAAAGAGTAAATAGATAGGGTGACAACGGGCATCCCTGCCTAAGTCCTCTAGAAGGTTTGAACTCTTCCGTATGCTGACCATTCCAAATGACCTGCATCGTAGGTGAGGTAATACAAGCCATAATAGCATCCGACAGTTTCGATGGTAGTCCTATCTCAGTGATCACCTCCTTGACGAACTTCCAGCTCAACCTGTCATAAGCTTTAGATAAATCGATCTTCAGTGCCATCTGTCCCTTGTTCCCCTTCTTCAACCCCATGGAATGAACTACCTCTTGCACTATGATAATATTATCCGATATGTGTCTGCCAGGTACAAAGCTTGTTTGCGTCGGATGCACCAGATTCCCCATCAAAGGTTTAATCCGGTTGACCAGACATTTCGCCAAGGTTTTGTACGCCACATTGCAAAGACCAATGGGGCGAAACTGGAGAAGGGATTCAGGGGCTTCTTTCTTAGGGATGAGGACCAGTAAGGTTTCGTTTACCTGAGAGATGACAGCTGGTTCTCTAAAGCATTCCTCCACGAGATTGACCAGGCTATCCCCCACTGTGTCCCAGCAGCGTTTATAGAAAATCGGCTGATACCCATCCTTTCCCGGAGCTTTTAGGTTCCCCATGCTTTTGATAGCTTGGACAATCTCTTCTCTAGCTATAGGACGTTCAAGTCCCGCGCAGGCAGATGTAGATAAAGCTGTGAATCCCTTGGGTAACCATGGGGAAACTCCCAGTTCAACTTGGTAGAGGGCTTTGAAGAAGGATACCGCCATTTCTCGCAGTTCAGTCTCATCAAAAGTCCATTGCCCTTCGCTGTTCTTCATACCCATAATGCGGTTAAAACGTCGGCGTTTGAGGGTTGACAGGTGGAAGAACCTTGTGTTACGATCCCCTTCAACAATCCAAGTAGCTCTGGATTTTTGGAGCCAAAATACTTGCTCCTGCCAGAGAGTTGTTTCTAGTTCCCGGCGGGTATCCTCCTCGGCGCAGTGCGACTCCTCGGTGGGGGACGTCTCATTCTTCTTTTCAATTTGTCGAAGACGTCGCGCTAATCTCCTCTTCCGTTGGAGTATATGCCCGAACACCCTTCGATTCCACACCTGCAAGGCCTTGGTAAGTTTCCCAAGAGAAGTCGGTAGACTTACGGAGTGATTCCAGTTTGCCTCCATAACCCGCTGGAAATCCTCATGGAATAGCCAGGCCGCTTGGAAACGGTAAGGTCGAGGAGCTCTGATGTTGTTGGCACCCCCCTCCGCTTGGATTAGAATGGGCCTATGATCCGACCCAATTCTCTCAAGGTGGGTATTAGTAGTTTTCGGGAATTTGAGGAGCCATTTTCTGTTGCACAAGGCCCAATCCAGTCTTTGTTGGAGAATCCCCCGTCGCCAAGTAAACCGAGGCCCGGAGAACCCCACATCAAACAGTTCACATCCATCAATACAATTCCTAAAAGCCATGCTGCGAGACTCGTTGTAATCAGCTCCCCCTGTACGATCCCTGGGCCCTAGGATTGAGTTAAAATCTCCCGCAAGAAGCCAAGGTAGTTTTATGTTCCTGGCCAATCTCTGAATTTCAGACCATAAATCTGCCCTTCTCGCCGCTGTCGGGCTGCCATAACACGCAGAGATCATAACTGCTTGGTTCGAATCATTTCTTTTCTCGCATTGAAAATGGATCATCTGTTCCCACACTGAGATGGGCGAAATTCTTAGATCCTGCTGCTGCCAAAGAACCCAAATGCCACCGGCAAAACCAATGGCCTCTGTAACCAACACACCATCGAAACCCATTCTGGCAATGACCTGCTCAGCAGCGGCACCACTAATTTTGGGTTCGATAATAATTAGAATATCCGGCCTAGAAGGCCTGTAAAAAGACTCCAAAGTAGGAAGAAACACATCCTTTCCTGCCCCCTGGCAGTTCCACGCAAGAACACTTAACATGGAGAAGTGTTAAAAGGTGAAACTTACCCCGCCGTCAGCCGGGCTGACAATCAAGAGCCGGTACTAGGGGTTCTGGAACCCCCTTCCCTCATAGGGGTCGTGTCTTGTTTCCCAGGTGGTGCAGTTGTGCAAGGCTGCTTCACCCCAACTAGCGATGATTCCTCTCTGTTCTCTTTTCCGCCCGGTGCAACGCCTATGCGGGTCACCGGGTTCTCCGAAGGACATGTACCCTTCCCATTTCTCTTCATACCTTTCTGGTCTGCGTTTATTTTCGATTGGTCTTTCTTTGTCACCCCTTTGTTGGCATGCATAGCGGTACTAGGTGTCGCTTTGATATTCTGGGATTTGGTCGACAGGGCCATCCCCTGCTTGATGGGAACATCAACAAGGCCAGTCTGTTGTGGTGGGTCCACTAGCATTTGGGATGTCCGAGCACGTAACGCGCCCTGGTCATCCATAGCCTTTCCTGAGCCAATGGTGTTAGGGTCATCATCGAGTGTCTCAGTATTGCCCACCAGATTTACCTCGGTTTCCTCCACTGCTAGGCCTTCAAACCTTGAACCTGAGCTGATCTTGCCTGCTGGAGTGTCCGCAACCCCGTTAGGCTGCTGAGATTTGGGGAGTTTGTGCCTCTCTGCAGAGCTGCCATGTTTCTTGTTAGTCTTCCCCCTAGACTTGGCTATCATCCAGTCGCCATACAGAGGGTTTGAAGGCTCCGCCACTTTCTCAGCCGGGGGATCTTCAACCATGGGGGCTGGTGTCTTCGCAAGTAGGGGGCAGGTCTTGCTCGAGTGACCGTATCTGCCACATTCGCCACAAATTGTATGTAGCCCTTCGAACTCTATGTAGTACGTTTTCCCCTCGATCTTATATTGCGATAGTAGGGGTTTCGTTAGATCAACCTCAACGCTGACTCTAGCGAAACGACCAATAGCACATTCCTTGGTTGCGCGGTCTACCCTGACTGGTTTGCCAATCCGTGAGGCTATACGCTCAACCGCTTCTTCGTTGAAAAATTCCACAGGGAGACCCGGAAGCCTAGCCCACACCATGGTTCTCGCAACTTCCGCCGTTTTGGGATCAAAATTTTTCCGCCATGGCCGAACAGTAAGGTAGTATTCACCTATCATGTAAGGCCCGCCCACAGCTGCTTGTTCATAGTCAATCTGACTAGCGAACCTAACTGCATAAAACCCCCAGGCTAGACTAGTTATCTGAATGCTGCCACATTTGGCCCACAGGTATTCCAGCCGCCTTGATAGGATGGGAAAAGGAAACGTTTTCCCTAAGACCTTAACGATCAGGGCTGAACGCCATTTACGCCTGTATCGTAGCTTTTCCATTGATGTGAAAGGGATGGTAGGGCAAGTCGGGTCATCATTTTCAAGAACTTCATCGTCCAAATCATCCTCTTTCAGTGCCATAGCTACGTCTTCGGAATCAGAGTCTGCAACGTACCATGAGTCCTCCGTTAGCATGTCGCTAAACAACTTCTTCTTCGTCCCTGCCCCCCAAGCTGATTGCGGAGCAGATCTCGGGCTCACAGCTTGGCTGCCGTCGACATTCTCCGTCTCTCTAGGTTGTTGCACAGTAGTAGAATCTTCCATCATCGGATCTGGTTCATAGGTCGGGTTCTCTCGGACGTTTTTCGCTTTCTTCTTGGGATGCTGCGCCTCCTTTTCGTCCCGGCCATTTGGAGACGAAGACATCACCGGTGAACGCCTTTGCCCACCGTTGGGGTCTGGTGGACGCGATGCGGGGGGCTGGGCCTTCTGGCCGGCGCCCTGCATGAGCCGGTATTGCGCTGAAGACTCGCCGATCACGATACCGCCGTCTCCGAAAAATTCGGAGCGCTAGGGTTTCTTCAAAAGACGTATTCGACTTACCCTCTGAGTTAATTTAAATTAACGCAAATTGAAACAATTCAAATTGTCTTAGCTCAATTATGCTTCTTTTATATTTGGTATTATCAAAACAAGACAATTTGATCCAATTGCTTCATTTTGATGGGCATGTTCATAATTATAATTGTGGGTGTTATGAACATTTGTTTAGGTTTTTCTTACCCTCACACTTTGTTGTTTTTGGTCTCTACACTTCTTTCATCACTCTTTCCTTTGTAATAGGATTCCGGAAATCATGTTTTGGCACATACCAAGTACGGCTTATGCCAGCGTAGCACCAAAATCGACGGCGGGAGTGGCGCAGCCATGTGTGGGCTCGATCAACGCTGAGAGTGTCGCCTCTCAAGATAAAGAAATCGCCACGATGGACATTCTCGTTAAAAGACCTTCTGTCAAGGTCACTATCTCCATTTGTTTCTTCTTATATTGCTTCTAAAGAATTTTTTTTTTAATAGAACGAATGTTTAAATATCTTGCAAAAATTAATCACGATTTGTCATCTTACAACGTAAACTTTGTTGATATCTTTTGCAGGCAGTTTTTGTAGGGCACAACCATGGAATGGACTGGTGTTGCCCCTACCAAAAGTTGTGGTTGTGCTATGCCAGACATACTGGCTATGGCGGATATGGCAGTTGGGATAGAGGTGTCAGGATGGTGGAGCTCACCGAGAAGCCATTTTCTCTCAAGTCGTGGATCACCATGGCCGATGGGGAATCCCATAGCGAAATCATCCTGGCATCCTAGTGCAAATGAGAATGATGTGTTTGATGTATATGTCTGTGATGACCTGCAAAGCTAGAAATCCTTATTTTCACACTCTTAATTCCATTTACGGATCAATAATCTACTCTCATATTCTATGTTACTAATGTTATCTGATGGTGAATGAAGTCGTTATTGAGGACAAAAGATGAACTCTCAAGGCAGAGTTATCTGATGGTAATCAAACTAACCGTAGAATTCATTACATCGGGGTTTTGCCACGAGGAACCAGACCTGCGAAGCTTTCTCTTCCCCCGCCATTGGTATTCGATTTCGAAAGCTAGCCAACAAACTTACTCCCCTTTGGCAGCGACAGAAAGCACATCAAAAGACACGAACTTATTAACCCTTTGGAGTCCCTCTCTTCATTAAACCGGGGAAGAGGAAGAAGAAGAAGGGAGCTGAAGAAGATTCAAACCTCAGGGCAGAGTTGTGGAATGAATGCAAATCAGGGGTGACACCCACCACCAACTGGAAGAAGATTTTTGCCCGAAGTCAGCAAAAAGATCTGAACTTTATGGGATTGATGAACGAATTTTCAGATACAAATCATAACCTTCAGCCTGGCAAATGAAACTCCGACTAGGAAAAGGATTCAGAAAGCTCCAAACCTAGCAGCAATGGCGGGGGGAATAGTATAATAGCGAACTATATACCGGTACTAGCTTTTTACCCGACCCGTTGGTCGGATGAATTTAGTTTTATTTATTATATTTTTATATTAATCTATTTTTTTCATATTTTCAAATAATTTGGGATCGTCTAAATAATTTATTAGTGGGTTGAAACTAATATTTGTGCGAATTATTGATTGTAACATTAGTTAGTTTATAAGTATTTGTATTGATCATGCTATCGCTTACTGTTGTCTATATATTTTTTACATCTAAGAAAAAAATCACTTCCTATTGTTAGAATAAATTACTTAAAAAATATTTCTTCATAAAATTTGATACGATTCACTTATTTTTCTATTATATCCACTGAAAATAAAATAATTAAGCATTGAAGTATTAATTATAAACTCCCAGGGATTTTCCCTATTAGTAATTTGGAGGGATAAAAATTTATCAAATAAAGGATTCAAATTTTATGGTCGACAACCATTAGGTACTAATTGAGAAAATACAAAATTATTAACTAATAATTCACTTTTAAATAATATATATCTCCAAAAGCAGTTGTGGTTGTTAATAGCTAACATTAATGTATACGGATAGTACAATTGTATTATAATGGACATATCTGAAATATTCCAATTATTTCTTCAAAATTTTAATTAAATAAGGCACTCTATAGTTCAAACATACAATCATTTGTTGTGAAAATTAAGTTTCTGAAAAAGATTCATGATTTTCGGAAATCAATATGGATTTTTTATAATTTATTTTGGTATTGCCTTTGATATCTAAAAGTCAACACTTATAGATTTGTCTACTATGTCATTTGAAAGATTCTAAAAATTTATAACAAATATGTACCACCAACAAATAAAAACTTTTTTGTCAAAAATTTGTGTGCCCATAAATTTGTTCTTAGCTTTGTGCTCGGCTTTTAGCTCGATAGTATAACATATGCTAAATTTACGACAATCCTTGTGCCTGTCACCTATTTCATAGCATATTAGGTTTCGAGTATCCACAAATATTAGTACGCTTTCAACAATTATGTTTATAGTTACACGTATACTAACATTATGAAGTGAAAATTTACAACAATAAATAACTATACTAAAGAAAATTAATTAAAAAGAATACCATCCGTAAAGCTCAAAAATTATTAGTGAATTAGTTGGTAATCTATTATCCTCTTGCAAAAAAATGGACAATTACATTATGCTCATCGCTATTTTTGGAAGGTCAGATGATCAACAATAAAAGTCGGGGAATTTCAAGAAGATTCCCAAAGATGTTTCCCTCCCTCCTGGCAAATGATCGACTTTGCTTTTGCTAGTAGAGAATGGAGCTGTTATACCTGCATAAAACAATGTCTCTTGAAATAGTGTTTATTTTCAACAACTTGCACAATTCCAAATTGATTCATAGGTCAACGCTATCACATATTTTATTGACGTATCTGTTGATCATTATAATTAGAAGCAACAAATAAAATGAAAAGCATAGTGATAAAGATGACTATTAATACCATAGACCGATAGACGCATCCCTCTTCGCTACTTTCTATTGGCAACTACGAAAAAATAGAAACCTCTGGGCCTTCGAGAGACTATTGGCGCCGGCAACCCAGTTAGCCTACCAAATCCGGCAAATGCGAGTGCAGATTGATCAATCTTCCAGGAGGATTGGGCAGGTTCTCTGGGAGGCTACAGAGCGGGTGGAAAGGGGAAATAGAATAGGGTTTGAGATTTTCACAAAAAGGCTACAATTTCCCCTTTATTAGTTGTTCTGGGCGTCGCCCACCAAAGTGAAAACGCGTCTCCGAGTGCCCAGGTGCCTAGATCAATCGCCCAGAGCTAGACTGGGCGATTTCCTCCTGCCCAGCTATTAATCGCGCCTAGGCGAGAGATTAATCGCGTCTTCTTGAACACTGAATAAAAGTGGACCAAACAAAGACATTACATCCAACTCATTTCAGTTCCATCTTAACACAGTATCGGAGGCATGTACTATTATTATACAAATGATCTTACGCTCTCAATTAGGAACTAAACGAAGGTTAAATGCTTGATTGGCAAACTAAATCGATGAACCTAGTGATCTTAAAGAAAAAATTAATGATCACATGATTTCTTGGACCAAACTACTAAAGGAAAAAAAGGAAAAAAAGAAAAAAGAGACCGTACATTAGCATAAGAACTCAACAAATTACTTATAAGAACTAATGACATAAGGAAAATGTAAACTCAAACCGTTCTTCCGAAGGTCATGGATTAAATCATTAGTTGTCGATTACATAGCCTAAACTGCAAGTTATATCCAAAATAGAGGCAATTTAGAAACAAAAAAGTTAGATAAGAAAGCCGTGAAACACAGAAAAATTGAGTGAACAAAGTGAGAAGTATTGCTTTCAATTAAGCTTGATTATGTTGACATAAAGCAGACACACATTGACGTTGGAAACCTAAACAAAAAGCTTAAAAAGTGGCAAGAGAATTCTTCCCTTGAGGTTCAAATATAGCCTACCTATATGAGTAGAGCCAAGTAATTACCATGATTCCATTTTACACATACCATCTCACAACCAACTGCTGCTAATGCTCTGGTCCATTCCAAACCTCACCTGCTCATATCTCCAATACCATATCACGAAACCAAGAATTATACACAACTAAAAGATCCAATAAGGAGAGTAACTTAGCATGGAACTTTGTGATGGGGGCAAATTCTATGGTCAGTATTAAGCTGTGCAAATTATATCACCTCTGCAAAGCTCACTACTTCCAGTAGTTTCTCACAGAACCAGCTACCGTCCTAATCCCTTCCTTCCTTCCTTCCCAGGGCCAGAGTGTGAAAAATGGCGTCCATCTCCGCCAAAACCACAGCTTCTTCCTTCATCCATGCATCTCTCCGTCGCAACCCCTCTCTAGGGGTTTCCTCCGCCCCAGTTCTCGGTGAGTACTCTTGACGCCCCCTCCCCTGAAATTCACAATTACCTCTGGCTTTTATCAATTCAGCTTGGGGGAACCAAGAAATTGAATCGATTGGGTGATATGCAGGGCTGCCGTCGATGGCGAAGAGAGGGAGAGTGGTGAAGTGCTCGGCGGAAGGAAACGGGAAAAACGGCAGCGGGTGGGAGAAGAAGGGGATGATAAGCGCTTCGCTGATGGCGGCGGTGGCCGCAGCAGCTGCGTCGAGCCCAGCGGCGATGGCTCCTCAACGGATGCGAGTAGCTGGAGCGATTTGTAGCGACCTTCTAGAGGCTGAAGCAGAGAAGAAAGAAGAAGCAGGGTTCGTGGCGGCGGGGGAGACGGTGGTGGCGGCGGCAGTAGTTGTGCTTCTCGCCGGAAGGAAAGCCTCGATCGTCGACAACCTCTTCGCCACGGAGATAGTTCGCTGCACTCCCAAACGCGATCTCCTCAGTCGCAGCAGAAGCGGGTCGTCACTGCTTTCCGCCACTGACCACCAAAACGTCTGGTCGTCTTCCCATGAACTCAGCAACAGCCGGCCGTCAGCGCCTTCCTCCGCTGAACACGAAACCGTGACGCCCTCTTACCAGAATTTTCCGATGGAAACTGATTCTCCTCCTATCCTGCGGGTAGGCGAAAGAATAACGTGGGAACCCAGTAGAAAAGGTGGTATTTCAGGCAAACGAAAATTAAATGAAAAATAAAGGGCTAATACCACTACAACACCCGAACTATCCCGAAAATGCCACTTGTGTCCTATTGTTTTCAATATTCCATTTATGTCCTCAACTATAATACTTTGTGTCATTTGTATCCTGTCAATTTCGTTGACCGTTAAAGATAACGGTTGACCAAACGGTGGTCAACGTGAAGTTGACTTTTGCTGACGAAGCAAAAAATGTGGCAGCCACATAGATGCCACGTCATTGACACCTCATATTTTATATTCAAAATTAAATAAAAAATAATATTAAAAACACAAAATATGTAAACTCAACATTAATGAAAATTTTGACTTTGCACTTTCCCTTTCTTCTTCTTCCTCTGTCAAAAAAGAATCATCCCTTTCTTCATCGGGCATGAACAACAGCGGCCAGTAAAGAAAGTCTAAAAAAAACCCAGATCTAGCGAGAGTGGTAGGAGGATCGAGTCTCCCTCCACCAAGCGACGAACCTGCAAACATATTGTTCTTCTTCTTCGCCATCTAATCACTCTTGGTCAAAAGACTCCATCATCAGATCTTGAAATTAAAAAAATGGGGAAGGACACCAAACCCAGATTTCGGCAACTGTCACTTTCCCATCAGATCTTGAAATCCACCGTGTTTCTGGGAACGGGAAGCAGAACAGAGGGTTAGGAGGTGGTGGAGACCAGGATCGACGGTGGCTGGGATTTCAAATCGATGATGCAAATATGAAAAACCTCACCGCGGCGGAGTATGCGGTGAAAGTGAGGAGGAGAGGGCGTTGTGGCCAGATATTTAATTGGGCGAGGAGGGATGGCAGGTCGCCAAGCGGCGACACGGATATTGAATCGGGCGACGCTGAACTCGGGCAAGCAGCCTCAAATCAAGTTCACAGAGAACAAGATCGTTCGTCTAGGAGGTGCTTGCGGATGGATCTTAGTGGTGAAAGCCCAGAAGGGGCCAGATTCAACCACCTCCGTCGGCGACTAAAGAAGGCGGAGGGGAGTGAGGGTATGGGGATAGCGGAGGAGGTGATTGGATTCTTTGGGCGACCGATGGTGAAATGATTCACCTCCTTTACTCCTATGCCGATTTAGCTATCTGGGCGCAGCAGCTATACAGCAGAGACGCGAGGTTGCGGCGCCAGAGGATAAGTGCAGCGGCGAGGAAGAGGAGCTGACTGGCGAAGGGAATAAAAAGATTTTGGGATTTTTCATTTTTTTCCCCTTGTTTTTATTATTTTAGATGGAAAAATAAATAAAAATTGATAATCAAAATTCCACATCAGATGCCATGTCAATGCTGACTGGATTTTCTGTTAAATACTAACGGTCAACCCCGGTCAACATTAACGGAATAATAGTTCATGACACAGATGGAATATTGGAAACAATAGGACACAAGTGGCATTTTCGGGATAGTTCGGGTGTTGTAGTGGTATTAGCCCAAAAATAAATAATAACTAAATGATAACGTGGGAAACCAGGAGAAAAAGGTGGGTAGTGGACGATTCTTAGTTCTGCAATCTGGCGGGGAGTTATATTTTTTTCCCGCTCAATACCCTGCCACATCAGCTTCCTAAAATCACTCTATGGACAGGAAAATTTGAATGGGGGTGGCGGTTTTACTTTTCAGCTATAAATTATACTGTTGACTTAGTAACTGGTCGCGGCGCGGGAAAGCGTTCCGACGTCGTTTCATGTTAGTTGGTACTTACTAATAGACTAACTTGACCTGACATCAGGGCCTTCCTCTTAATTCTCTCTCTCTCGTTCTCATCGCTCTCCTCCGCCGCCCTATTCCGACTTCGCTCTCATTCTCAGGCCGCCGCCGTCACTCCGTGCTATCTTCTTCGAGGTAACTCCGGTTTTCCTTTCCCTTATCTTGGAAGGCAAGCTAGGCTGATTCCATTTCAAGTGATTGATTCTTCGGCATACAAGTTTTCTGGCCAGTTCTTGTTTGCTTTTCTATAATTACATTTTGAGGATTGGTGTTCGTGAGATGGAAAGGATGTAGAAAGGCTAGAATGTCTCCTAGGGAAAGAACTAGAGGATGACTAGGTATTGTGACTGTTCATACTATCCCCAATTTAGGGATTGGTTAGGTCTGAAACTGATTCTGGATTTTTTTTTTGGTAGTGTTTGCTACTTCTGTACGTGTATACGAGAATGAGTGAAGGTGAGGGCAAGGCGGTGATAGGACTAACATGGCAGCCCAAGCTGCCTACAGCTTCTCTTGCTTCGTCGTCGTCGTCCCGGAAACCTCAGGATGGGGGTTCTCTTTGGAAGCCTACTCAGGAGCTTGTCGATGGCCTGTTTTTGCCACCCAATAATCCTTCTCAGTTGAAAAAGTTGCAGAAGAAGCAAGTCAAGGACACTCTTGGCAAAGGATGGTATCAAGCAATTGTCCCTCTTGTTTCTTTTTGCTTTAGTTCTTGTCCTGTTTTGGTTGGAGTTTACTTTAGCCTTGATGTTTCCTTTGCTTGAAATAGCTAGACTGATACTATTGCTACCCTAAACTTCACTGTAGGTTTGATATGCCAGCTCCAACTATGACCCCGGAATTGAAGAAAGATCTCCAGATACTAAAGGTAACCTTCTTCCCCAATCTTATGCAGTGTTCTTCCTTCACACTGTTTTGTCTGCTCGGATATCTGTCAATGGCTCCAGATTCCAGCCACCATTTAGCCATTTGTCTCTTCTGTGATACTCTTTGTCCAGACTAGGACAATTCTATTATGTAGTTCTTGGCAGTCACTTTGTAGTTTGTGGTACCCTCATCGTTGGCTTCGGGATGCTTGCCAATGTCGGCCATTTAAGTGTTTTTCACCTGTTGCTACTTTTCTCCAAGATGGCGATACTTCTGTACCATCAACATTCATTACGCCTTTTATTGAAACCTGAACCTCCTCGCCTCCTATGGATTCGTGATTGTAAGTTTGTAAATGGCGAGTCTTCAAAGATACTTTGAATTCTCCCTAGCAGTGTTCATATGGCTGCCTCTGCCTCTTTTCTCCCTGAACACAAATGGAACATGCCGTCTCCTGTTTCATTTTTGGTTGAGATAGCATCAATGTTCTTAGCCTGGAAATGCAACCCCCATGGGCATTGCAAACCCTAGTTGCAGTTAGACATTAGGCTTCAATGGCCACTCACTCTTCAGAGCCAACATTTAGCAACGGATCACCAATATGCATATTATTATAGAACGTTCAACTTACGTTTTTGTATATATATTTTTCTCTTCCAACTATCAGTAGCCCAGGTTCTAGGATCACATCTTTCCTTGTATCTGGAATGCTACCATTCAGATGATTTCATTTTTCTACAAGACACTGGCGGGGTGGCTAATTAGTACCTTCAGAGCTAGCGGCTTAGGCGCCTAGCTGCGCTTGCCTTGCAGTTTGCTGGAATGCTTGTGACTGTTTTAGATAGCTACTGCTTGTCTTCTAGAATTAGATGATATTAGGATTGAGTCTGACTTAGGATTTGGGAACTTATTTGAGAAGTCCTTGACTTCTTTCCATCTGGAAATCAAATATCCAATGCATGACACGAAGTATGGGCCTGAGTAAGTGTCATGGACACAGATAATTGGATTAAGATACACTCTTGATTGCTCTCCTATAAGTAAAGTACTGTGGTTCAATAAAGCATGAACTTGTTTGTGGAGTTAGTTTGTGGACCATATTGATCTATAAATTGATTAACTTTTGGAAGGCATGTTTTCTGACTGTGTGTATAGATTCTGTTCTGATAAACATAAACTAAAAGTGAGGTATTTTATCAATTTTGCAGCTGAGAGGCGCTATCGACCCAAAGAGGCACTATAAGAAAGGTGATTCAAAGTTAAAAGTTCTTCCCAAATACTTCCAGGTACTTTAAAGTCGTAAGCTAAACCTAGTGCCTTTCAATTGTTATCTCTCCTTAACATCCTTCGGCAAAAGAAGCTGAAGCATGTTTTCCCTCTTCGTATCTCAATCAGGTGGGCACAGTCGTCGAGTCACCGATGGAGTTCTTCTCCGGCAGGCTGACAAAGAAGGAGAGGAAAGCTACTATTGCTGATGAGCTACTTTCTGATCAGGCCTTCAAGGCTTACAGGTACAGTACATGTTCCCTCTCATCTCAACGCTCTAGTTGTACGCCGACATGCAAAGAAGCCTAATGTATAGGTGATAGTAGGGATAAAACCAGTGGTTGGGTGTGCCTTAGTAAACTTACGAGAACTATCCTGCCATGGTATGATGCAGGAAGCGCAAGGTGAGAGAGATCGAGGAACAGAATCGCCCTGGCGGGAAGGACAAGTGGAAAATCAAGGGGAAGCAGACGTTCAAGCGAGCAAAGGATAAAAGACGCTAAAGCATCCTTATCATTTTTTGTACTCTTCGAAAAGAAACTTGAAAGAAAAAACCAGAGCTTCTCATGTCGATGCCTGAGGCCTGAGCAACCTCTCTCCCTTCTTCAATTTTGGGTTGGTCAACGTCATATGTATTAGAACAGGTAGAAATGGGAAATAGGAAAATGCAGCACTATATCAGACGCTTTCTGTGTACTAACTACTAAGCCTTAAATTCTTTTTTGACTGTGTTTCACTAATAGCTTCCTATTATGAACATTGTTGCAACAAATGTCCATTATAACTTTGACCCAGACTTTGACACGAAAAGTAAATCATACTCGGAGAAACGATGGTAATTGGTAGGGGTGGCAACGGTAGGTTGTGTGAGTTTTGGTGTTAACTATGACCCCTTCTTTATTTGCATTTATCTTCGGGTTGGGTGGGTGATGGATGAGTGCCAGTTGGGTTGTGGATTAATTAGTAAAATTAATTTTTCAACTAGCCATTAAGCAAGTCAACTAACATTTTTCACTACATCAAAATTTTCATTACTCCATCAACTAATTGTAGAGAAATTTTAATTATTTTGTGACTTTGATACGATTAATAGTTTATAATTTGCATTTCACTATCTAATGGACACTACAAAACATTGTGTGTAGTGCAGTTACGAAATATGATGGCTATTCGATAGCATAAACAAGAAATAATTTTTTGTCATATAAAAATATGGTGCAGGTCATTCGGGTGACCCACAGTCCACCACCACTCACCCATCTAACTCACTGTGGTAGGAGATTTATCACTATGCAATCCATCTATATTAATCACCCACTCATTATGGTTCGAATTATTTTCAGGTGAATTGATATCAAACCGCGGATTAACCACCCATGTCCACTTAGTAATTGGTAAGGGAAAAAAGCCCAAAACGGAATCGTTATCTATCTAAAGAATATATTATACGTTTTCCCATTAAAGGCTTCTCTATTCAATTTTTCTCTTCACGCTTCCACGTCAGCAAAACTTTTACCAATCACAACTCACTTTCACTTTTACCAATCCCTCTATTTTTCCTTTTATATTTTTTAATTTAATGTTTAATATTTATTATGTGTAGCCGTTTGAAAAAAAAACTTCTTGCCCTTTTTTATAGGTTAATCTCATCTTTATCTTTTTATTTTACATATCAATTTTCTTATACACTTAGGCATCTCGAGCTTAAGTGTGTTAACTAACACTCTAATCTAACATCGTAATACTTAATTTAAATAAAATACTTTTTTAAGGGTTATAGGTATAATATGCTCCTCTACTATGACATTTTATCAAACATGCCCCTTTATTATGTTTTACATCAAACATGCCCATGTACTTTGAAAAAATTATCAAACATACCCTTCTGTTAAGATTTCTATTGATAAAATCGTCAATCATGGTTGAACCGAGAATTAGACGACCCGACATCTGCAAATGGGAGCGAAAATGTCAGTTTTGTCTCCCGTTTTATTTCTTTGGGTCTCTTCAAAGTGAAATTATTTGAATTATTTGGCTATACAAAAGAACAAAAAAAAATTCTAAAGTGAAATTATTAGGGATATTTTAGAAATTTGTGTCGCTCAAACCAAAGTTCGACCTTGGTTAACGGTTTTTGGATGAAAGTTTAAACAAAAGGGCATGTTTGATCATTTTTACAATAGTATAGTGGGCACTTTCATTTCCTTTCCAGTCCCAAAACCTCCACCGCACATTTCCTCCCGTCGTCGCCAGCTCCCAAATATCGTCGCAGATCCCTTCCACTTGCCATATTGTAGCCTATTTCCGGTCGATTTTCTGGATTACTGATTGACAATCCGTGTTCATCAAAAGCGGTAGAAAGTGGTGAGCTTTGGCTAGTTTCGATCCCCAGAGTAGTGCAACAGTTTTGATCAAGACCTCCTTAGCTGCATTTGATAGGAGTTTACATTTCCACATCTTAATCTTGTTTTGAGGCCAAAAATATCTGGCAGGAGTTCCTTCAAATCATGAGCATTTGGGCAGCATTTGAAGGATATCGTACCACGGAACCCATATTGGTTCCTAAAAGCGGCCAAAGTTATGGCGTCTTCCGCATTTCCTATGGGAATACACTCACGAACTTTCAGTACCTCTGTCAAGAAGTGGATTCTTGATCTTGCACACGCAAGATCATCCTCTTGAAGAAAGGTTTCTGTCGTAAGCCAATTGGCAAAGTATCTGAGGTATTTTATGGTGCTTGGACACTTCTTGTTCTTCTCTTCTGGAACTTCCAGAAGCATTTCCTTATCAGTGGCTGGGATCTCTAGATTCATCGGGAAAGAATGATCCGGTGTGAAACTCAGCCCAACAATGTCACTCTTAAGGAAAGTCTCTGCTCGCATAAGTCGTAGATAGGACGGGAACTTCTGGAACAACTACAAGACGGTTTTCCCTTCGCTGGTGCCGAGCTGCCCCACGGTGAGCCGACGTAGATCTCGCGCGGCAGAGAGAAGCAGCTTTCTCTCCCGCGGAGCCGTAGAGGTGGGAAGTGCGTCGAACGCGACCGGCGGAGGAGGCGGTACATCCTGATCGATGAGAGCGAACTCTGACACGAAAATAAGGTCCAACAACTTTATTGTCTAACAAAATAAGTCCCCGCACTATAATTTTAGCATATGCCATCCGGGGAGAAGTATCATTCTTTTTCTTTTTTATGTCATCCGCATGTGCAATGCGACTTATCTATTAGTAAACGTAAGAGAATATATTTAATTAAGATAAAGATTTGATGATTAATGTTTATTAACCAAATTATTGATGGATTGCATGCCATATGTGTTGTAGATTCGTCTTTTTCCTCATAATTACCTCATCCACCATCAAATCACGGAGGTAACATTGAATACAAGAGTAGATGTGTTAAAATAAGATTTTGTTTCGTACTTAAATCTATTAATGTGTCCAGTAAGAAAGTGCAAGTCTAAACCCTAGTGGAAGACCACTGATATGAAGCGGTTGTCAAATTGATAAAATACGATCAAAGCAGGTCAAAATTTGAAAATCAGTGGTCAATCCGGAATTATCAAATTTTCAGTGTTTAAACAAATGACACCATTTAGGTGGATTATTTTATTTAAAAAAATAAAGAATTTTGCTTGATTCAAATATGAATGTGTAGATGTTGACGGTATTCATTGTTTTAAGCATAAACGTTGGATGTTATGTTAAATACTGTATTTATATACAATTGACAGAATTTTTCCGAGCAAAATTAGGAATAATTGACAAAAATGATCATAAGATTATACTAATAACAAAATTATCACAAAAGATTAAAATATAACAAAAATATCACATATACACCAAAAAAATATTATTTTAATTTATTTTTTCCATTTAATTTGAGGAAGTATAATTAGTTGGGGGAATCGAAAGTGAAGGTTCAACAACTATATTGTCTAACAAAATAAGTCCCCGCACTATAATTTTAACAGATGCAATCTGGGGAGAAGTATCATTCTTTTTCTTTTTTATGTCATACGCATGTGCAATGCGACTGATCTATTAGGAAACGTAAAAGAGTACATTCAATTAGGTTAAAGATTTGATGATTAATGTTTAATTACCAAATTATTGATGGATTGCATGCCATATGTGTTGTAGATTCGTCTTTTTCCTCATAATGATCTCATTCACCATCAAATCATAGAGGTAATCTTGAATACAAGAGTAGATGATTGAAACAAACACTGAACATTGGATTGGATTGCAACAATTGGCGGATTTCATCGTGAACTACACCTCCATATGCATCTATTGCCGCCGGATCCAGGCATTTGCGCATTTAACCAGAGCATCTCCATTAAAAAGAACTGTGAGAGATTCCTCCTTGTACATCCCCATTCAATATCGCGATATTAACCTACTTGCACTCCGACGTCTAGGAGGCCACCGCGACTGGGGACACATGACGCCAATTCTATCCGGGTCATGTCGACGTACTCGATGCCGGAAAACCAGATGACGTCACCCAATTTTATTGGGCTATGTTTGGGGTAATAAGAGATAGGCTCAATAGGCCTAATATTTGTACATGGATATTGGAGGGTCGACCGAGCGGGCCAACCCAGGAAGGTTCCAGAAATTTTGTCGGCCATATGTCTTGATATCCATACGGCACCCACCAGACTAGGATGAGTTTGGCATAATTAGCCAACCGACCCTTTTAAGTCTTACACTTAAGGCGCAATTTCCATCATACAGCAACTCTTTGTTCCCATCTCGATCCTGCGCAGCGATGTGGTATGGCAGAAAAGATGCCAACGGGAAAACAACGGTACATTGAAATGAACATTTGAGCTTATGATGAAAAGTAAGAGTTCTGCAGATCTTGTGGTACATCTAGGAGATGTCACTGCGGCCAACAACATACCAATCGCAAATGGGAGCTCGTACTGGGGTCGACCGACATCTCTAGCACGCGAGAGAGGGAATACCGTATGATAGTGTTTCCAGCAATCACGATGATTATTCGTTTGAGTGGCCCATAGAGGGGTATTTTGGGTTATGGAATCCCCAGGTGTGTTGCCCTGATGAAACCAACTCATCATGTTCATATAATCTGGGACTTGGAGAGGAATACAACATTTTGTGTTAAAACTGTTGGTTATTTATTGCGTTGCTCCACAAATTGTTGTGTGTGTGGTAGAAGAGTCAAGAGTCGTACTGATTTAACTTTTCAAGAATGAAAAACGAGCTTGTGAAAAGTACTGATTAATATATTTTGTCATTACGAGTACTAATTTAAAGACCAATTGTACTTAAGAATGTGATTTGGAATATGAAGAAGGAATGAGCAACTCATTGTTGTAAAAAAAAGTTGTTTATATATTAAGAACAAAGGGTATTTAAAGGGTTGTGAGTGTAATTATGGTGACAGTGATAACACTTGTTCCCCTACAATTATTTATTCCCTTGTGCTATACTAGTAGTATGTAATACTTAAGGTGTATCTTTAATAAAAATAAGGTGGCAAATAAGTTAATATATATGATGGCAGTCGGCAATCTTAATATTCAATCTCCCAACTTCGTGCCTTTAAGTAGTCCAAGTAGCACATGCACTAACAATATTGACATGGCCTTCATAATTAAATGGTCAAAAGCAATCATGATTATAAACTAATTTTTTGACCAAATTCCTGCTGTTAATTCAGTTCTTTGGTCATTGTTCTTAAGTTACTTTCAAATTAAGCCGATGATCATGTAATAGGGCGATCGGAAACACCGATTTTGTCACTTTGCAGTACCATTACCTATCTAGATCTTCTGTTGCTAACGTATGAGGTTGGAACCTTGTTTAACTTATCAATAAGCATACATAATTCGATGTATTTTTCTTGAACTCTCATTCGTCCCGAAAGCATTAAAGAGCAGACGTGGAAGAGCAGGTACTAGTTATGGAAAATCCATCAAGTTCAGGGACCATAATGTAATGGTGAAAAAACATCTACCTCAAAAGACACTTTCTTGCACTTGATCATTGGCATATGTTAATTAAGGTAAGGATTATACTTGAAGTTAATTAGGCTGTGGTGGGGAGTGGGCACAAACTTCATTGCAAAAGGGAATTAGCTGCTGGGGACTTTGAACAGCTCAAAAGCCTTGTTATTTGGGGATGCCATCATTTGGTAAGGAGAATTTAGAACAAGAGAAAAGTGGATTTGCATTGCTTGGTTGGGACAGCAGAATTTAGAACAGATAAGCTCTTTCCCTCAATCTTCCATCCCACATGGCTCATTATCATTATCAGTCACACCCCATAAAAGTATTGATTGATCACACTTCAACTTGGCCAAGATGACCAAGTACAACTATTGATTGGAGTATAATAGATGTTAATTATTGGACTAGGTAATATATTTTCATGATATTTGACGTAATGTATGCGGTTAACTTGATCGTCGTTATAACACGAGAACTCGATTAGTATTTATGCGTAGCTCTATTATTATTTGGGCATAGCTTACTTGGGGTTAGACATGTTGTGGGGTAAAAGATGTTCACAAGAGCTACCATGAGTGTAAGACTAATGCAGAATATGTTGATCTTTATAAAGTTTACGAGAGTGTCACTAAACATTTGAGAGAATTTACTTTGCAGCTAGGATGAGTTTTTCACACTTTACTCACTAATAACGAGGGATGTCACTCCTATATATAAATTTTCTTCGCTTTCATTCGCAAAGGACGTCAATTGTTTAGTCAAATGCCTGCACGAGTAGTCATGGAATGCCATCAATCTATAGACAATAGCTTATGTGTTTTGCTCTTTAGACTGAGACGTTTTTCAGTCTTAAATTGTTTTACGAAACTGTGATCATATTCAACAATTGTTTTTTTATCTATCAATTGTAGTCCTACAAACATATGATCTGATTTTTATAAGGATTTTCCCCGTCGAAACACCACTTAATTTTTCTTGATTCGAGTAATCACACGTAAATGATCGAGCAAATCCTGTTATGGATGAATCACTATTCACAATCTTGATTGACAATGGAAATAATGTCAAGGTAGTAAAACGTAAGAATCAGAAAGAAAGGGTAGGGAAAGAGGAGTAGAAAAGCCACTTGTAACGAAAGGGGCAAATTGCCTGGATGAAAAATCGGGAGGGAAATTTTGAACAAGTCAAATCTCAGTTGCGGAGAAACTGACAGTTGGGACTCTGCAGATGATGACGTGGACGAGGTCAGCTGAGATAAAAAAAAGTAAGCAGAAAACCCCGCCAAAAGTTGCGGGGCCCGCCTTCTGTTTTTTCTCTACCTTCTTTTTTCCATTTTCCCGTCCCAAAATAATCGAAATCTAAAGCGAAAAACAGAGAGCGACAAAGAGCCCTACTCAGCCTCCAATTCATTCCCCTCAGCTGCATTTAATCACTCACTCTGCCACCCACTTCTCTCATTAGCCTGCTCCCTGATCTCCATCTGCAATTAGTTAATTAATATCTGCACAGGAAACAAATCATGCTCTGTTTCAGAGCAGCATGAATCACACTCTGTTCACACAATTGAACTCGTCATTGGATCGAGTTCTTGAGCTACCCTCTGTTTCTAGAACGGGGAAAGATGGGTTCTTTGTTGTTCCGGGAGACGATTACTGAAACGGGTCGCTTTTGATTTTGCGGTAATCAATCGGGTTGGACGTCGATTGAGCTCTCGTTTGGTTCTTTTTCTTCTTCAATGGCGGATAGTAAAGGGAGCTGCTGGTATGGCTGGATGAAGAAGATTTTCACTTGCCACCTGGCAGAAAAGGTCCCTTCTTTCCCCTTCTCTGTTTTGGATATTCATGGCGTCCCGAGGGGGAGAAAAAAAGAGAGACGGAATGATTTTTTGTTTCTTTTTTGGTTTTGGGGGTTTTCAGAAATTGAAGAGAGGGAAATGGAAATGGGTTCCACGGCGGCTGCGGCTGCTGCGGCAGCACCCTGTTATTCCTTCTCCAACCACACAGCTCACGGAGGCCAGAGAGCGGCAGAAGAATTACGCTCTCACCGTCGCCATGGTCACCGCCGCGGCGGCAGAGGCGGCTGTCGCGGCCGCCAAAGCCGCCGCCGAGCTCGTACGCCTCACGGCCACCAACAATCCTCACCGGATTTTATTTAAACGAGACCGGAACCGGGCTGCAATTCTGATCCAGAGTGTCTTCCGTGCCTACCTTGTGAGTTTCTTAATTAATTCAGTAATCAATTCAAAATTTTTGAGGGTTTCATTTTGGAAAATTTGGTGGGAATTATTAGGCTAGGAAAGCGTTGAGAGCATTGAAGGGAGTTGTGAAGCTACAAGCCATTGTTCGCGGCGAGTTGGTTCGACGACGACAATCTGTCATCATCAACAAGCTCAAGCATTTGGCTCTGCTAGACGATGTTGATGATGCTAACTGTATAGCAGCTTCCATGGATGAACAAGAAGAGAAGGACTTCAAGGTTTCCACTTTTTGATACTTCAAAATTAAGTTCAGCTCAAAATGCGAAGAATCATCAATGTGACACATGTGCTTGCTTCTTGTTTGAATGTTGTAGCAGGGGAGGGGAGAGCACAAGCATCCTGAATCCCTCCAACCGGTAATGTTGTTCGATCCAATAAACGATTTATGTGCTTGGCTGAGTTGCAGACAGTACCTCAAAACTGCCAAATTGGGTTGAAATTTCAATGTATTTGATCTGTTTTTCACTGATTACGAGCCACTACAATTGCCATTGTAACGATGATTCGTATGGGGATCACAGCTTAGATGCAGCAGCCAGAGAAGCTGGGATTTCAGCAGTCTGTCCAAGGAAGAGCTAGAAGCTGTATGGTTAAGGAAGCAAGAGGGTAGCATGAAACGAGACAGGATGATGAGATACTCCTTCTCCCACCGGGTAAAAAAAAACTCGATCTCCAGCCTTCTTTGCTCTTCGTTTTCGCCACTGATCATTCGTTATACGAACAGCAAAATCGACCTGAGAAATTGGGGGTTTCACTTCATTGTGGGTTCAGGAAAGGAGGAACTCCAAGTTACTGGAGGAATTATTGATGGAGGAGAATGAGGGGAGCAATGGCAAGCATTGGATAGAGAATCTGAGACTAGTCCCCTTATCCAATTCATTCAATGGCGAGACCGAATTCTGCTCTCAGCTTGCTAAAACCAGCAAAGACAACAGCACCAATTCGCCCTCGGTCGCAAGACGGTCATTCGGTGGTCACCACGTCAGACGGGGGAGCAGCTCAGCAGCACGAGACGCGGGCAACAACGACAATGGTGGCGAGATCACAAGCTCGTCGATCGTGCTGCCAACGTACATGGCAGCAACGAAGTCCGCGAGGGCCAGGACGAGGTCGATGAGCACGCCGAGGCAGAGAGTGGTATTGGGCAGGGAGGATGATAACAGCAAAGGTGGGATGATGAAGGTGCTTTGGTCTTCTGACAATGGCGATCTGTTTGAGAAAACTGGCAAGGAAATGGTGAGCAGGAAATGTCATCACCGTGGATTCAGCCTTGCTTCTCGAGGTTAGAATTTGGTGATGGTTAATTGGTGACAAGAAATCTGAAGTTGTATAGATATGAAAGTGTTCTTCTTTTGGTTTGGCTGTTACATCATCATCATGCCTTATATTTGGTTTATTCATATTTTTGAACATCGCTTCGTGTGAGAGGAGTTTTGTTCTTTGCTATTTGTGGCTGAGATTTGAGTGTAAAGAGTTCGGCTTGGTGTTTTGGATGGAGTGAAATTTGATGCATGAATTGAAAACAGCCGCAAAAGGCCCATTCTCACAGCACGCCCAGAGGCCCAAAACAGTAGATGTTGTCTATGGCCCAACTATAATGAACAAGCCCAAATAAAATCGCGCCGAATTGACCTACCGGAAGCGAGTAATCAACATATTTCCCACCGGCGGCCGCCGCCGCCGCGGAGCTAGTGAACAACCGCCTTTCTAGCAAACCTATATATACCGTCGATAAACCTGTAAAGAGAAACTAAGGAGAAAAATATTTAACTTGGAAGGAGAATACTTCCGTCTACCATGGAGGCTGGCAGCAGCAGCAGCTGCTGCAACGGTAACGCTGACGCCACCGAATTCGAAGAGAAGAAGCTATGGAGAGCGGAAGACGCAATAGCCGGAAATCGGGCGGCACTTGAGTCTCTCAGGGAGCTCATTATGTTTCCCTTGCTCTACTCTCGTGAAGCTCGGAAGCTCGGCCTTAAGGTAACCCAAGAAAATTTCCACCATTTATGTGCTTCATCGTTCTCAATCTTGAGTGAATTTCAACTGATTGCTCCGAGTTTTGGTGAACAGTGGCCGACGGGGCTGCTTTTGTACGGTCCACCTGGAACTGGAAAGGTATTCTTCTGATAAAGTTATTTTTTTTTGTAATTGTCGTGTCATTTTGAGAACCTGAACCGTAATAATGGTGTGCATTCTCTTGTTTCTCTGTCAAATGTTGCTAGACGAGCATTGTTCGTGCAGTGGTTCGGGAATCGGGTGCCCATCTAGTTGTAATTAGGTGATGTTTGCTCTACCCCTTTCTCAGGTTGCTTGCTTTGATTGATTGATAATACAGTATTTTGGGATCTCGTTCTGAGGTTTCTACACTTGTTGTGAGTCTTGTAGTCCACATTCTGTCCATCGAGCACATGCTGGGGAAAGTGAAAGAATTTTGAGAGAGGCTTTTGCAGATGCATCGTCACATTTGGAAGCAGGCAAGCCGTCGGTCGTGTTTATAGACGAAATAGATGCACTCTGCCCTCGTCGTGATTCTAGGTAAGTTGAGAAAGGTTGATGATGGTAGAAGAATTTTCATTTCTCAGTGTTTACTCTATAATAATCCTTATGTGTTTACTGCATTCATCACTGTTCCTCGTTGTTTGAGGACAATGTGAATTCTGCGATATGATTCTGTAACTAAAGTTCTGTCCTTTCTTGACTATTGTGCTTCGATTGTTTTTTGAGAGGATTGAATTATGGTCAGAATTAGGTGGGTTCAGCAGAAGAGAATTTAAGCAGAAAAATGAGGGATTTTTAGTTAACCTTCTCCCTTATTCTCCTAGCTGCTGGATAGTAGCACCTTCACCAATTGCTTGGAGTTTGCAAGAATCAGTTACAGTTACCCTAAATAGTGAATATTGATCACGTTCACCATAAAATAAAATAAAAAACTACACTGGAGCATCAACATGCTTGGCATCATAGTATTTGAGTTATTGCAAAGTGGCACTTCTCTTTGTCTAGATATTCAAGTTGGCCTTATTTGCAGGCGAGAGCAAGATGTTCGTTTGGTGTCTCAACTCTGTGCACTAATGGATGCGATCAAGCCCTCTTCTTCGTCTTCAGGGCATGTGGTCGTGGTTGCATCAACTAACAGGTTACTTGCTTACTTGTTGCTTGTTGGTATGGTACCTACTATGAAATAAATTGATGAAAAAGAAAGCAACCCAAGTTCTATATTTCACTGTTGAAGCCTGAGTCCAATTTGTTGTTTGCTTTTGCTAAGAGTTGATGCAGTGGATCCTGCACTCAGAAGATCTGGGCGTTTTGATAGCGAAGTAGAAGTTATGGCACCTACGGAAGAGGAACGCTTAGAAATCCTGAAGGTATGAATATAAATGCATTGTGTACTGAAGGCTCATCACATTCATGTTTGCTTTTACCTGTGTAAACCAAGTGCAAATGCAAGGAATAGTAGCATGTGATTCATTATTTTTCTTGCTCTGACATCCAGCACTACACAAAGAAGTTAGTGTTGGATAAGGATGTTGATTTGCAAGCTGTTGCTGCTTCTTGTAATGGATACGTTGGGGCTGACCTGGAAGCATTGTGCCGTGAAGCTGCCATGTCGGCTATTAACTCGGCTAATGCCAGTGGAGATGCTGGGGTTCTTTGCTTAACGACAGAAGACTGGAAGCTTGCTAGGACCATTGTTGGTCCTAGCTTAACAAGAGGTGTTACTGTGGAGGTTCCAAAAGTATCCTGGGAAGATATTGGTGGACTTCAGGATTTGAAGGTCTGGTAATAACTTTGTTAGTTTTGAAATTACCTGGATTTGCAAAAACAGCCAAAAGCTGTTGACTTCACGGTGAAGGTAAATGTTAACATTCTTTTTGATGTCTACATATGGCCGCTATATTCCCAGAAAAAACTCCAACAAGCTGTTGAGTGGCCGATTATACACCAGTCTGCATTTTCAAGAATGGGAATTTCACCCAAACGCGGGGTTCTTTTGCATGGACCTCCTGGATGCTCCAAAACCACTCTTGCTAAAGCTGCAGCAAATGCTGCTCAAGCTTCTTTTTTTTCCTTGAGGTATGAGCACCTAGTCTATGTCTCCAATTGAAGTTGTCTCAACTACTTTATCTAGTGCTAGAAATTTTGGTCAGTCTTATGATTTACAGTTCTTGGTAAAACAGGGTTCTCTTAGTTACTCTATTGGCAGACTGTAGAATCAGATTTCCACATGGTTCTACACTTTGTATATTATGCTACAATCCAATTGGTGTTTCTACTTGAAATTGAAAACTTTGTATTCAGTGGTGCAGAATTATTTTCCATGTATGTTGGAGAGGGCGAAGCATTGTTGCGCAGTACATTCCAAAGAGCTCGTGTGGCAGCTCCGAGCATAATATTCTTTGACGAGGCTGACGTTGTGGCTGGTAAACGGTATGTGAACTTTCATTGAAAGCTGACGTTTCTACATATATTGTTAGAGTGGAAGCAGTTGAATGTAGAAATTTCTTTTGAGTTACCATGAGTTAAATTATGTCAGTTTAGTATGGTTGACAATTATTTTCTGGTCAAATTATGGCTGGCAGAGGTGACAGTTCAAGTAACTCGTCCACTGTAGCGGAGAGGCTTTTATCTACTCTACTGACTGAAATGGACGGCCTGGAACAGGCAAAAGTAAGTCCTAACAAGCAACAACATTAAGCATTTACTTCACCATCCGAAGGATTTTCCAAGCCACGGTACCATATATTATGTCACAATAATGTGCTTCCTTTATTATGCTACCAGGGCATCCTTGTTTTGGCTGCCACCAATCGTCCACATGCAATAGATGCAGCGCTGATGCGCCCCGGACGCTTTGATTTGGTACGTCCCGCAAACAACATGACTTGATATGATCTGCATTCTGGTCATAGATTTCCCTAGAGATTCAGTATAATTATGTGTATTATGTTCCATGTCTAGGTGTTGTATGTGCCGCCACCTGATAAAGAGGCTCGACTCGAGATCCTCAATGTTCACACACGAAACATGGCCATCGACGATGATGTCGACCTCAGAACAATAGCAGAGAATACCGAGCTCTTCACAGGTGCTGAACTGGAGGGCCTATGTCGAGAAGCTGGGATCGTAGCTCTGCGGGAAAACATATCTACTGGTGTGGTCTGCAACCATCATTTTCAGACGGCGTTGAGTTCCCTGAAACCAGCTCTAACAAGAGCTGATATAGAAGAGTATTCATCGTTCATGAAGATGGCATCACCTCTGGGCGGGACTGGATCAGCTGCTGTTGTTGTTGACAACAGCACTGGGAAGAAGAATCGACCATTCAGTTCTTCTTCAACTCTGATTAAAGTTGGTGTACTGAGTGTTTTGGTTTTAGTTGCTGCAAAATATTTGAAGTTTCATACGAAGATAGCTGGGCTGGAGGTATCTGCCACATGAACTATCTTCTTATTTATCTTGCGTCGGCAGTTGTAGCTTAGTTATGCGCCTGTTTTATGCTATTTTGATCGAAAAGAAACACTGGTACATGAAATTGTGCTTTCTTGTCCGTCTTTTATGAAGTAAAAAAGAATACAAGTCGAGAAAGGAATCACTTTCAACCAAATTTGTTCCTAATCACTTCATTGTGTCTCATTGATTCTTCTCCTCACTTTGTTTTATGTTTCATGGATACTGATACACAGGTCTTCCATCCAACGGCTGAATTGGCCTTGCATTTGCCTCAAATCCCTAATACACATTAAAAACTATTAGTTCAATGCAATCGAGACAAATCAACATTATCTAGAAACACACCGAACCAAAATATAGTCGATCTGATTGATTTAGCCTGCACTCACATCATGAACAGCTTCCCTTAGGGCTCTAACTTGTTCCTTTGACACTGTCCTCACCTACAAAACCACCACCCAACAAAACCATTCCGGTTTAATTAGCCTCCAGAACCCAAAGACCACCAAAGCAAACCGAACCAATAACTGAATTGAAAAGGTTAGAGAAACCTTCTGAACAATCGTCCATATGACGCCTTCGGTGCAGGGAGGAACAGTGAGGGAACCAAGGTATCTGTAGTACTTCCTGCTGCTCCCAAACTTGATATCTCCTGGATTCACTATCCCCAATTCCTTGTCTTGCTTTGGATCCACTGACTTTATGTGGTGGAACAACTGTTCATCAATTCAAACAGAAAACAAGCCACATTAAGCAGGATGGATCAATGTCTTGCAAATAGATCAAACCACAAATTTGCCTTCTAACCTTGGATAGCATTCGATCAGGGCGGCCATATTTGTAGACTATTGAAACCACTGCCAGATTCCCTTGAGAGCATTTGTGCACCAAGTGCAGCTCCAACTCGTACCTGCATCATTTCGCTCATCGATCGATTATGGTCTCATGGGCTGATTCTGTTTCTCAGGATTTGTGTCAGAATGAATCGAAATGAACCGAAAGTTTGTACCTTGTACCATTAATAGTGTGCTCAGAGGGGGAATGCCAATGACACTGCAGCAGCTTATACTCTGTACCATTGATCTTGATCTCGCCTGCTTCCCCTTTCCACATCACCTGTTCATCATTTAAAACATGAGTTGTTCTTCAGTGATCTGATCCCCATGCTCGTGATGAAGAAGTTGAGATGAATGAGTGAGTGAGTGAGTGAATTAGAGCTACTCACTGTGATATCGTGGCCTCTATTTTTGACAGTGGCAGGAGCTGGTTTGTAGTCTCTGTTGAGCCTCCCCAGATGTGAAAGGACCTGGACCCTTTGGTCCAGTAGGTCAATTGGAGACTGCAAAGTTCCATTTTTGCAGGCTTGCCAATGTGGGTTTATCTCTCCCCAACTTCTGGGACCTTTCCCACTCTTCTCTTCATATGTGAAAGAAGATTCATCATCTGCATTGTTCACCAAGAATAAAAAATTCTCCCCTTGAACACATTGCACTGAGGTAAAATGCATAGAAACAGGTAAAAATTAACATGCAAATGCCATCCTAAGTCTCAGCCAGAAGCACAAAAGTGGTTTCTAGTACTAGTTGTTTGGATCACGAATTTGGTTCTAGGATTCGAACTTAAAATCTCGTCAAGAGAATATCAAATCCTGATCCCTATGAATCGCACAAGTTCACGAAATCCATCCCTGCAGAATGGTCGGTCCTACAGCTGAGGTGAATATACACTTCAGGATCAGACATACAAATAAAACCATTTCTCAATTCCGCAAAAGTTGATCCAAACCAGCTGTTGTAATAACTCAAAACAAACTCAATTCTATCCTGTTCTCCTGCAGCAGCATTTGAAAAATCAATCCCCAAAATGTGTTGGACTCAGCAATGACAGAAGAAGGAGAAGAACTGCTGGAAGAAGATCTACAAACTCCAACTACCCTTAGAACTAGCAGGCTAGCAGCTGGGAAGGGAGGAAATGGGTGAGTTGACTTACCAACTTCGCCAGAGTCAGAGTCAGAAGAAGCAGTGGAGGAGGTGACAAAGAGAGACAACAATGGGACTCCTATTAAGAGATTAACAAGGAAGACAATGGAGACCAAGTTCTTCTCCATTGGAGTGTTCTTGATTTTGATTGAAGAGAGGGATTGCTCCGGCAAATAGGGCTAATTTATGTCTATTTTCTTCGTTAGATTCGATGCTTCATGGGAAGGGCAAATGCAGAAAGACAGCATGAGAATGAGCAGAAAAGAAAATGAGTGTGCCTGTAACGGTAGTAATGGTGTCAGTCAGTACACATTTATTCTGATTTCGCTGTCTCCTTCAATATGTACCGAATTTAATGCACGCAAATCCAAAGTTGCACATGTAGAGCTGCATGTCTAAATATTCCATTTTAAGTATGAACACAATGAAGGAATTCACAAATCCTATTCCTACCTACAGCATTGCTACTCCTTTTATCGGCAGGATACAGCAGCTCGTGAAACTCGAACAACGAGCAAATCGACCATTAATCCTACATACTGCACTTTTTGCTCATTTGATTGACATGAAAGTTGGAAATGCAGCTTGTGAACTCGAACGATGAACAAATTGACCATTTACCTAGGCAAACACACTTCTACTCCTTTAATCGGCATGAAACAACAGCTTGTGAACATGAACGATGAATAATGTACTAAACCTTTAGTGCCAAATAGTGGAAGTGTTCAATCTAATGGTTCATATGGTTTGAAGGAAGATCCTTGCCTTGATCAGCGAGATTCGAGGGATTCAACGCAGCAGCATTGGTTAGCCCCAAGCCCCAGCTATATGAACAAAGTTGTAATGGTCATTCAGAAAACTAAAGAAGTACAAAGAAACTGGAATGAGTTAAAGAGGACAACTACACCTTGCCATTGATAAAGAAATGACAGGTTAACCCATAGATGTTTACTTTCTCATGAGTTGGATATCATTTCATCACACGAACTACTACAACTTGGAATACGATACAGACCCAACCTAAAAGCAGTCTCAAGTATTTTTCATTAGTCTTATATGGAACGTCGACAAGAACCCCGGACGAACAGACAGCCTTCCACTTTCATGCACACTGCTATCGTCTACACATGGCGGTCCAAAATGGAGGTAGCTCACTTTCCCCTGCAATGTATGAAGAACCCATTAGTAAGATGCGTGTGAGAGTGCAGGTTGCACACACACGTACAATGTGCGCTGACAAACTTACGTGTTCATCATGAGAGTAATGTTGTCTCCTTTAAGAAGAATCCTCCCTGGCAAATAAACAAACAAGAAAATTTTAGTTAGAAAATGGCAGCACGAACTAGACGAAAAGAAAAGCATGAGCAATTAAGTGAGTTTCCATATACCTAGAGACTTTCTGCTCTTCTTCTTGACATTGACCTCCTCGGCATCATCCAACACCAAGTTCATGTACTCATCAAATCCCTGTTATTTTAAACCGAACAAGAGAATGAGTCATGCATCTCAATTATTCAGCCGTACTTGAATATGTCAGTTGTCAAGCTCCGAAACAAAAGAAGTGACTTATATGCAAACATTGACGTGGAGGGAAACGGATGCAAAGGAACTAGTGCGATAGAATACAAGGTATTGCCCTTATCTTCACGAAGAGGAAAAAGTTCACTGCCTATTCCAAGACAAATGATGAATTGCCTCCAAACAACAGTAGGTCTACAACAGATCACATGAAAACACAATCTGATATGGCTGACATAGTGGTACTCTGCTAAAGTTTGAGAGTCAGCACTCAGTATTGAAGAGGCTCGAGAAACATATCAAGAGCAAAAGTGGAAATATTTAACAGGCAACCACATGTTTTTCAGACAAAACTCAGTGGCACTCTAACCATAAAATAACCTAAGCAGAACAAGAACAACATCTAGAAGATCTAAACAGTCAGTAATCAGTAATTGAGAAGCCACTCACAATGATTCGGCCTTCAATTCTCAAATCCTTCTGCTCAAACAACCAAATCTGGATACGAGCTTTCTGAAACAACCAACAACAAGAGAAAGCACCATTATTTAAGCTTTAGTCGCCATTGCAAAACAAAAAGACTATATGCAAATTACAACCAACGAAAAAAAATGGAGAAGAATATCCGGTGACTTACGCTCTGAAGAAACCTGAAGATCAGGTTCTACGGCGCACCAACAATCCCAAGGCAATGGCAGCAAAATAGAGCAAACGCAGTTAGCAGACAAAAAAATTCGGAGTCAAAAGGAGGATAAGCGGAAACGAAGAAGTTACAGCGAGCTTACAATGGGTTGGGTCATAATCCTCTGAACCTTAGTGCTCGCCATGGCTGCAAAATCTGCGGTGATCGGCCTAGGGTTTCAGTGGAGGGAACCGGCGAGATTTTCTTCTTCTCCGAACAAGAATCGCAACTCAAAATTTGACCACTACCAGAAGATCGGATTCCACCGGCGGCTGTCTCGTAACCCTTATTCGAGAGGACGCGGGAGTTTTAGAATTAGGGCTCTCTTGTTGGGCTGGGCTTTCCCTTTGCGGGCCGGAACTTGGTTTGATTAGATTAGATCTAATATGAGTGTAGTCAACTAATCCGTATTTCATCAGGATAGCAATTTCTGAAATCGCCGATACGTCATGTCGTTTTTGTCTCTCAATGAAAGCTGAGCTGAGAGATTTACTTCGGCGATTCCAAATTCCCAATCCTCCCGCTGTCTCAAAACCCTAGCGTTCAGTTTCTGTTCCTTTCCCCTCTAAAACTCCCACACTGGCCTCGACGGCGGCGAACTCGAATCCAACGTCTGCAACCATGGCGACCTACGATCTGACTCCCCGCATAGCTCCCAACCTGGACAGACACTTGGTTTTCCCTCTTCTGGAGTTTCTCCAGGAGCAGCAGATGTACCCCGACGAAGAGATCTTGAAGGCCAAAATCGAGCTCCTGAACAAGACCAACATGGTCGATTACGCCATGGATATCCACAAGAGCCTCTACCGCACAGAAGACGTCCCGCAAGGTTGGTGATACGGGACTGTCGGACATATTTGCTGACTTCAGGATTTGGGGAAAATGCATGTTGAATTTGTGTATGTGTGGTTGTAGATATGATTGAGCGGAGGGTGGAGGTAGTGGCGAGATTGAAGTCCCTGGAGGAAAGTGCGGCGCCTTTGGTGGCGTTTTTGCAGAATCCTAGCGCCGTGCAGGAGCTGAGAGCTGACAAGCAGTACAATCTCCAGATGCTTAACGACCGCTATCAGGTTGGTTAACCCTTTGCAATTCATCGTTTTTATCATCTGATATGGAATATTTCTAGATGAAGGATGAATTATTGGTGCTGGAATTGATTGTAAGGTTGATGTTTTGGGTTATCTGTGCGCTTATTTGCACCATGTCTGAGTTGAGGAAAGGCCTATGTTGTATACGCAGTGGCTGACTAGCTGTTATGGATTTGATTGTTTGGAATGACATTTGTTCATGGCCTTGGATGCAGTTTCTGTACTGGGTGGATCATAAGTAGATGTTATTGTTCGGATGTTGTAGTTCTACTGTGATGGCAGGCATGCTGATAAGTTTTCCCAATCTCGTTGAAACAGATTGGTCCGGACCAGATTGAAGCATTATATCAGTATGCCAAATTTCAGTTCGAATGTGGAAACTACTCTGGTGCTGCTGACTACCTTTATCAGTACAGGGCACTGTGCACTAACAGTGAAAGGAGTCTGAGTGCCCTCTGGGGAAAGTTGGCTGCTGAAGTGCTCATGCAAAATTGGGTTGTTGCTGTCGAAGAACTTAATCGATTGAAAGAAATAATTGATTCCAAGGTGGATATTTCCTATATGTTCATGTCTCTTTTCTCATATGCTTTTATAGTTTGGAGATCTTTTCTGTTTCATGAGGCTGACACTTTGGCTGTTTTGTTTCAGAGCTTTTCCTCACCACTGAATCAGGTGCAAAGTAGAATCTGGTTGATGCATTGGAGTCTATTCATTTTCTTCAATCATGACAATGACAAAACCCAAATTATTGATCTCTTCAACCAGGATAAGTACGGGCTAGGCAGTAGATTGCAAAGTTCCTAAGTTCCTCGAGCTGTTTTCTATGACATGACTAATTGCTAAGTTTGTCTTACCTTTTGTTTTAGGTATCTCAATGCCATTCAAACTAGTGCTCCACATCTTCTACGTTATCTAGCAACAGCTTTCATTATCAACAAAAGACGGCGTTCCCAATTCAAGGACTTCATAAGGGTTATCCAGCAGGAACAACATTCATACAAAGACCCAATCACAGAGTTTTTGGCTTGTGTCTTTGTCAATTATGACTTTGATGGGGCACAAAAGAAGATGAAAGAGTGTGAAGAAGTAAGCTTCATTCTCTTGTGTTCTTATTTTGCAATTGTGCTTAGCTGCCAGTTTTCATTTTATTTTTCTTTCTTGCTGTAGGTGATCGTGAAAGATCCTTTTCTCGGGAAACAAGTTGAAGATGGAAACGGGTCAACTATGCCACTGAGAGATGAGTTCCTTAAGAATGCCCGTCTGTTCATCTTGGAAACTTATTGCCGCATCCATCAGCGCATTGACATGGGGTAAGCTTTTATTATTTATTTAGTAACAATTGCACTGGTAAATCAAAGGTTCTCTCATGTTGGTTTTGCTTGTTTCTAATTAGTAGTATCAAAACACCTAAGCCATCTGAAAGCTTAGCTTGTACCGTCTTCATATTTGTGCTATCTTCAAATCAATGTTCTGTTATTCGCAGAGTGCTGGCAGGGAAATTGAACATGGACTATGAAGACGCTGAGAGATGGATTGTAAAACGCATTCGAAACTCGGAGCTCGATGCTAAGATTGATACAGAGACAGGAACTGTGATCATGGAACCCAATCATCCCAACGTGTAAGAATATATATCTTTTCGAACCTCAAACTTCATATTTATCACTGTTTAAATGAGTCGATTAGTCTTTCCCTTATCTCCGTTTAGACCCACGCAAAGATTAATTTGTTTTATATTTGTGTCTTCTTTCCAGATATGAGCAGTTGATTGAACACACTAAATCGCTATCAGGGCGTACTTACAAGTTGGCCAGCCAGCTGATGGAACAATCACCCGCCCAAGCTGCTAGATGATTTTAAGTTTCTTATTAGGATTGCCCTTTCTACTGTCAATTTTGGTCGTTAGTTATGGCCCCCCACTGGAATTTAAGGTTCTCTCAGCTAGAGGGATCTTGTTCTAAGTTCTTGCTTGACCAGCTTGTAGCATTACTTGACCTGTTTGATTTTATTGAAATTCAGATGGCATTCCTTTTATATGGCCACTCATGAGACCGTAACTTCATCTTGTACTCATCAAACTCGAATCGATTCAAGGAGTAGATCTAAAGAGAGCCTTTTGTGAAGAATCATAGACTAAACACGATCAAAACACGAAATTTGGTACAAGGATACCTGCCATTTTGCTGCTCATCAAGTATTATTAATCGCATATCGATAACAAATCGAGAATATGTTTTGTCCAAAATGAGGTTATAACAAGATGCAGAAAGCATTCGAGCACAAACTCTTCTCTCATAATAAACAGTAGCCTGCTTATGCTTTTCGCAGCATTCTTTTTGTTAATGCACCTAACGTCCTGAACCTTCAATCATCCTCTTCCTGACTGCAATGCAGTGTGTGAATTCAGATTATTGAGGGGGTCGTCTCATATTCTGATCGAACCAAGATGCACAAAACCCAACGCTTAGATGCCTGGTTTGCTGTGAGCAATTCCGAGTCAACCACACATTGGTGAAAGATGATTAATGCTTGCTCTTTCAGTTGGGGACAATGATGGTCTACCATCGAGAATATGAATAACCATATGTCCTCCAAGAGTCTTGTTGTCTGTTACTCCGTCGATACTCGCTCTTCCCGAATGGAGTGTATGCAGAGCTGAAAGGAGAGCTGTATGGGGAGCTGCTGTGGTCAGCAGTTCTTCTGTTAGAGCTGTTGCCCTGATTTTCTTTGGACAATTTTCTGATATCCTCTTCATGGTCATACTTCGATCGCTGAGTAGTTTACCAGGAGGAGCAACAATGAGAGTCTAATAGTAATAGGGGCTGAAGCATGCTCTGAATGAATATCTCAAGCTGGAGTAAATATATGTACCTTATCTGAGTCCGAGAGTACAGCGTATGCTTCTCCAATCATTTTGAACAGTCGGTCAGCATCCACATGGACTTTATCAACTATTTCCTTCCAAAGCCCATCGCCACTTTCACTTCTTGCAAGCAACTGGCCAGCCTAGAAACAGAGAAAAACAGAGCTTTTACGACGTTAATAAATGAATCTCACACATAATACATTTGCAGACTTAAGGGGAAAGCCTCGAACCTTGTCTGGATGATGTCTCAGTGCTGCTTTCCGGTATGCCTTCTTAATATCGGCTGCTGAATCAGATTCTTTGACGCCCCTAAGATTAAGACATAAGTACTTATTAAAAACTTGTCACAGGAACATACAGACAAAACATAGTATCTAAATCTTACAACTGTTTAGTATCATTCTCTCTGATATCAATCAATGAAACTTACAGTATCCGGTATAAATCCAGCGTGGTTCCTTTCTTTGCTTCTTCTTCCATTGAGGATAATTTCCTGCGATACTGCTTTAGCTCTTTTGAGCCGCTGGTGGATCTACGTGGCGTACTGGACTGCCCAACATCAGGTCTATTTTCTCGAATGGTAATAAATCTCTGAAGATCACTTGCTGCTTGCCCATAGTCTCTGATCATCTCATGCAAAGTGGCTCTTCTTGAAACCGCCTATGCAATAAGAAACTCCATCAGTCATGAAATTTTATTTTTCTCAATCTGGTACTAGGGCATGACAGAACTCTTAATATAAGTCCATGAAGAAAGATAAAAACCTTTGAGTAATTTCCATCAAGGGCTACTGACAGACTGCAGTCCGCAATGGCATCAGCTAGCTGACCCATAGCTTGGTATGCAGCAGCACGGTTACAGAAACAGATAGCAGCAAAGGGGCGTGATTCAATATTGCTTGATAAAGCAGCTGAATACTGCTCGACTGCTTCTTTGTAATTTCCAGACCGGAATGCTTCATTCCCTGCAGTCTGCGATTGGCAAATAATGATGTTCACAAAGAAGGATGCCAATGAATTCAATATTGAAAATAACGACATGAGCTGAAAGATAAATGCAGCCCATACCTTATGCTGCAATAGATCACGAATGGTGGCTAAAACTGAGATTGAGGACTCGAATAGCCGACTTGCATATCTGAATGATGTGAAATAGAATAAGTAACAGGGATGGGGGAAAATGCCGCTAAGAAGGAATAGCAATTGTCTATCCATATATAATGTACTACTAACTTGTCGCTGAAGGGCCCCATCTTCTCTATCTTCCCAAGTAAATCAACAGCATCATCAAGCTTCCCCAAATTGAAGTAGGATTTTGATATTGATCGCCACCTCCATAGCCTTGAGACAGAACAGCTTTGACTTTGAGAGCTTATAGTATTGACTGATTGGCTATCATTGCCAAAGCCATCGATGTTTGTTTCACCAGCAGGGAGAGTCTGCTCACAAAACTTAATCACCTCTTCATATTTCCTTAACTGCAAGAGCCAACAGTATGCTTCAAAGTCAAATTCAGAAGCAATACTAGAAAAAAACACTCCCCAGCTTTGACAATAAGTACGCAGAAATTGAAATGCTGAAAATAAAATGGGAAGGATGGGATGATAAGAGGCATGTAGAAACAATACAGACCTTGAACATAAATTCTGCTTTCAATTCCAGCAACCTTTCCGAGTATGGACTAATTGATAAAGCTTCATTAATGCTCTCTAGTGCAGTAGATGAAGTATCAGGTGTTTTTTGTTCCAATAGCTCATTGGAACGATCTATACAGTCAGCAACTTTCTGCAAGCAAAGTAAACCAACCCTATAAGATAGATGATCATCTTAGAAATGGAGATATATGCATATGCATCCACACATAGCAACTCAATACATCCAAACCATCCACAGTGTCCAGACTTTTGACTTCAAATACGTAAGGAAACAAGAAAATCAATTTGACCTTCCATTCAGCCCAAGGGAAATATTGAGACTGTATGCTATGAATCTATGATGTAGACCGGATAGGGAATCTGACGCTGGCACAAATCCCACGTCTATCCATATGAAACCGGCAACTTTGAGCCAAGAATCTTTTTAGCTTTCTTTGATTTTTCTAAAGAAAAGTGCATATACGTATTGATATATGATACAAAAAAATTATGAATTCTCCATTTAATATTTCATACCTTAGCCTTATGCACCCCCTCAGCTGCTTCTATAGTGATTCTTCGATCCAAACAAAAACCATTGCTAGTTTCCAGGCATTTATTGAAACACAGCAGCGCATCTTCAACTTCTCCCAGCAAAAGATAACAACTAGAATGACAAGAAATCCGGAAATTAATCAAAATATTGCCATTTCCCATCTGATGTTATATAAATTGGAGAAGCATCGGACAGAATCATCTTTTAGAAGACAACTTCTATTTTAGTCTATGCAATGCATCCATCAGATAACACTATAAGGTACAGAACATCATTTGACCGAGATATCAAACAATTCCTTACTTGGCAGCTCTTATTTGAACTTTGAGAAAGCTGGGATCCAAAGAAGCAGCCATCAAACAGTCTTGCAACGCTTCCCTGATGTTTCCAAGCGACATCCGTGCCGCTGCACGGTTGCTATAGCAAATAACAAGAGGCTCAAGGCACGCTGACAACTCGGACGAAGGCACAGAATTTATCCCTTGTGAGTAGAAATCCTCTGCCTTTGAGAGCTCCCCATCCCTATAAGCTTGATTTCCCCTGTAAACAAGACAACATCAACATCACTGAAACATCCACTGGAAAAAACTCAAAAAGGTAACGGAAACATCTCTATAGCACAGCATTCATGAGCGGTATAATCTAAAGAATATCATGGAATCAACCTGAGTCGCCATGCTTCGCATGCTCCAACAATCGCAACAGTGGGCGGTACAAAAGGCCGTGACACATGATCCCTGAACTTGGACTCGTTCCCCACAATACCTTGGAAAGACAAATGTCCAGTTCTGTCTTGTATACTGTCAAAGGATGAGGTCGTTGTGTCATGGGTAAAATTCTGAACAGAAGATGAGCGAGACTTGGCATTCGGACTTGTTGAATTGACGATTGATCCACTGGTTTTCCTCCCGTTTTTCTTTCTATATCGATGCTTCTTTTCTAGTAAACCACTCGCGGAACACCCAGCAGAAAATGAGAATCTTGCTATTTTCGTTTCTTCTGATTCAGAAGCAAAACAAAACTGAGCCTGCTGACTACTGTTGTCCATGTTTAAACTGCCTGGAACCAAACAACTACTGCTGTTACTGTGGGCTGGCTCAGAAGTGGAATCAGTGAGGCTCATTCCCATCCCCAAAGAAAAATCAGTTGACGGAGAACACATTTCAGAATGAAAACCATAAATCCCTGCATTTTCCGCGCGTGATTTACCATGATCTTGGCATTTATTTACTCCTACTCCATGTCCAGCAGCATTCACAGTTGAGTGTTTGTCACGGTTATTTGATTCTAAGGAATCCCTCAAAGAAAATTGCCTTCCTGTTGCATTGCCATCATATGGTGAAAAATCCATTGGAGAGTAAGTTTGTGGGGATTTCATATTCATTTGGGGGCTATCCCCGTTTTTCACATGACCTTCCTCAGAGAATAGAATATTCTGGGATGGATGCTTCATCCTCCCCCTTGTTGGCTTCGACTTCTTATCCCTTCTCAATCTAGTCTTTGAAGTAGGGCTCAGTTTCTTATTCAATTCAGGAAATAAGCTTGCTTTCAAACAAGAAGGATCCCATTCTGGTGTTCTGAATTCTGTAACTGGGACCTCTAAGCCCTCAGAAGCACTTGTAGAACATGAATAATTTTCACCTCTTTCAGGCATCACACCAGCTGCCTCTGAATCACCGGAGCCGATTCCGACCCATTGCACTGAAGATTTTGTACCAGCTTGGCTTAACTCTGCAACACCATTAACTTGATCCTGCTCTAATCCCCCTTCAAAAGGTGTACTTGCGATTCCTGACGGCACAGTGAAAGAATCGGAACTAGGAAAGCCAGTTGAAGCACCAGACATCCCATGATTCTGCTCTTTGTTCAATCCTAATTTTTCACTGTCAGTATCCTCAACACCTGCAGCCTCTGCTGGATTCCCTTCATGAATATTAGCATTCACACAACTAGCAGAAGAAGACATAGCAACTTTCCCACTTTTGAATGCATTAGAAGGAACGTCATTTGTACATGGATTCTTATCGGCACCATCAAGACCCTTGGATTCATCAATGTTCAACTTTTCCAGTTTATCCGGGAGATCAGCCACAGGATTCGTTCTAACAGCACTATCTGAATTTTCAACATCCTTATATGATGCTTTACCACTGAGGGGTTGGAAAGATACACCACTCATCTTTCCCTCATCCCTAACGTTTCTAACTGTGCATCCATATGATGTGGAAGCTTTCTCACTACTAGTATCAGATGGAAATACTCCATCGCCAATAGAAATGGTATATCCTGCTACATTCGCAGCTCTAATCCCTGCTGAATCATCTGAAGCTGAAGTTTGGGGAGTCTCAGCAGATTGATTATTTTGCCCGTTCGAACTCGATGCTGGATCCAAGGAATCCTTGCTAAAAACAAAATTTGCAGCGGGAAAACCCATGTTGCCAGACTGAGCCTTTGCAGTTCCGAAAACGAACCCAGAACCTTGGGACCCTAAGTTGAGGAAATCAAAACCGCCATCAAATTTATCCCCATCATTTGCTTGCTTCTTCTCGGCAGCTTCAGACACAGAACTCGCGTTCTCACATCTAGTAGGCTTCATTTCACAACCCGAGTCTTCTTCCTTCTCCCCATAATTAAACTTCAGAGCATCATTCCAGCTGGATTGAGGAGCGACAAACACAAAACCAGCACTCGTACTCGAACTCGAGCAATCAATCCCACTCGACACATCTTTCGCAGAAATCGCATCGGAACTACTGAACGGGTTAAACCCCGTACCATTGGACGCCACCTTGGCCCGCCCATTGATTTGCCTCCTTACCTTCACCAGCCTGGGCCGGGTCCGCCCCGATGCAGCAGCACCAACACCCGAGCTGTTCTTCGACGCCAAATCACTCTCCAGCTGACTTGCACCACCACCGCCACCGGAAGCAAACAAGCTGTTGGGATCCGCGGAAGGGAGCGGGCCGAAATCGAAACTGAGGCCCGGACCGAAGAGGTTGTCGGCGGCGTCGCGGGGAGTAGTCATCCTGGAGCCGATATCCAAAGCCGCCGCCGGCATGGAATCGACGGGGCGGCCGGAATCAAGCAATTAGGGTTTATCTGGAGGAGGCAGGTGAGCTTGATCTTAATTAGGGTTTTGCTAGGTTGTGAAGCAAGCAAGGAAGACTCAAAGCCAAAGTCGCTCGGTCGATCGAAGAGCAAAGTAGAGCGGACTGAAGAGGAGCTTCGGAAAAGAATTGAGGAATTTTTCTCTGGCTTTTATACCTATTAATCTAGTCGGCGAAAAATTTCCCGTTGGTTAGTTCCTTTCATTCATTCATCCATTTTATTTCCTCTTCCTTTCCTTCGTCTTCCCCAAAAATTTGAAATTCTTGTCCTGAGGATGCCGAGACAGTCGGAGGAGAGAGACGGGCCGCTGTCTACAATTTTTTTTGGTCCGAAGCCCAGTTGCTTTCGGGCTTGAAGCCCATTTCACAAGGTATTGATATTTGGTACGTAACCCATACATTGACCAGAGTTTGCTTGTTATCAATGTTGTCTTGGAACCTGCTTATGTAAGCTACTGCATGTTATTGTAGAAGATGAGTAGTACAAAGAGAAAGAGTAGCTAAGCCAGTAGCTTATAGTTTATAACTTCTTCAACACGGTACACCAAACGGAAGGAAACATGCTATGATATTTACAGTTTCTTTGCACACAATAAGCTCCCTAACTTCAGCTTAAAGGGCAAATTCCCTTGATGCCCATCGCTCTTCGTACCTCCCCAATGAGTAAGGGTTGGCGGTCGCTGCACTGAGATGAAAAGGGTCCGGTTCGATGCCATAATCCGTCAGTGGCCTATGCTCGAGCACATCGTCATGATCTTGCACGAAATCGGGGACCTCAAGTTCCCCTTTCTTAATGTCTGCCCACAGGTACTGAAGGCGGCTCGCGTACTTGATCTTCCAATACAAGCTACACCAGCAACAGATGTAAGCAAATTAGGATAGGTAAGGCCAACCAAAACAAAAAAAATGTACTCAAAACATTGGTATGCAACTGAGAGTGATGCTTAGTTACCCTCCACTTAAGAACAGTCGACCAAGGGTTGCAATAGCAAGCCTTGACCGGAGACACGGGTGGATGAAATACACGGTTTGGAGTCTTCCCTTGAAGTTCCCTGGAAGTTCTTCGTATATCCACCTCAAAACAGTTATCCCTGGGGAGTTGTCCTCCTTCTGCACCGTGCTGTGCATGTAAACGATACAGAATGGTCCTTCGGGCAACTGACTGCATATTTTGTGGAAAATATACTTCTTCAGCCTCTCTGCACTCACAACTTGAGCTGCGGGCGTGCCACACACGAAAGCAAATTGAAGGACATCAATCATCAGTAGATGTTTCAAATCAGGCGTATAACAAAGGATTCCACATACCATTGTATCAAATTAATTCTGCATCCCAGGCTTCACCTCGATGATGAGTACGTCAATGTGAATGATCAAACATAATTTGGTAATCTAATCTAATGCTCATTTTTGCATCAGTGAGGATCATCTATGACTATGAGTACTACTCTAGTAACAAAAATCAAGGGCGCACTTAGTTAATCTGGACTACAGACTACTGCTAATGAAGACACCTAGTAATCGCAACATAACCATTATGTAAGTGGCCTTTCTTTAGAAGGATCCCAAGAGAGAGCACAGACCAGATTCAGATACCCCCTATCGAGACACGAAAAATGTGCAGAAATCACTACCTCAGTGAAAACCTGCACCAGAGCTTCGCAGCTCCAACTATCTATGGTTCAAATATATAAGCACTAATATTAACCAGACTGGGTATCTATTGGCTATGGCCATTCGATTAGGGTGCTTCGTGTTCATAGACCAGTATAATCTCGTCGACCAAAAAACTCCAGAAGTTAAAAGCGGATGCAATGTTGGAACTGCTGTGGAAGATGGAAGATGAAGGAATCCGAATCCTCTAAGGAAAAGGATTAGTGTGCTGCGTTTAAAGACAAACTAAATGGGACTGCGTCGTTTTGGTTGTTTTGGTTTCTTTCTGTTTGGTCACTGTTTTTCTTAGTTGTGTCAGTATGGTCAGTGACCGTTGTAATCAACAACTCAAGCTAAACAGAGGGCTGAGTTGTGGGTTAGTTGCTGATTTGCAGGAGATAGGGTAGTTGCTCAAGGCCGATTCCCATGGCCATTCTTTGTGTATTTATTTCCTTTCTTTCATCAATAACAAATTGTCAGATTGCATTCAAGTTTAAGCTTACATTGTGGTATCAGAGCTTACTCGCAAGCTGTAACCAAAGAGAGTGAGAGAGGTCTCTGCAAAATTCGCAGAGTGGGAAGGGAAACACGAGAGTTTATAGTGAGGTAGATCCTGGGTGTGTGAGAAACATGAGTGAGAGCAGTTATGCACAGGTGTGCATACCCAGATTCGATGGAGATTTCGATCACTGGAGTTTACTGATGGAAAATCTCCTTCGATCAAAAGAATACTGGGAGGTGGTGAGTGAGGGTTTCAGAGAACCCACCAATGGAGAGGTATTGTCTGAGGCTCAATCCAAAAGGCTCGAAGAATTCAAGCTTAAAGATCTGAAGGCCAAGAACTACCTATTCAGTTCTATTGATAAGGTTATTCTGAAGACCATCACCAACAAGCGAACTGCTAAGGAATTGTGGGATTCTATGAGGATCAAGTACCAGGGAAGTGCTCGTGTGCAGAAGGCTCAGCTGCAAGGCCTGAGGAGAGATTTTGAGCTGCTGGAAATGAAAGAAGGTGAAACTATAACTGAGTACTTCAGCAGGGTTATGGTTATAGCTAATTCAATGAGAAACTGTGGAGAAAATCTCACTGATGTGAACATAGTGGAGAAGATTCTCAGGACTCTGACTGAGAAATTTAATTTTGTGGTTTGTTCAATCGAGGAATCAAAGGACATAGAGACATTAACTGTTGATGCTCTTCAAAGTTCCTTGATTGTACATGAACAAAAGTTCAAAAGGAAGGTTACTGGTGAGGAGGATCAGGCCCTGAGAACATCTCATGACTATGCTGGCAGAGGTGGTCGAGGCTATGGTGGGAGAAGCTACCAAGGAAGGGGTCGAGGAAGAGGAGGAAGAGGATGGAGTAAAGAGGCTGTGGAGTGCTTCAAATGTCACAAGCTTGGACATTATAAGTATGAATGTCCAGAGTGGGAAACTAATCAGCATTCTTATTATGCTAGCTTTCAAGGAAAGAATCAAGGTGATCTCAAAGATGATATGCTGCTGATGGCTTACATGGAAGGAACTCAGAACATAAAAGAGGAAGTCAACAACAATCAAACCTGGTGGTTTTTGGATTCTGGTTGCTCAAATCACATGACAGGTGATAAAAGCTGGTTTACTGATCTGGACACCAACTTCAAATGTAATGTCAGACTTGGCAATGACACCAGATTGGATGTTGTGGGTAAAGGATCCATCAGGCTGCTGGTCAATCAAGCATCCTTTGTTGTGCAGGAGGTCTTCTATGTACCTGGGCTCAAATCAAATCTGTTGAGTGTGGGTCAGCTACAGGAGAAAGGCCTCTCTTTTCTCATCAAAGGGGGCTTGTGCAAGTTGTTTCATGAAGAAAGAGGTCTGGTCCTGCAGACTGAAATGAAGTCAAACCGAATGTTTGTCTTACAAGCAGAAGGAAGAAGGGGAGGAGATCAGCAATGTCTGCAGATGGATCAGTCAAAAGAGGATTCTCTGGAGCTGTGGCATAGAAGATTTGGACATTTAAATGTTCAAGGGCTACTTAACCTTCAAAAGAAGAAGCTGGTGCAGGACCTACCAAGTCTGAAAGGGGATTCAGGTATCTGTCAAACTTGTATGATGGGTAAGCAGCACAGACTTCCTTTTCCCAAGAAAAGCAATTGGAGAGCCACTCAAAAGCTGCAATTACTCCATGCTGATCTGTGTGGCCCCATAACTCCTATCTCAAATGGTGGGAAAAGGTACATTCTGACCTTGACAGATGATTTTAGCAGAAAGCTCTGGGTGTTCTTTATGCCTGCAAAGTCTGATACTCTTGAGCATTTTAAGAAGTTCAAAAACTACATAGAGAAGGAAACTGGGAACAACATTATGTGTTTAAGAACAGACAGGGGAGGAGAATTCATGTTGCATGAATTCAAGGACTTGTGTGATGAAGCTGGCATCAAAAGGCAGCTCACTGCTGCTCTTACTCCCCAGCAAAATGGGGTAGCAGAAAGAAAAAACAGAACAGTCATGAATATGGTGAGATGTGTTCTGGAGGATTGCAAAGTTCCTACATCTTTTTGGCCAGAAGCAGTGGATTGGGCTGCTCATGTTCTTAACAGAAGTCCTACAGCTGCAAACCAAGGAAAAACAGCTCAGGAGATCTGGACTGGGAATCCTCCCTCAGTATCACACCTAAGAGTATTTGGATGCGTGGCCTATGTTCATGTGCCTGATCAGCAGAGGAAGAAACTGGATAATAAGAGTGTGAGATGCCAGTTCTTAGGCATTTCAGTGGAATCAAAAGCATACAAATTGTACAATCCACTTACCAAGAAAGTGATTGTTAGCAGAGATGTCGTTTTTGATGAGAAAAAGGGTTGGAAGGAGGAGGCAGATGTGCAACCAGAGCTTACCAAACTATCATGGGAAGGAAGTGAAGATGACTGGCTGGATTCAGATGAAGAAACTGGTGAAGACTCTCACAGCACTCCAGCACCAAGTGCTTCAGCACCAGTCACAAACTCAGGGCAGGCTAATCCTAATCCAACTCAAGCAGAAGAAGAAGAAGAAGTAGAAGAAGAAGAAGAAGACATCAGTTCACCAACTGATGTTCTTGGCCTGCCTACCACAGAACTAGGCCCTCGAGTAAGACATCCTCCAAAACACTTGTCCATCTATGACTGTGGTTTTGCTGACACAGAATGGAGAGCCATGGTGGCTATGTCAGATGATCCAATCACCTATGAAGAAGCAATGGCTGATCCTAAATGGCGCAAGGCAATGCAAGAAGAGATGGCTTCCATTGTTAAGAACCAAACCTGGATCCTGACTAAGCTGCCAGAAGGGGTGATTCCAATTGGTCTTAAATGGATTTTCAGAACAAAGTACAAGGAAGATGGGACTGTGGACAAGTACAAAGCAAGACTTGTGGTGAAGGGATTCTCTCAGAAACAAGGAATCGATTACAATGAGGTATTTGCTCCTGTTGCTCGTTGGGACACTATAAGAATCTTGTTGGCTTTTGCTGCTTTTCATGGTTATGAAGTTTACCAATTAGATGTGAAGAGTGCTTTTCTATATGGTGAATTAGCAGAGGATATATATGTTGAGCAACCACAGGGATTTGTGGTTGCTGGGGAGGAAGTTAAGGTTTATAAACTGAACAAGGCTCTCTATGGCCTAAAGCAAGCCCCAAGGGCTTGGTACAGCAGAATTGAGGCACACTTCCTGAAGTCTGGTTTTGAAAGAAGCTCATATGAACACACACTGTTTATAAGAAAAGAGGGGGATGAGATTCTCATTGTCAGCCTGTATGTAGATGACTTGCTGTATACAGGCAACAGCCCCAGGCTAATGACAGAGTTTAAAAACTCTATGAGAGCTGAATTTGAAATGACTGACCTTGGTAAGATGAGGTTCTTTCTTGGCGTGGAGGTAATTCAGAATGATGCAGGAATCTTCATCTGTCAGCAAAAGTACATCAAAGATATACTGGAGAAGTTCAACTTAGAAGCCTGCAATTTTGTTTTGAATCCTTCAGCACCAGGAATGAAGATGTCCAGAGCAGGAGATGGATTCCCTGTGAATCCTACTGAATATAAAAGGCTGATTGGAAGCCTTCTGTATGTGACAGCTACAAGACCTGATCTTATGTATGCAGTGTGTCTCCTAAGCAGGTACATGGAAAACCCCACGAAACAACACATGTTGGCTGCCAAGAGAGTGATTAGGTACCTAAAAGGGACAATGAGCATGGGAGTTTGGTACAGAAAGAGAAGTGAAGAAACTCAGCTGCTTGGTTTTACTGACAGTGACTATGCAGGTGATGTTGATGACAGGAAAAGCACCAGTGGGTACTCCTTCTTCCTTGCAGGTGGAGTTGTGTCCTGGGCTTCAAAGAAACAGCCTGTGGTCACTTTATCTACCACAGAGGCAGAGTTTGTGGCTGCCTCGTTTTGTGCAGCTCAATGTGTATGGATGAGAAGGATTCTGGAGCAGATTGGTTGGAAGGAGTGTGTTGCAGGAGCTACCAAGATAATGTGTGACAGCAGCTCTGCCATCAAGCTTTCCAAGAATCCCGTGCTTCATGGCAGAAGCAAACATATCGACGTTCGTTTTCACTTTCTCAGGGAGCTGGCTGCCAATGAAGTTGTGAAGCTTGAACACTGCAGAACCTATGAACAAGTTGCTGATATTATGACCAATCCTTTGAAGACTGAAACTTTTCAACTGCTGAGGACTGAGCTTGGGATGGTGGACTTGACAGAGTTTGAGGAAGCAAGCAAGAAGGTGAACTGAAGCTAAAAGGCAAGCTCCAGTTCAGGGGAGGATCTGTTGGAACTGCTGTGGAAGATGGAAGATGAAGGAATCCGAATCCTTTAAAGAAAAGGATTAGTGCGTGGCTTTTAAAGACAAGTTAAATGAGACTGCGTCGTTTTGGTTGTTTTGGTTTCTTTATGTTTGGTCACTGTTTTTCTTAGTTGTGTCAGTATGGTCAGTGACCGTTGTAATCAACAACTCAAGCTAAACAGAGGGCTGAGTTGTGGGTTAGTTGCTGATTTGCAGGAGATAGGGTAGTTGCTCAAGGCCGATTCCCATGGCCATTCTTTGTGTATTTATTTCCTTTCTTTCATCAATAACAAATTGTCAGATTGCATTCAAGTTTAAGCTTACATGCAATTCTGCATCATGGGTTCACCGTTAAAGCTAGACATAATCATGACATGGCTAATCTAATCTTGAATCAATCGGGAAACCGAATTGACAAGTTGTAATTGAAGCCACGAAACCATGAATTGGAATGCTATTGAAGAGCGATTGATTACCCGGAAAGTGCTTGCCGACGACGCGGAAGATGCGACACCCGGAACGGTCGGATCCCTGGAGGGAGAAGAACTGGAGGAGATCGAGGTCGGAGAAATCTTCGTCGGCGACGAGGTACTGGGAGCAATCTTGCCAATTCTCGTTGGTTTCTTCGTCATCTCCTGGGCCGGATCCTTGACCGGGCTGGTTGGTCAAGAAGGGAGTGGCGTCTACACCCAAATCCGACGCCAAGACGAACACCGAGAAATCGTCGTTTGATGAGCTCCCCATTTTTCCTTTTCTGCTAGTGAGAAGTTCGTTTCCTGTTTCTATTTTCCGGGGAAAATGGCTGCGGACTGCGAGTGTTTGATTCTCTCTCCCTCTTTCGCCGGAGTTCGTCATCGGTTAAAAGTCCTAAATTATCACTATAGTTTGGTCTTCTATTAAGATCAGTCACCAAAGTATTTCTTTTGTACCGAAACTGTCAATTAGTCCATAATTTCATCAATTTTGGTTTTGATGGAGTGGGATCAACATGCTAAAAAAGTTTGTCATAAAAGTGTCTTGACATCCCTCTAGGATCTAGACAACCTGTTAATAATCCAATTATTCTTTTTTGTGTGTAATAATCCAATTATTCTTAACAAGTTTTAACATGAAATTTTATTTTAAATTAGTGGGTAAAATTTATAGAGTTAATATCAAATTTAGGGCATTGCTATTCATTGCCCTAAAAATTTGAATTTGTCAGTTTGGTGTAGTTTAGAGTAAAATAATTTTAAATTTTAGGACGACGAATAACGATTCAGCAAATTTATGGTCTAACCAATCGACCAACATGATTTGCTGCCGATATTTTATGGATCCCACTGGTTTGGTACATTTACAAACAAGAACAAACATTTATTGTTCATTGGAAGTTCAGAAAGAATTTTGCCACGCATCTCAATTGAAAACAACTACTTGCAGTGGGAGGGAAATTTATAATTCTGATAAGAGCTAAAAACCAAAACCTTGAAATAGGGTGACGGAAATAACAACACAGCTGAAAAAAAAAAAAAAAATCTTTCAGTTTCCGCCATTGTCCTCCCTCTACTTCTTCCCTTTCCTTCTTCCTTCGCAGACTCCCCTGTGACTTCTGCCGATTTCTCGTTCGAGATATCAAACTATTTATTTTATTTGCCTAATATTTCATTGCATATATATGTGCCATTTGAATCCACCGCTCGCTCGTCACAGTTTCCCTCCTCTCCGATGGCGGGTCCAATCAGACCCACATTCCAGTCTTCTTCTTCTTCTTCTAATGCCTTCGTTTTCCGTCTCCTCTTTCTTCTCACTCTCCTCCCCTTGACTCTCGCGGCTTTCGCATTCGTCCTCCAATGGCGTGGCGGATTTTTGAGCGACCCCATTAACAGATGGTCTCCCGAAACCCATCAGTTCCCCGGCATGATGACAACCGTCGCCGAGGAGGCTGATGCCGGCAGCGGCTCCGCCAAGGCTGTCGTCAGAAGTTCGGATTCCGGGTGTTCTCTTTTGGGTCCCTCCCATTCCGCTTCGTTTCCTTATTACCGGAATTGGAAGTTCGACTATGGGTCGGATCTGAATCCCAAGGTGACTTTTCTGGGTTGACGGAATTATGGCTGTTGGTGGACTCTTTCTTTTGTGTTTCTGTTCGTGGGTTCGGATCTTGCACCGGAAATCCTGATTGCATTTGCCCATTTTATTCTGTAATTACTATTCCATGCTTCTTGTAGTTGTAGATGCTTGGTAATTGGTATGTAGGAATAGACTTCACAATGTGCATGTGATTGAGAAATGTGGAGTATTACCTCTGGTTTATAATCTATTCGTATATGGACATCTCTGTTCCCAGATATCTATAACAACGAGCACTTCTGCTGGCTTGGAGCAGACTTTGCCATGGATATTCTATCATAAGGTGCTTGGAGTTTCCACTTTTTTCCTTTTCGTAGAGGGAAAGGCTGCCTCCCCTAGCGTATCCAAGGTTCTGGAGACAATTCAGGCAAGTCATATCTGTTGACAATCACTTCTCCTGCACTTTAGTTCAACCTTTCCGTTTCTACTCTTCCTGATGCCTGGTTTCGAATTTTCAGGGTGTGAAAGTCATATACAGAACTAGAGAACTCGAGGAGCAACAAGCTAATAGGTAAGCCGATCATTTCGAATCTTCCTTTATCAATTATAGTTCTATAGGCAATGCTTTAGTTTCATGTTTAGATGTTGGCCTTAAGATAACCTTGTAGTGCAATGTTTAAGCCTCTTAACTTTACCGTCGAGGTGTGAGTGAGATATTGTTGTATGTTGAAGGCTTAAGTTTGAATGACTATGCACTGCATGAGATTGCCAGACAAGTTTGAGAGCCCGTATACTTCTGCTTGTGTCATCTAATCATAAAGAGCTGATTAATTCTCTCTCTTCTTTGTTGATTCGCTGTGGGGTTGTCAGTCGCGTTTGGAATGAAACTTGGTTGTCAAGCTTCTTCTACAAACCTTGCAATCATGAGTTATTTGTGAAGCAATCACTCAATATGGAAATGGCCATCGTCATGGCAAGGGTATGGATAATCTTATTGTATTCTTGAGATCACATACATTTTTAGCACACTTTTAAGAATTGAACGTCGTTTTGAAATTTCAGGACGAAGGAATGGATTGGATAATCCACCTTGACACAGATGAGCTCATTCATCCTGCTGGTGCTCCTGAGTATTCATTGAGACGGCTGCTGTCCGATTTACCTCAAGATGTTAATATGGTTGTCTTTCCAAATTATGTGAGTAGAACTGCTTTTGGTGATTCAGATTCAGATAACTAAAGTTTCATGGGAAAATCAAGATATAGTTTATATTCAAAAAGGAAAAACCTCTGCATGCTCCAGTTTTTATTCATTGGTAGTTTGATCTTCTTGCTGTTGTTCTCTTCAACTTACCTCTTGGTATGTAATTGAAACCACGGTTTGTTTCAGGAGAGTAGTATCGAGAGGGATGATATCAAGGAACCTTTCAGTGAGGTAGTATGCACATATTACTATTTTTACCCTTCTCTACTTTTCCTTTTTGCTAGTTGTAGTTAAAGAATCTTCCTGATCATCGCATTTATTATTTTTGGAGGTTTCTTTCTTCTTCATCTGAAACTTCTCTGTTTTTTCTAGTGGATCTTTAGATTCCTCCATAACTATTTGTCTCAGCCAAATAGCATAATGTTCTATATTTTCAGGAGAAGCTTGTGTAATTTTCATAAGCTACAGTGTACTAATCCTGAATAGCAAAATCTAATGCATATATAAATTTGAAGTACTCCTGAAAAACTCTTTCAGGAATTTGTCCATATACCAGGAAATAAATATATGCTATGACTGAGCTTGAAACTAAGTTATGGGGACCATCTTGGATTGCATCCATATCTTTGGTTGGTTAGCATTGTGCTTACTCCTGAATTTGGCTTTGTGTTGGCGCAGGTCTCATTATTTAAGAAAAATTATGATCATCTTCCTAGAGAGGTATACTTCGGAAATTACAGGGAAGCCACCCGTGGCAATCCAAACTACTTTCTGACATATGGAAACGGCAAGTCTGCTGCTCGTGTACAAGATCATCTTCGTCCCAACGGTGCACATCGATGGCATAATTATAGGACGACTCCCAAGTATGGAAATATTAGCTCTTATGATTATTCCTCAATTGTTTGCTTTATTGAATGCACTGATATGCTTTTTCTATGAAAGTTGTGAATTAAATAAAAGAAGCATTTGGTTCTTCCAATTTGGTAGAAGGCTAATAAAGCAAAATACAAAAATGATGGTAAATTGAGGGAGAATTAGTGGGCCAAATTTGTTTTCAGCTCTTCATTTCTACTCATATGAGCATGCATCTTCGAAGGATTGACAGTATTGCTTATCGTTGTTGTCTGCAATCACTTAATTTTTCTTCCTGATATCTTGGCAGTGAAGTCAAATTTGAAGAGGCTGCTGTACTGCATTATACATATACAAAATTTTCTGATCTGACCTCAAGGAGGGATCGCTGTGGGTGCAAACCCACTAAAGAGGATGTCAAGAGGTGTTTCATGTTGGACTTCGACAGAGCTGTGAGTTCTCATATATGATGCTGGTTCTTCGACTATTTATTCTTCGTATTCTACATGAAAATCACTGGATACCAGCTTCCAACTTCTCAAGACTTTACTAATGTTCCATGAAATTATGTTTAGATGGAAAACATAAACCTTATCATATATAATGCAGTAGCACTAGTTTGCTTTTTGCATAGTTATAGTTCCCGGAAATTAGGTTATGCTCATAAGAAGTTGTAGGAAAGCAAACAAATTGTACTCGACCATATCTTGACTCTATTAAGTTACTGATGCCATCAAGGTAGTAGACAGATGCGTTTCCTCTGCCATCTTCCCATCTCTAACCACTGAAATAATGCCACATTGAAATGAGTAACTTGTTTGATTTCTGAGTTACCAGTTGAATACAAGTTCTAAAACTTCTGATGCTTTCCTGTTTCTACTTGCCCATAATGTGCTATTATAAACTGTTTAAATTCATTTTGCTAACTCCCCTGCCATGTTTTCACTTGATCAGGCCTTCATTATTGCTTCAACTGCCACAGACGAAGAAATGCTCCGCTGGTAATGAAGATACCAAATTAAAACTTCCTATTCTGTTTCTTCAACTTTTGAGGCTGCCATAGTAAAGCTTTAAATAAAAGCTGATGGTTTGGTTGGATCGTGCATGCCTTATTTGGAGAATTGTTGCCCAGCATTGGTATCTTAGATGCAATGGAATAGCTTCTGATGCCCTCCCCACAAAACAGTTTTGCTTATTATGTCCAAATCTCATTGCATCAGGTACCGGGAACATGTTGTTTGGACAGACAAAAATTTGATCCTCAAGCTCCAGAAAAAGGGCATCCTAACTCGCATTAACTCTCCCATGGTTAGTTCAAAACCAGCACTTGTATTTATTATCAAGTCACACGAGCACATCCCTGAAACATTTCTGATCATTGTTCTACTACTTCACATCAAAGGTAATTATTCAAGCACTAAGGGAAGCTGGAGTATTCAGCTCAGTAATATCAGAAGCAGCAGCAAAGAGAAACATCCCGATAGGGGACTTCTCATCATCAGTGAATACTACTACTACTAACCCTAGTAGTCCAGACGTGCCCACCGGCTTGATGTATTCGAGAAAGATTGGCCAGGATAAAAAGAAGAATGCAGAATCCGATCCAGCAGGTGGAAGAAGGTTGTTGGACACGTCTTCTCACCCGCCAGCAGTGCCTCCACTTCCTCCACCTGGTTTACAAGACAATATTGAAATAGTTTCAACATGAACTGCTACAAATGAAGTATGTCCTTCTATACTTCCTCTTTTTCCACCATTTCCACTGGCATTAGATTTTATCAAAGCACAGTTTATGGTGGGTGTTCCTTTAGTCATTCCTGTACATTTAGGTCTAGTAAATTTTGTCTTCCATTTTGGTTTATCCACTACATGAGCTCTTCACAGCTCTCTATAGATACATCATACATAGCTGAGGAGAGAAGATTCTGATACAAACAGACCTCACTTAACTTTCCTTTGTTTTCTTGGCCATGTGGTTAGGAACATCAAAGCCTAGTTTTTCACTTTGGGAATTGTTTCCCCCATTGTTATCTGTGGTTACTACAGACTACAGACTAATATCACATGACATTGGTATGAGATCATTACTGTGAAAATGGCTTCTTTCGTTGATATTTTTGGTGAGTGATGACATGTTCCTCATTTTCATTTGCTGTCAATTTTTTGCCGTCTTATTTACTTTAAAGAAACTACAGACTACATAGTAATATGAATTGACAACATTGGTATGAGATCATTACCGTGAAAATGGCTTCTTACAGTTGATGTCTGTTTGGTGGGTGATGGACTTATTCCTCATTTTCATTGCTGTCATTTTTCTGCTGTCTTATTTACTTTATTTTTCTGTTCACTTTCTGTCTACGTAGATACAGTGATATGCAGTTGAAATGGTACCATCTTCTTGTGAATACCCACTTTCTTTAATAAATTGGGGATTTGCAAGTCAATGGGATGGAGAACGACCCAAACTCCTTTTACCACCCACATCAGGTTACATCTGCCTGCTTTGAGGTGGGGACAATGGGGAGTTTCATTATGGTAAACCATATTTTGATACAGGAATAGAGGGAGGACCAATGGGATTCTAGGGTTAGATTGCTCCCCTCGCAATAAAGATTCCAACTTTCTTGAAAGCCATTGATGGGTTGTTTGGCTTCTGGGCCGCTAACATTACAGGTGTGGAAAGAAAGTAGGCAGGCAGGAAAAAGCACTAAATATGGGTGTGGGGATGTGATTTGAAATTAGGCGAATCCTGAGGCTTAGCTTCGAAGAGATGAGGAATAATGGGTGGTGATGGTGGGAGACAAATTGCTTCATAGTAGGGGCAAGCAACATCAAATAATAGTATGCAAGCATGGAGCTTACTTGCGTTGGTACTTAATACACCAATACCACCCCTCTTCAATGTGTGCTCTTTGGTTGGCCTACAACTTTTAGCATTCATTAATACTTAAAAAAGTATTTAATTGATTTCTTTTCTCGGATTTTTTTAGAAAAGAGCGATATAAGTTTGGTTGCAGTTAGGGGCTATTTGATATATTCGAATCTGAGACCTCCATGTTTAACATCAATAATATGACCGCTAGACCAGCTTCCTTGTTTGTTTCGTTGATGCCTGCCTAAAAAAAGGTGAAAGGCAAAGGCTCGTGTCGTTACCGAACCGTTTTCATTATCCTTCATTCCCTTGATGCCTAGCTAAAGAAGGAGTCCATGCCTTTCGCCTTCTTCATACACTGTTATGATCTGTTTCTCAACACGTTGGTTGGATGTAACGTTCTTATTCATCATCGAACGCATACCTAAACTACTTGCTAATCTGACTTTTGTTAAAACCATATCCTAATTGTGTGAAACATCTATCTGTAAGGGAGAGAGTTTCCATCTCCAGGTAACTAGCGTTTCCGAATCATGTAACCCTTTCTACTTTGATTTGTAGAGTTTTTTTTGTTATACGAAAGAATTGATCGTGTCATAACGTTGAACACATCATGTTAACTTGCTCTCAATCTCGACATCGAGCCAAAGTACACAACCGCCAAACTGTAATCTATCATAAAATCAATATGAATATCGAGTTACCTAGCTCGCCTTACCCATTTTACCTTGACTAATGACTTATGGTCAAGCATCTTGCTACTCGTGTCAGTAGAAGATAAAGGAAGGAAAGGAAGCGCGTTGAGTTAGCCGAACCTCCTCGTGTCCTTGGATTAGAACATGCTGAGTTGGTTCTTACAGTGCAGTCTTCTTCTTCTTCCTGCTGCCTAATCCATTTTTGATTGCTTATTTCACACATTATTTTCGTTTTGGGCGTTACCCATATTTGGGCAGTTAGCCTTGACTACTCTTATACCTTCTACTTTCGTGTTTCATTCTACAATGTTATATCACCTTATTAGAATGAAAAATTATGACCATTGCCATTTGTTTGTAAACCAGGCAACCCGCAATTCCTAATCTTTATCAGAGTCGAGAGGTTCCGAGTTCTAACTCGATTCGCTACTATCATATTGCGTGTTCTGTATTTTTTACTGTTGCTGAATGCATATGTGCAATGACATTGCATATATTTGATGTCGACGGTGAATCATGAAGTGCATATTTTAGTAGCCATTAACATGTCAGGATGGATGTCCTTATCCCGATAGACATTGAATGGTTACCCTGTTCCGTATTGAAAGTAATGTACACATGACTAGGAGTGTGAAACGATTCACACGAATTACACTCTATTTTACATTTGGATTGAATAGGCCGATTTCTCGAGTTCAAAAGATTTGTCGAACCAAATAAAAATATACTCTTTTGTTCGTTCTAAAACACAAATATCAGTGATGATATGCTTGTGGATTTTCGATTTGATTTCTGAACCAAATCAAACCCACGATCGAGGTAGACACAGCTGATCTTTGGTGGTTGATATTTTCCTGACTGGAAAAAGTCGAGAAGGTTTTACCAGAGGCAGGATGAAGAGCCACCCAAGAAGTGAGAGAAACGAAAGGTTTAGAGAGAGAAAGGGGACTAGGGGCGATGAACCTTGGGAGACACGCACACAGAAAAAAGCTTTCCAAAACCAGCAAAAGTTTGAATTGAACCGATTCATGAATAATAATCAATGTGTAAAAATTTTGATTATTTGAAAGATTTGGGAATAAAATGATGAATGAATGTCAGCCCAATCTCTCTCCCACCTCTCCCTACAGTCCACAACTTGCCTCTTCCCTCCTCCTCCCTCTTGCCTAAAATTAAATTACCCAAAAAAAAGAAAGATAGAAAAAACAAAAGAAAAATGTCTCTTGACAATGAACAAATTCAGTGAATCCACCTCCTCAAAATCATCTCCCCCTACCAAAAAACATCCCAAACTTTGCCGCTTCCGTGCTCTGTTATTATTATTACTCTGTAGTCTGTACACTGCAAGTAGCCTCATAAAATTTCTAACCCACCAAAAGCGGAAACCTCCCCATTTCCTCCTCCTCCTCCTCCAGCTGGTGGAAAATTAAGCTCAAAACCCAAAAGGAAGATTTCATTAATCCATCCTCTTCCTCTCCCTCTTCTTAAAAGAAAGGAATCATCCACACAGAGAGTAAGAGATTAATCTTCTTTGCTGCCTTCTTCTCCTTCTGCGAACAATACTTCACTGGCCCTCCATTTTCCCTTCATCAGCAGCTTCACAGGTTCATTTCATATCTTTCTCTTAGTTTCATGTTTTCGTGTTGTGCTTCCAGTGAGCCAAAGATTCGAACTTTTTCCACAATTCCGAGCTGGGTTGTTGTTGGTTGATGGTTTCTATAACTGGGCTTTGATTTTTTCCCCCGTTTTGTTTATTCACCACCCAGAACCGACCTAATAATCGTCTCCTCTGTTTTTTTCTCCTTCCCTTTTCCAGGCTCTTGATTTTCTGGGAAAACGAAATTTCAGCTGCTGGGGGTAATTGGAATCGCGAGAACTCTAGAGAACTGGCGGATGAGTCGAGGAATTTCTGGGCAACTCATCACGGGATGTTAGTAGATTCCATCATTTCCTTCTTCTGTCTCGAATCTTCCACGCTTCAACCCGCTTCATTTCTCTAGCATTTCAAGCATTCCGACAAGTGTCTTCAGATTCCACAAATTTTTTTTGGAGCCTTGCGTTGAGTTAAATGAACTTTGGGAACTCCAATTCTGATTCAACGCCACAGCCGAGAATCCCGATCGATCTACAGAACCATTGCGTGACCGGCATTATGGAGATGATGACATCGAGAAACAGAGTCTCTCCTCCGCCTTCGTATTCCTCTTCGTCCGGTTCAATTCCGGCTCCGCACCATCTCAGGCCGGAGGTGGAGAAGAAGAGGTTCGTGTATGATCAGAGATCACAGATTGGGAACAGTAGTAGTAATCCGTCAAGAAGCAGGATGTTGCCCTCTGGCTATTTCAGCTTGGAGTCTCTGTTTTTGTTAATTGGGCTTACTGCGTCTCTGCTCATACTGCCTCTCATCCTTCCGCCGCTGCCGCCGCCGCCGTTTCTGCTGCTTCTGATCCCGATAGGGATAATGGTTCTGCTCATGTTCTTGGCTTTTACTCCTAGTGCTAGGGATATGACTTATACATCTCTGTAAATTTTCCTCTCTTGTTCGTTGAACAAAAAAGATGAAAGAGCTTGGAATTAGTAGGTTCACAAGAAAACAAGATCAATCATTCCCCCTATTCTGTTTAGATGAATTAAGATTAAGATTCGAAAGAAATATACTTATGTGAAAGAGTTAAAAATATGGCAGATTTCGAAATTGATATTTTGTTAATGAATCATCAAGAACAACCACATTTTATTTTCAAATGTTTAAAGAACACAAATTTGATCAAAATGGTAGTTAGCCAAACCAGCCAAATATCATTTTACTTTTAAGCATATCTTTAATTTGTATAAATTCGTGATAATCTTTCTTAGAAGTATGTAGTCAAGAATTGAACGTTATTCTTATTTAGTAGTTCGTCTTTTGTGAAATATAGATTTGAGTTCCTTTTCAAAATTATATGACAAGTGACTCGAAAATAAAGAGAATTCGAAGTAAATAACATTAATTAAGAAGATTTAGGGGTCGTTTGGATTGAGTATTTGGGGGTGTTATTTGGAGTCAAATAACACAAAATCTATTATTTGATCCCAAATAACATGTTTGGCTGACAAAAAGTGGGATGCGTTATTTGGATGTAGTGTTTTGTCAAATAACAGGTTTGAGACCAAATAACACAAAAAGTGTTGTTTGCCAAATACTTGGGAGGGGGCAGGTATTTGCCAAATAACAAGTTTGAGACCAAATATCACATACCAAATAACAGGTTTTATATTATGTGGTATTTATGTGGTAATTGACCCCAAACAACAAGTTTGTCAAATACTCAATCCAAACGACCTTTTAGAGGTTTTTTGGATGAGTTATTTGGGTCAAAATAACTCGTTTGGGTATCTATTTGGCCAACGTGGGATTTTGTACCGCGTTAGTTAGTAATAACGCGAAAACGCGTTATTTAAAATAACAGGTGGGAGGGTGTTATTTCTAAATAAAGCGTTGCTCGCTTTTTCGTTCCTCTTCTGTCCCTTTCTGTTCTCTCTTTCCTCTCTTTTTCTTTCCTTGTTCTTCCTCGGGTTAATACCTTAGTGGCCTGAACTATACACATACTTTCTACTTTGGCTCGTGGTATTGAAAATATCAGTATCACCTATTATTTATCATCATACAGGTGGCGCATATTTATTATGAGGGAGCACGGCTGAGGTGGTGCTCCAGGAGCACTCAAGAATTCCTCTGAAGTATGAACCCTTATCATGTTTCCCCCTTTCTTATCAGTACCGCTAATTGGAATTGGAGCATTTTCGTTGTTGGATGGCTTTCATCACGGAGCTTGCTGGCAATATTGATGCTCACTCGATTGATAGTAATCTACATTCCGTTTTATGTTGTGTAATCCGAATGTGCACTAAAGATTTTGATAATTTTGATTGGTTATGATAATGTTGAACTATATTGCTACTTGTCGTCATCATTGATATTTAAGTGAGCATCGTTGTTGGATATGTTATCGTGCGATCTCTTTGTGGCTTTGAAATCGTTGTTGGCTTGTGGTAGCATAAGCAATAGTTTACCCCCATACAAACACGGTAAAGCAAACCAAGAACGTTCTAATGCAGACCACAAATATATTAAAACAAACCAGAAATATCGCAAAGCAAATCACAAATATATTAAAACAAACCAGAAATCTCGCAAAGCAAACCAACAAAAATTCGAAAGCACACCAGAAACACAATAAAGCAAACCAGAATCCTCCTAAAGCAAATCACAAATATATTAAAACACACCAGAAACACAATAAAGCAAACCAGAATCCTCCTAATGCAGACCACAAATCTCTTAAAACAAACCACAAACCTCACAAACCTCACACCAGAAACCTCCTAATGCAAACCACGAACACAGTAAATCAAACCACAAAAAAGCAAACCGGAAACGTCCTAATGTAAACCACAAATATATTAAAACAAACCAGAAACCTCACAATGCAAACCACAAAGTTTTTGAAAGCAAACCGGAAACGTCCTAATGCAAACCACAAATATATTAAAACAAACCAGAAACCTCACAATGCAAACCACAAAGTTTTTGAAAGCAAACCAGAAATTTCTCAATGCAAACCACAAACACGATAAAGCAAACCACAAAAGGCATAAAAAAATATGAGAAACCAAACCATAAATCTCACAATGCTAACCATAACATCCGGTGATCGTTGACCGTTGACCGAACTCCGGTGACCGTCAGTGAGCAGATTCCGACGCCGATAGGCATATTCCGGCCCCGATGACTAGATTCCGACGCGGTAAGCATATTCCGACGCCGGTAAGCATATTCCGGTGACAAATAGCATATTCCAGTGACCGACGACCAGTTTCCGGCGATCGGTGGCAGAAATCCGGCAACCAAATTTTTGGGTTGAAAATAAAAAAATATTTTATTTATTTATTATTATTATTATTTAAACATATTTTCATAATGACAATTATACCCCTGCTTTTGATTTTACACTAGGTCAACTCATCTAATAAAAAGTCATCCCAATCCTAGCTTCCTATTGGTTGGAGACTAGTGTTGTTACAATAACAACACAAGAGGTGATGTCATAGTAACCGGTCCCACTAGAGGTTTGGTTAGTCTTTATCAAACAAAATCGATGCTATGTCATATCCACATGGACCGATGAAAAGTTGCATTACCGGTGCCGCAGTTTTATATTATAACGGCACCTTAATATTGGCCATAGTTTAATTGCAATGATCAAGGGAAAAGATAGTATAACAACAGTCTGTATGTTGTTACGGTACCAACAACAATCATTAAGGATAAAAAGGTAATTTCATATAAAAACAAAATAAAATTAAAATCTTCTGCATCGCTAATTCCCGATGCTCCAATTTTCCGTTCCCAGATCTGGGTTTCCTCCGTCTCCGCCCAGCTTTTTTCCTCCGCCTCTCTTAGCTTCTCTGTTCCGGCGCCGATCAACCTCCACACGAGCCTTCCACCGACGATCAAGAGTACATCGGCGCCCGATTCCCCTCCTTTGCCGCTGGCGCTCTTCCCCGCCGATCCCGCAGCCGCCGCGATCCCAATTTCCCCTTCTCTGTTCCGTCGCCGATCAACCTCCACACGAGCCTTCCACCGACGATCCCCATCACCGACGATCAAGAGTACATCGGCCCCCTATTCTCCTCCTCCGACGCTGGCGCTCTTCACCGCCGATCCCGCAGCCGCCGCGATCTTGACGCGCATGCGGTGGTTCTCGAGGTACTGGTAAAAGGCGGCGGCGAGGAGGCAGGCGACGAGGGAGAGGGAGTAATCGACCCAGGATTTAGTGATCCTCCGATGAGGAGGAATCAATTACGTTTTTTTTTTGTCCCAATCTTGAGACCAGGTAGTAGGAATGGCAATGGGGCAGGTCCGGGGCGGGTATCTCGATACCCATACCCGCCCCATGGCAGGTCGGGTCCAGGTCGGGTAATTTATCACGGGGCGCAGGTCGGGGCAGGTCGACCCATTGGGTATGTAATTTATGTGAAAAATATTAGAAATGTTCGTTCTTTTCATTGAAAGACCAAGAAAGAAACCATAATATGATAAAATGTAGTTAAATTATTGAAGAATTTAGGTTTTTACTTATTTACAACTTTATTATAGCTAAAATATAATGTAATAAGAGGAAAATCTTAAGTAATTTAACTAAGATTATATGTAATTTAGGCAAGAACGGGTCGAGAATGGGGCGGGTCAGGGCAGGTCGGGTCGATGAGAAGTACCCATGTCCGCCCCGCCCCGCCTACGGGGCGGGTTTGACCCGCCCCAAAACAGTTCAAACAGGTCGGGTAAATCGGGTCAGGTCGAAATTGCCATCCCTACCAGGTAGTTACCCTTTTGTTTTATAATTGTAACTGTAGAGGCAGCAATGATTTGTTTTTTTCTCGATGAATCATATAGAACGATTTCTCCCTTGGTTCCTTCCGTAAAATTGGAGTTTTTGTTCTCTCGAAAATCACTCATCCAAGAAAGATATTTGGATACTATAAATGAGACTTTATAACGGAGAGAGAGGAAGAACAGAGAATGAGAGAGAGGAATGATAACATGATCACTTGAGATCAATTGTTCATAAGATCAACGAAGTTTATCATATTTTTTTGTTTTATGATGTATTAGAAGTATCCTAATGTAGAACATAAGTATCGTGAAGTAAAACAGAAACACTACAAAGTTAGCCATAAATATTTTTAAAGCACACCAAAAACCTTATTATACAAACCATAACTCTCCTAAAACAAACCAAAAACAATACAAAGCACACCAGAAATTTCATAAAACAAACCACAAACACTATAAAACAAATCACAAAAAAGCATACCAGAAACCTTCCAATGCATGCCACAAATTCTCGAAAACAAACCAAAAAACCTACAAACCAAACCATAAATATTTTGAAAACACACCAGAAAACTTATAACGCAAACCACAAACACCGTAAAGCAAACCACAAAAGCAAACCAGAAACCTTCTAATACAAACCACAAATATATTAAAACAAACCAGAAATCTCACAATGCAAACCACAAATTTTTTGAAAGCAAACCAAAAACGTCTTAATGCAAACCACAAACACGATAAAGCAAACCAAAAACTTCTTAATGCAAACCACACACGATAAAGCAAACCACAAAAGGCATACAAAAATATGAGAAACCAAACCATAAATCTCACAATGCAGACCATAACATCCGGTGGTCGTTGGTCGTTGACCGGTCAACGAATTTCGTTGACCAAACTCCGATGACCGTCAGTGACCGGATTCCGGCGCCGATAGGCATATTCCGGTCCCGATGACTAGATTCCGACGCCGGTAAGCATATTCCGAACACGATGAGCATATTCCGGCGAGTGTGAGCATATTCCGATGACAAAATAACATATTCCGGCGACAAAAAAGCATATTCCGGTGACCGCGACCAGATTCGGGCGACCAAAATTTTGGACCGAAAATAAAAAAAATTATTATTATTATTATTTTTTTAAAATACATATTTTTCATAATGACAATTATACCCCTGCTTTGATTTTACACTAGGTTAACCCAACAAATGAAAAGTCATCACAATCCTAGCTTTCTATTGGTTGGAGACTAGTGTTGTTACAATAACAACATATTTGGTGTTGTCACCATATCCGCTCCCAATGATCAAACTCAAAACTGGAAACACTGTCGTGCCCAAATCCAGTGTTTTTAAGGGCCCATGGGAGTTCATTATAAGAGCCCAATTAGAAGAAGTCGGGCCACGGAGGCTAACAAAGCCCAAAAATTGCCTCCTAAATCCTAATCCGACGGGAAAAAGAATCCTAATCCGACAAGACAACGAAAAAGGAAAGCAGCGGCATGGGGGAAATTTATTGGATTAGGGATTTTGAATTTTGATATCCTCTTCGCCATTGTAAATCCCAAGCTTGTGCCGCCGCATAATCTCCTCGTTGGCGATATCTTATCTACCGGCTGCCGCCATGGCCACCGAGGGCTGCCCCTGGTCTTGGGCCTCCAGAAAACGGCGTCGCATCAGAAAGCCTCCTCCCAATCTCGCGATGATCGGGGACGATCTGCTCGTGGAGATTCTGATCCGCCTCCCGAACCATAGATTTGCCAGTGGCTGCAAACCGGTCTGCAAGCGTTGGAGGTCCTTGATCTCCAGTCCCCGTTTCAATCGCCGCTTCGTTTCTCACCACCGCATCAACAACCAACCAACTATGCCGGACAATCCCGACGACCTGCAATCCATCATCTTGAGCTTTCTCCCTCCCATGCCCAGTGCAGTTGCTGGCTGCTTCAAAGTTTTGGACTGCTTCAAGGACTTGGTTCTATGCGGGTTTTGGGATTTGGATTCCGACAACAAGGAACTCTGCCGATCCTACTTTATCTGCAATCCATTTACCAAGCAATGGATGGCTCTTCCTTTAGCCCCCGAGAAGGCCACGGGATACAAATCGCACTGCACAAGGTTTGTTTTTGAATCCCGCATTTCTTATGATCTTGATATGGAAGGAGGAGATGACGAACAGAAAGTTGTTTATTCTGAGTATCGTTTCCGGGTGGTGAGTGTGTATCAGCATGATGAGTCTATTAAACTGGACTGGTTTTGTTCCCAGTCCGGTAAATGGACCAATGAGGCTCTTGTTCTTCGTGGGAAGACGAAGATGAACGGACAAGTAATCTCGTGCAATGGGGAGCTGTTTTGGACGTATCATGAAACCGAAGATTTATGTGCTGACAGGATTATTCCTTGGGTGGCTGTGTTTAATCCTTTCCGCCCTGATGTACCTCCTACTCCTATTGATGCTTTCTCATTCTTCGGATTAGGACCTTGGAATATCTCTGAGTCACAGGGTGCTTTGTACGTAATTCAATATCGATCGGCTTATGAACGTTTTGTTTGGAGACTGGAAGAAGACGGTAAATCTTGGAGTAAACAGTATGAAGGGTTGCTGCTGAAAAAATCAGGGATCGGTACCATTGAACATAAGCACTGTATTTTACCTTTCCTGCATCCACATAAGCCGGAAATTATCTTCTTCCATTACTTCGATCGTTCCAGTCCGCGAACCATATTGTCCTTCGATTCAAGGACGGGAGAGCTAGAGGAATTCACTAAAGTTGGAGAAGGTGCATCTCGCGTTATGGTTTTCCATCCTGTGGCCTGCTGCTTGCCTACTCCAATTCCAAAGTACGAGGAACTGCGAAGTATGTATGATGGAAGCTACAACTTTTGGGTTCAGAGCAGTAGCACTGCAACGACTCCCTCAATAACTGGTAACTACTTCTGTCTGTAATAATACACATTCTTTTCTGTGTGTTGCTTCTCTGTTAGGTTCAGAAATTCACTACTATGAGAACAATAAAGTAAGTTTTTCCTTAATCAGGTAAGGGGAGCAGTCATGTGCTTGCTTACTACCTGCGTTGTCGCGTTAACACTAGCACACACATTCATGTTGAGTTTTGTTTTTTTGGTTGCAAACTCTTGGTCTTATTAACCTAATGTATGTTACCCTCTCATTTTCCGGTTTCTAACCTTGGCTCTCATCTCACTCATGTTGTGGCTGGTTAATCTGCCGGACCAGCTGAAGAATGCGAACCAGTTGAAGGAGTTGGACTTTTCGGTCATCGGAGGAAGGACAAGGGACCAGCGGCAAACCCCTGTCATCGTGTTAAGAAGCAGAAGGTGATGAATGGCTCGTGCTCTAGACAGTATGGTGCCATTGGACGAAAATCATATGTGAAGGATGGTGCTTTGATCAGTTGCAGGCGCAATAGGCGCCAACACTTGTTCAATTAGCCAAGGTGTTTCATGAAGATAATTTATTATGCTATGTGCTAGTGGGAGAGAATTTCCATTGATGTGTTTTGATGCACGATTAGACAAGTTTGTTTTCTTGAGATGATTTATTAAGCTACTTTATCTACTGACCTGAGGAGAAGGTGATGCCTTGAATGTATGTTCTCAGTCCTCAGATGGCTATTTACAGAATACTCCATCAATGGCAGCTGGAACAGAGCCCTCTGGTTGGGAGGGTTCTGGAAAGAGAGAGAGCATTTGGAGTACATTTCTTTTTTAAAATATGAGGGGTAAATGACACATTTGGTCACTGAAATTATTAAATTGTGTCATGTTTAGTCACTAGAAAAAATTAATATCAATTTTGGTCACTCGAATTACCGAAACATGCATCGGAGTAACGTGGAAGTCAGTGTGCTAAGTGCTAACCAAAGCACTATGGGAAACCCTAACGATTTCTTACCCTACCATATACCCGAGATTACTTTTTTTATTTATTAAATTGATATTCTCCAAATATCAGGTTATTAGTTGTATTAAATTCATCTTTGGATTTAGTCCTAATGAATTGGGACATGAAGTTTTTCTATAAGAGATTAGAGTATTGTATCATTATGCTAAACTCGATTTAATTCATAGTTTAAATAAAGATATTAGATATATTACTAGAATCATAAGAAGTATAGATTACTCCAAAAGTAAGAAGTTTGACCTACATATACATGTAAAATATTAGCATATACCTAGCATAAAATATATCCACTTCAATGTATTTCGAGGAACCATTACTGTCGAGTCGATATTTTTTATTAAATAATGTTATGATATGGATTTAGAGAATCAATGAATGGTCTACTAAACATATGTTATTCGCCTTTTAGACTCCAATGATTGTTAAGATAGAACTAACTAATTGCCTAAAATGAAATATGTAACGATCTCCCAAACTATTATATGTTTTTAAGATGTGAATGAGGTGTTCTTACACGTTTTCAAACCCCCCCCAAACTTGAGTTAAAACCTCAGTTTGTTTCCACATGTAAATGGAGTGTTTCCCTATGAACTTCCATGAAAGTAGCAACAGTGCAACACCAGTACTGTACTCTGTACAAGGATATTATCCATGGTAATTTGGAACTTCTGTTGGACGAATCTCTACAGGACGAGATTGTTGTGCAAATTGAGTGGAAATCTGTCGATAAATCTCTACAACAAAGGAAGTAAAAGGAAAAGTTCAAATACTTTCCTTTTTTACCAAAGAGCTGCAACGTCTATATACTCTTCTTGTGATGTTGTTCTTCTCCATCTTCCCTTCTTTGCTTTCAGCCGAACACTATTTTCATATAGCCTTGGGGCCTTCTCGCGCACTCTGAATTTTCTCTTCTAACTGCAGGATCTCAGCCGTTATCTCAGCCTGTATCTCAGTCGCCGCCTCCGTTTTCACCAGGGCTTTAACCTCATCTTGCTTAGCCTTCAACTCTTTCTCCCATTCCGCCACTTGCTTTTCAACGTTTGAACACTTCACCCCCTTACCACTGTCATCAACATTATTAATTCAATGTTATATACAAATGCAACATTTACATAATTACGCAAAAATGAATACATTCTTACCTCATGTATTCAAGAAGTGGCTGGGCATCCTTCTTCCAGATCATGAAGCTGTTTTCTGGCTCATTATTCACCTTGATGAAGAACTTGTAGTGTTCTTTAGTGTTGGAATGCTTCACGAACTTTATCCTCTCGATCTTGTCATATTCGATCATCATGAATGGCCTTGGTAAGAAAAATATCAACCTCTCCAGAGTGTACAGCCACCCCTCTGAAGCTCCATAGTATGCCTTGAGAATTTTGTCGGGTCCTTTGATCTTGTCATCGAACATGTCCTGAAGAGCGTTTGTAACCCTTCCATTGCTTGCTTCCTCCAGCACAATATATGGAGGGAGGGAATCTGATTTCTCGATTTCCATGATGACAAAAACATCAGATTCTGGTGCACCCTTTGGCAGCAAGAATAGCTCTACTATACTGCTGTGCGGAATCTTCAAACAATGACTCTTCCCTTTCAGACGGAAGAAGGTCAGGTTAAGGTCAATATCGTACGGACCCTCCCTGTATAAAACACAATAATTTATACTTCGTTTGATAAAAAATCAGAATATGGTTAAAGCTGCTTAAAAAAAAAAAAAAAAAACTCACCTTGGTTTTATTTTATTTTAGTTTTTATAATGAAATAACTCACCTTGGTAACAGCAGTGGAACTCCCTTGAAAGTTTCCACAGCAAAGGTAGAGAAATTATCCATGACCTTGTCATGGATTGTTTGAGCAAAAGGCACATGAAACTTCATGTTGCTGAGTGAAAATCCCTTTTCTGATTCATCCACAGGGAACTTGAAAGAGAGTTCGCTTTTCTCTCCCATTTCAATTTCAGAGACATCTCCGACGTTAAGCTCAAAGACTTCATCTGAACCGTGTAAAAACATCACGTGTTCACCTACAAAGCCACAAGCTAAACGAATGAGAAATCACAATCAATATATACATATAAACACAATATGGAAAGTCATACCTTGAACTTCAAGCTGCCCCCTGTTCTGTCCGGTGATTGAGAGCTGTTTTACTTCTAAATCAACTCCATAAGTCTCCTTCACAAAGTCTCTGATCGTGCTTAAATCCTAGGACACAATACCCACATCATAATGAATAAGACCTCCATTTATTCATTCCTTGAACATCAGCCAAAACCAAAAACACACCTGGTCTCTAAAACCCAAAAACTGGTGGGATGGACCGTCTTTGGAATACACAGAAATTCGATTCCCTGCTTGAACCTTAGTCCATGTAACTCTGTCAACCTTCCCCACTTCCACTTTTTGAGCACCTCCTCGTTGCTCCCACATAATACTCTCCACGGAGAACGTGATTTGACCCAACACCTGGATTTCATGAAAACAGTTGGTTATATTCAAACTGCAGCAGCAATACCCATAGACTTTAGTGCTTTAAACTAATTGCAATTCGTAATAAACCGATGTATGGGGAAAATCATGTATCCATAATTCCAGTGTCATTCTTCAGTTTCAAAAGTAGGTGCATTCTCAGCATCATTTTAGCACCTCTCAGACAGACTACGTAATTGTAGAAACCAAATAGCTGCAAACTGACAACCTTTATTCAACACTAATTCTAAGTATATATACAGAGCACTTACTGCCCACTCCCATCACTCTCGGAATCTCTATGTTTACCACTAACCCTCACCCCACAAATATAGCTAAACTAGTTAACAAACTCAGACCAGTAAACACAAGAGTCTGCAAGCTAATCACTTAACTACTTGGACTTAGCTCGTGCTTGCTCACGTGACTCACTTATCTAACATATCCTCCTCTAAACTGAAGCAGCTGCAAGCCTTCAGTTTATTGTACAAAAAACATTTTCTGCAGCAACATTAAACAAGTTGAAACAACAGCCTTCAATTTACTCCGTAGTAACATATTCTGCAGCAGCATCACCAGAGAACAGTAGTATCTTAGAAGCAATAGCAGAATCTCAAGGACCTCTTTATGAATCTTCTCAACTTTAACCAACTGGGAAACCCATTCATCATAAGATGTCAAATTAAGTCTAGGCCTTGAATCATCTATCTCTCTGGTATGTGCAGTAGCATCCTCAGTTCTGCTTCTAGTAAAGCAAACAACCATCAATAACCCCAACACACACTCATTACAATTTAGACTCTTAGCCACTTTGATCTTGTCCTTCATTTCCTTCCAAAAATCCCACAGTGGAGCATGGCCATATTCAACTTCATGATCTTATATTAAAGAACCAATTCCCTTTTTGTCTTTTGACAAAACAACTCCACAAAACCTGTCACAACATGTTATGGTGCCCCCACCCACACTTCTTTTCCAAACTATTTGTTCCAGAAACTTGCTCAACCATATGGTGTTGTGCAAACAATGAGCTATTGTTTCTATACTTGCTTTTGTGGTACCCCAAGTCACTGCTGGTTGTTCATTGTCCTCCCCAAAACCAGCATCAAGTTTTGTGACAGTGATGTACAACAAACTACCAGCTCGATGCTTACACCGAGTTGCATTCACTACCAGAAAGTATCTCGTTATATCAAGTTCAGTCATTTCAATCAACCTCTGACCATTCTTAATCTTATTGTTCCATGCCCTTTCAACCAGCTTCAAACCATTTAAAGCTTTCCTCAGTCTGTACACAAAATCTTGTGCTTGCTTTACATAGACAACACCATACTCTTTCAGTTTAGTCATGAACATCCAATTGAATTCTTTCCAGAAAAGTAACTGTGTACCTTTTTTACATTTAAGAACCCCTTTATTATTCTTAATCACTTCCATTCCTAGAATGTATCTTATCCTTCGCAAATCTGCAACCTTACACACACACACACACACACACTGCATAGGATCCTTTACTCTAATCAGGGCTGCACTTTTAATTTCACTATACCAAGTGATGAAATCTTGTTCCAGTAGATCCTTTTGAAAGCTTAAATTCACCAGAATTCCATGTTCATCGAACGATAGCTTAGCGATTGAGTAGACGTCACACATGGTCTCGTTTCCTTTGATCAAATTGTCTTGCCAACCCATTTTCTCTAGAAACATTCTGAGCCATATGCGATATGATTCATAATAAGCAGTGGCTACTAATTCTGCTTCAGTTATGATCCAATCAACCACTGGCAGTTTCCTGTAAACCCCGGATACAGTTCTTCTTACTTTTTGGAATACACAATCATTCATGCTTCTTCTGTTACCCATATCACCTGCTGCAAAACCAGCTTTGAAACTGATTAAACTAGTTGCAAAGTCAGCTAACAAACCAGTTGCAAAATCAACTATACAGATGACCGAACTTGCTGCAATAAGTACATCATCACACTTAGTTGCATTCACTTGGTCTTCAACGTAAGAAAGCTCAACTCTAGGAGATATGGAACCAAACTTGTTGTAGATGACTTGGAACCACCCAACAAACTTCTCTGTATGTTTCTTTTCCTCCCCTGCAGCCACAAGGATTTGTGGTTGCAATTTCACTACCTCTGCACAACTTGGAGGATTATAAACATATGCAAACATATTATTCTCACATATATCCATGTGACCAAACTTCCTTTTTATTTTAGGACCCAAATCCTCATAAACTTCATAATCCTCTTCCTGATCAATGTCAGTTGTTGATATGGCAGGAAGTTGTAAGTAGCTGCCTAGAATGGTCACCTCAAACATAACTTGCATGACAGTTTTGCAACCCTCACTCAAAATTCCAGAACTACTTGCATGCATCATACCATTCACATACAAGCTAACGGTAATCAAATCATTCACTTCTTTAACAAATACTGTATGTTCATAGGGACATTCGAAAGATCCAGTTTGCCTGAAGTACCTGTCAATTCTGTTACACGGTACCTTGGATTTTTGCTCATGTTCACAGCTTGTTTTCTTCATCTTATATATCTTATCTTCCCCTCCTTCTGCAGCTGGTACCACTATTGCTGATTCATTAACTCCGAACTCTGGTTCAAGAGAATTGTGCTTAAGTTCACAGCTCTCTTTCTCTATGTTATTTTCCTCTCCTTCTGCAGCTGGCACATCTGCTGCTAGTTTGTGAGTTGTGGTCGCTGGTTCAAGAGACTTCAGTGTTTCCAATAGAACCTGAGATTTCTCTTCAGCCTCCTTGACAGTGTCTAAGAACCACCCTTGCTGTTTTGCTCTTCTTTGTCTACAATAGCCATCAATAACATGGCTTCCGTCTTATCCCCAAGATTCTTGTTGCAAGACCCTGCTGGTGCACTTGACAAGTAGTCTCGTTGATGCCAATCTGGACATTTATTTCTAAAATGTCCGAACTTGTGACATTTATAGCGTACCACTAGTGCACGATCCCAGGTCCTTCCACCTCTTACTCGACGTTTATGAAACACATTCAGGGCCCATCATTCTGAACCAAGCGTTTGCTGAATTTTTGCTCATGAACTATCAGTGAACTTTGAAGAGCATCGACAGAAAGAGAGTCTATATCCTTAGATTCTTCAATGGCACAAACTATGTAATTGAACTTCTTAGTCAGTGTTCTCAGGATTTTCTCAACTATTTTGACATCAGGCATAGACTCACCATGATTTCTCATGGTATTGGCCACCGCCAGCACCCTTCCGAAGTAATCAGCCACAAGCTCCCCATCTTGCATTTCCAACAATTCAAAATCCCTTCGAAGAGACTGCAGTCGAACTCTCTGAACCCTAGTGCTGCCCTTAAATTTAATCTTCATGCTATCCAAGAGCTCTTTTGCTGTGGACTTATGTGAGATTGTTCTCAAGATGGTGTTGTCGATTGAATAGAACAAGTAGTTTTTAACCTTGTAGTCTTTCAATCTTGATTCTTCCAAGGTTTTGGCGTGAGTTGCAGACTCCATCTCTGCACCAGTTTCCTTGATCCCATCACAAACAACACTCCAGTATTCTTCAGATCTTAACAAGTTCTCCATCAGCATACTCCAATGGTCATAGTCACCATCAAACCTGGACATGCAAATCTGGGTAAAGCTGTCGTTCTCACCCATGATTTTCTTCTTCGCAACTCAACACAGGCAGTTGATGGGAGAACAAGTTTCGACAGAAGGAGCTTAAGGAACTTCCACCTCTTGTAAGGATCCCTAGCCACCACTTCGAACAAAAGAAACCAAATCAGCATCTCTAAATCCCAACAGCTTATCTTCAAGGCCCAAATCAATCATACTCCAGTACATGTACTCATTGCATAGTTTATCCAATGATTGAACACTGGCAACTATCTCATAGCAGCCTCCTGATTCAGTGGCGAACTTATCCCCTTTATGGAAGTTGCAGCACTTCACTTCGAAGTTGAGGAAGAAGTGAAGAATACCCTGACCATCAACTACGGCACGAGAAGACTGTGACCTGACGACCCAATCCTTTGGGACACTGCCCGGTGGTGAATAATCAGATTTCAGCTCGGCCTTTCGTCGAACGGTTGGCAGACGATTTACCTGAGCGTCGTTGTGGCCAACCCACGTTACCCCTAACTAGCGCTGAAACATAGAAGTCTACAACTACCCTCTAACTACACAAAATCAAGAGCACGAAAAAGTTTAGGGCTTACCGGCTCCAGGCGGAGGCGGCGAGGGAGTCGACTGATGTCTGTAAACTGGATGCCTGCCATCCTCAGCACCCTGGACGAAGAAAGAAAGCGAACACTGGTTTTCGATATGAGAGCGCGAACACTGGTTTTCGAGATGAGAGAGAAAAGAGGAGGGAAATGTTTCTATGAATTGTTCCGTGCGGATTCTCCCAGCTACTCAAACAAACCGATGGGCTGTCACCTGGGCCTTGGCCTTCCATCTTTGGGCTGTCGTTTATATTTCCTTCGATAGGCTCAGCCCATGGAATATAAGACAAAATTACGACTGAGTAGTCAAACTTTTGACCATCCCAGTGGCGTCTCATGGAGCGCCACGTTTACGAATGGCGGCGGCGTCCTACCATGGTGGCGGCGTCGAGCCCAGAGTAGAGCTAAAATTTGCCCTCAATGCAATCTGAAAGACAGCCGGCGTGCAGCGATAGTCAGGCAGGAATCGACTCGTTTCCGGTATGTGTTTTTTTTTACCTTTCGCTTCTGCTCATTGTATTCAACTCCGAGGTTCGTAACTATGAACTCTGGAGATCATCTAATGGAGTGTTTCCCAATTTCTCCAAGCTTAGAATTCATCAATTCGTAGACTGGAGTTCGTAGCTGAAGGGGCGTAACTTGATTGAGTCATTAGGAGTTTGAATTTGCCCATTATGGAAAAGAAGTCGCCTGAACCTTTTCCTGGTACCAATTAAGGGGGAAGGAATTTCACTTTCTCCCACTTTTGGAAATTGCTAATTGTCCTGAACTTCAAACCCCTCTCTCACGACCCTGTGGATTGGGTGGGATTTCGATGATCTTGCAGAGGTGGATGTTATCGACGAGAAGACGGGACCAAATGTTCACAGGCATGGTGTGGAGGAAGGTTCAGCTTCCATTGAAAGTAATGAATACAAGTCTTCTGGGGATGTAAACATGGAAGCTGCTATATCGAGTGACGATGTCTTGCGAGCTGGAGGCTTTGGGGCTAGAGATGATATAGGCAGTGTTCTCCCTGTTGCTAGTGACTCGACCGACTTCGAGGAGATGATCCTTAATGCTAAGGACTACGAAGCGCCACAGGCAGAACAACAACGAAGGCCGGGTCTTGGATGGACAGATGCAGCTGAAGAACAAAACCCGTCTTCTGTTCAGCCCTTATCTGTGAGTTTTCGATGAGTTAGTTCTCTGTTTCTTCCTTTTGGGACTTTGTGGCATGTGGGGATATCTGGTTATCTTGTGGTACAAGCTATTCAGTGAGGCTTGTCTGGTGGAAGAAATAAAGTAATGTACTTGGAATCAGCTTCAATACTCTTTGCTATACCCGAATTCAACCTCACTTTTTAGTGAAGCTAATACTACAATATCTTCTCTAAATGGCCCCTTTTGTTAAACATGATCAGGTTAACTAGCGAAATCGGTCTTGTTTTCGGTTATTCCCACTGTTATGTCCTAATAATGAACTCTGTGGAATCAAACCTACTATTATAGGACTTGGCCTGTAATCATTTACAAACTAGCTTTTAGGTAACTATGGCTTCATGTATTCTTCAAGAGCCCCTCAGTGATGCTTTGCTTTCGGATTTGGTATTGCCTCTTAAAGATTCTGTGTCCAGGTGCTAGGACAGCCAAAGGATCATAAGTCAATTTCCTCTTTAGAAAAACTTCCCATTTGGACCCAAAGTGACCCTTCCAGTCTTCTTGGGTGGTGTAATGAGGCAAGTATTGCTTCAACCCTATACCGGCACCCAAACTGAAGTCTAGTATTCGTTGGTTTCGTGCTAAAATGTAGTCCAGCCCGTCTTTCCCAGTGGAAGATGGCACTGCCGATGCCAAGAACGAGACATGGTAAATAACATCTTCTCTTGGAGTGACCAATGATGTTCTCTTGATATTGTTGTTCCACCTGAAAATTTGAATGAAAATCATAGCTCAAGTAGGTGTTCTTTCTTTTTGCTGTTGAAATTGATCATATTGATGAGAGAGAATCAAGTACTTGGACTGGTTGAGTGCATAAATGAGGATTGGACCATTGCTACTGTCTGTGACAATGCTGCCAAAAACCTGACTTGCAAACTGATCCATCTTGCTTCCTGGAATGAAAAGGCATAGCCATGGATGTGGAACTTCCCATAAACCCTGTTCTCTGAGTTTCATCTCGGCGACGTGGACCCTGTCCAGAAACCCGAGGTAGGAAACTTCAGAGACAAAAAGGGTGGAGGTAATGAAGTGCAGCTTTGACAATAGTCCTTGGATTTGCTGCAATAGATGGAGGGCAGTAATCCAGTTTAGTGATGAAGAAGTTAGCTTATGTTTTCTATTGTTCTCATGAGAATGATTGAACATACCATGTCGACAGTTTCAGCGTCGTCATGGTGTGAATTGTAGTACTTGGCAACTTCCAGACAGTAGAGGGTTTTCCCATCTGAAACGAATTGGCTGGCTTGAACTGGGTCCTTGGGATGGAAGGAGGATCTCCAGTTGTTGAGGAGGCCAGTTCGGTTTATAATCACGAATCCTTCGATGTAGTCGAAGGATTCGTCAAGGGATATCAGATGCTCTTGGTCAGTGGAAAACTTGGAGAAATCCGAGTACAGAACTCGAATCCATCTCACCTACAGAACCAGCAGAAAGTCGAAATCAGTTCGCCTATCTGTTATAATTTCTGCTGCTGATTTGACCTTGAATGGAAGTTAAAGAACTGTTACCATGTCGGGTGCTGCTTCAAGAGAGATTCTTGCTCGAGTTATGATCCCAAACTGTCCAAGCCCTCCAAGCACACTGAAGAACAGCTCTGCATTCTGCTTCTCAGAACAGGTAACCACCTCTCCTTTACCTATATAAAAAAAATGTTCATCAACCAAATCAAACTCAAGCTCCACACCACGGTTAACTGGACCGACCGGCTCAACCACGATTCGGTTTCCAGTACATTGGTTCACAGCCCAGCTTCCTGTTTTCCTCTATTTCCCACCACAAACTGGGTATAGCAACAGACTACAGAGGAGTATGTGTACCTGTGACAACCTCCAATTGTTGAACGTTGTTGATCTGGGGGCCATGCCGGAATGCCTGGCCGCTGATCCCGCCGTTCGACAGCGTCCCTCCGACGGTGAGATGCAAGTAATCCGTCCACGATTTCGGCGCCAGCCCCTGCTTGAGCGTCTCCTTCAGGACATCGATCCACAGCTCTCCACCCGACACATCGACATAACGACCACCACCACCACCACGAAGATGCCCCTGACTCGGCCGTCGAGTCAGGGACTCCATGTTGACAACTATCCCGCCGTCAGCTTGCGATTGGCCCTGCAGGGAATGGCCGTGTCCTCTGGCGGCCACGGTGAGCCCCGAGAGCGGGCCCATTTCGTAGACGTGCTTCACCGTGGATGCGATGTCGGAGACCGATTTCGGGTGGAGGACCGCTGCTGGCCGGAAGAAGAACCGGTTGCCGAAGTCCCGAGAAGCGTGTGCAGTGTTTTGGAAGCTGAAGTGGCCGTCGAGGTCTAGTGTGTCGAAGGCGGCGTGAGGATTGCTGTCTTGCTGCTGCTGCTGCGGCGGTGGTGGCGGTGAGAAGATCTTTTGGTGGTTTTGGTTGGCGGAGAAGAGCTTGGATTCGTGTGGTGTGTGGCAGAGCAACATGATCATCAGGAATCTGAGGCGGAGAGTGGTGAATTTATTGGTTCGTTGGGAGGTTGGTGATGCCATTTTTGTGGGTCACGAGGGGGGAAAAACAGAGGAAAGTTCGAACAAAAACAGAGGTTTGGAAAGTTGAAAGTGGGGAAGTATAGTGGCGAGGGAGGGAAACCAGAGAAGGGAAATTTAAAGGGGGAGGGTTACTTCAAATGGGTTCTCGGTTCGGCAGTTTTCCTACGTTGATTTCGAAATAATAATTATGGTCGTCAAAATATCTTTTCTTATTGTTTTTCTCCGGGTGTATTAGAAACATTTATTAGTTGTACTGTACGATCGAATTATAGTAAAGTCATTGACAATCGAAATTAACAATCAATTTATGAGTTAGGTCAAAATTATTAGCCAACCAAAAGAGGGAACTACATTGAGTCTTAAGGGGAGGTCATAACCCTTTTTGAACTTCTAAAGTTTGATACAAATATGTGTAAAGCTTGTAACTTTTTAAAAAAATAGAGAAGCTTGTAATGGATTTGACCCTTTTCCTAACTTTCCACGATTTGGTGCTCTCGAACTTAATTCTTCTTTTTCTCTCAGACTTCTGGTTCGATCACTAATTTGTCGTAGATAATAGTTTGTTTTTACATGTTACATACTCACAGTGGAGCTAGGTTGAAGATAGAAGAGGTTGTAATCTCTCTTCAACTTTGAAATATATATATAAAACTACAGGTAAATTTTGTACAAAATCAAGAATTAGTATATTCGATAAGGCTTTAGTCCACCTTCCTTAATTTCTAAAATTCAAGGAAATCCACTCATTTAGAATTCTGTTTTTACCACACTAGACAACTACCATTGAACTTGGGAGAGAGTCTATGACCCATTGATAATTATGAGTGATTGGTTAATGGCAACCACAATAAGCATTAAACACTCTTTTATGGGAACAATTTTTGTTTTCATCCGACAAAATGTTGACACTATGATGATTCCGTTGAAACTAATATAAAAAGATTAAAAAAAATTCTACCTTTATTGTCCAATAAATGATGAAAATATATATCAAACTTGAGTGTAAATAAATAAAATTAAAATACGTGGCTTCTACAAGGTGTATAGTAAATAATAGAACCTGTTTATGGGTTCCACCCGGAAAGGATCTCGGTCGTGTTGGCGTGTAAGTGTATTGCATGCAATTTGGTGATGTCACATAATTTGTGTTGCAGTTATACAACTGTAAAAATAAACTATTCGAACGGAAAATAATGACTACAATTGTGTCAGAATTGTGGTCTTAAAACTGCACAAATCACGATTATAGTTACAATTCCGTTAAAGTTGTAATTCTACAAGGGCAAAAACAACGACTACAACTATGATTGTACTGCTACAACTCCTAATTGGCATGGTGCTAACCTCTTTATAGCTAGCAAGCTAACCGTGCTTTTATATTGATTACAAAGTAGCTTGAAATAACTTTTAAAGTCCCTAACTATATATGAATGAAGAGGTAGTAGCGAAGCCGAGAATCAGACCGATGAAGACTGATTAAGAAAATCACGATCATCTCTCTGAGGTTGAAAAGGACTATTACTATGTTCTCGCTTTTCAGCATTTGTACAACACATGATTCACATATTATAGTTGTTTGTGAACCCTAAATGTCACTAACTATTGTTTTTTAAAATCGGAAGATAAAAGCTTTTCAAGCCCCTTATTTTTATGTCAGGAAAAACTAAGGTATACGTCCGAGACTATGAATACTCGACAAGTTAACAAGAGCGAACTATTCAAGTCTACATATTTACATACCATCGCTCGTCGGGATTATATCATTCCAACCTCATGTATTATCACTTGAGTCGTCCATTCAGTGATTTTATTTGGGGTTTTTTCCCCCAAAGGGTGTAGATGACACGATGGAGGTAGCAAACTTATCTTTAATTCTTTTATCTCCTCCAGAAAGCTTGTGCGTAAGTTCCTAAGCCATTATAAGATCTCGATGTCTCTCTTTGCGAGTAAATATGTACGTGGAAAGGAAAAGAAAGGATCATTTAGGAAAGGTAAAGAAAGGTTTGTTGTAAAGAAAGGTGTATTAGTGTACCCAAGTTGTCGACTTCCTTTTGGGCATATATATAGTCGTAGTGGGAATGAATGAAGGCTACAGTCGATCGACACCAACGACAGCCTCTTGTCTCAAAGCCTTTATTTAGAAAATGTTGCTACTAAGAGAAATGGCGATGTTCTTCCCTTTTCACCCAAAGAAAAGGCCATGATGAAATCGATGGTGCTAATTTGCCCCCCTTTTGCTACTTAACCAAGCTGCTGCTGCTGCTGCCAAGTTTTACATGTACTTCATTGCTGCAGTGAAAAAGAAACGTCAAGACTAAAGTTTGGTGTAGGGATGACGATCGATCGGGTCGGATTTCTCAAAATTCAAATCCAATTCAACAAGTGTATCGGCATAAAAATTCGGTAAAATACCTACTGTTGAAGAGAAATCCTACCCAACTCAATGGATAGCTGGGTACCTGTGGGTGCATGAGTACTACTCTACTCACGTGTTCACGAATATAACGAAAATAACTTCTCCGAACACGCACTTCCTTATGTTAACAAAAAAAAAAACTTCTATAACTATATTGCTATGAAGGCTAATAACTTCAATAGTTAGATGTATTATTAGAATTATGTTAGCATAGCAGCTAATAGCATTTATGCATTGTATCGTATTATTAGGGTTGGAAACAAAACAACGTAATTTTTCTATTCATGAGTGGGTTGGGTGGATATTGGGTCGTATTATTATCGTATAACTGCGCTGTTACGGATCGGGAAATCGTCGGAATCGAGAAAGTAAGGATACGAAAGCGAGAATCGAAAACATATACAAGATTTACGTGGTTCACTAACACAATGTGTGTTAGCTAGTCCACGGGCAGGAGAGAGCTAGTTTCACTATATCGAGGAGATTACATATTATAGATTACAAATTCCAGATTACAGAGGAGATGATGAGTATTTATACCTCTCCATGTGGGTCTAAACCTAATCCAATATGGTAAAGGAAACAGTTACAGACCAGCTGGCCCAAAACTGAAAACCCAAACGTGTATCGACCCATACACCGTGGACCCCCGTGACTTCCAATCGTAGCGGCTGGATAGTCCGATGCAAGTCACATCAACACTTTATGTACAACAAAAAGGCTCTATCACTTATAAGCATATGATATATATGCATCCAAATAACTTACACCCGAAAGAATTCATATCCCAACAATGGTACAGGTTGGTGTAGTCCGAGCGATCACATGCACACACATGTACGTACTCTAAACTCGATTTAATTCATGGTTTAGATAAATACTTCCAACACAATATCATGACCAAAACCCTATCATTTGAGCACCAAATTCACACATGTATACCCAATTTCATATTCATCAATCACCATATATATACCAACTGATGTCAATAACCCCTAACTAACTCTCCTCCACTTATGAGAAAATGACAGTACATACACTGTCCAATCTGATAAGTGCACACACCACCAACAACAAAAACAAAGCTGATGCATGCAAACCATTACTCTCTCTCTTTCTCTCTGCATGTGCGGTATCTGGCATCAGAAAGTAGAACAAGCTAGGGAAGCATTTTTTTTTTGGGGGGGTTGGCCCCTACCCAAAAAATCCTCCTCTCCTCTGCTCTTCTCTTCTGCTTCCAACAAGTCGCCAAACCAACCAAGCAGCATCTTTAATGGGTTCGAAGAAGATAAAAAAGGGGGAACAAAGAGTCGTCGTTCGTTCGTTCGTCAAGCAGCTAGCCAGTCATATATGTAAAGGCTGCAGACAGACATTGGTGGTGTTTGACAAACCTAAACCCCTCATTTCATTTGTAAGCTCTCTCTCTCTGACAAGACTAAAGAGAAAGTTCTCCACTTCACCAACGGCTTTTCATGACCTAACCCTTTCGTCGTCGTTCTGCAGCAATATTATTCCCACGGGAGGGAGAGGCGACGACACCTTTGTAGATATATGAAGATGATGTCTATAGCTAGTAGATAGTCTAGGCCTGCAACACACTTAGCTCGCAATGATCCAAAGTTAGGACCACGATCCTAGCTAGATGGTGGTGGGAGGTGGCGAAGTCAGAAATCCGAACAGAGCAGGGGTATGTGCATGTCACACGGTAACAAACCCTTTTCCCAATAACTCGAGTTATTGGGACCAATAATATAATTGGTTAGCTCGCTAAAATGGTCTATCGGAGTCTAGAACCGCGAAAAGGTCATGGGTTCGAATCCTCGTGACGACCCCCCCATTTAATGCCCAATTCGTTTAGCACAAGGGATGGTATGTCCAGCATGTGAAAACTAAAGCCTCGCGTGGTTTTAGCAGGACAAGGGGTTTAACCTGAGCAAACCGTACAAATCCAGAATTCGGCATCGGATTTCGTTTGAAGGGGGGAGGGGGCGTGTAATAGATTGAAAGGCTTAACAAACCATTTTCCCAGCAACTCGAATTATTGAGACCAAGTGGTTAATTAGTCCGCTAATAGAGTCATGGACGATGTTAACGATGGTGATACCCGATGGACTCGGTATCGCCACGTGTACTTATAGTAGTCATGTGGGTATTTCATATGTAGTAGAGCAAGTCTTGACAGACAGGGGAATCGGTTAATCGATAATGTTAACGAAGGTGGTGGTGGTGAACTTGATCACTAACAATGGAAATGTGTGATCGATCGACAATGTTAACAACAATAGTTGGCAATGTTTGAGCATTGAAATATGAGTAATTTGAGGGGGACAAAATTTAGGGTTTTCATCTTTCGTTTGATGAGAAAGTCATCTCATGAAATGGCGGGCTCCATATTGTACGGCGGTCTCATTATCCACAGGACATTGCTGGCCTAACCCACGTGGCTGTTTTGACAATATGGGTAGTACTTGGCGCCATTTCTATATTGTCGAAGTATAAGATGGAGATATACAAACATCGGATATCGATCCTAACATGATCTATGATTTTTAAGCACAATTCATGTAAATCGAATGATCGTAAATCGCAGAATTTACGATTCAATGAACATTAGCGTGTTAACATGTGTTTAAATCGAACCGAATCGCACCCCTAGCTCGATGATGGGGTACAAGGGGTTGGATCATGTTGAGCTAAATAGCTAAATCGCCTATCGCTCACAGAAAGGAAGATGGTGATGATTATGTCACTGACCCATGATTTGGAGTGGCAGAGGAGAGGAGAGATGAGGGTGATGACAGTTTGAATGTGGGAAACACACTAACATCCTCAGCCTATCAAGGGAATAGCTTTCTAGTCTTTAGATGTGATATTTCTAAAGAGAAAAACAGTGTTCTTCAAGGGGGGGATTTTTGGTGGGTCTCTTGAGAAATAGAAGGGTTTAAAAGAAGTACAAAATATTATAATATTGTTAAAATCGAATTGGACTGATCGGATTGACTGAAAATAATTGGACCCGATCGCAAATTTGGTTTGACCAGTCTCAAATCGAAGCAGCTTATGCACAGCCGAGTTAGGACCAGTTCTGGTGATGTCATGTCCAAACACAAATTGTTGAAATTCCTTAGCTGGAACTTTAACCAGCTTGGTTTCTCAAGGGAGAGTCTGATATGACGACCAACTAGACTGCACACATATCCAGTGTTATTTTTAAATGTAGAGACGGTAAAGCTAATTTTTCATTAATATCATTAATTGATAACATTTTCTTGCAAAATGTAAAGTGCTTGCTTTTCAAAATTACAATGGAGATTCAACACAACTTCCCCACTCAAGACTATACCAAACTCCAACCAACTACAACTACTTATCAACACCTTTAGGAGAGGAAATCCACAAATGGATCATAGCAAGTTGCATTTCATAAAGAGAAAGTTGAGCACCATCGACTGGTCACACTCTAGCTATAAAAAAAAAAAAAGACTCACTCTAAATAGGAACTAGCTAGAGAGCATAATTTTGAGCACACACTAGATAGCACAATAGGTGCACAAGGAGAGTGGGGAAGAATGGGTAATGAACATGTCGGGCAAGTTCCTTGTTAAAACTCCAATGTCAACATCGGAATTTATGCAATTGGACCAAGGCTAGGTATATGGGTCATCTAGTATAGTGTAGGGAGCATCTAGGTAAAGCACATAATTGCACAACCATTATTTCGATATGTTGTTTTTCGAGGTTTTCAATATCGACGACTCCTTTTTCTTCCCTTGCGCCAACCATCAAACTGAAAGACCTAACTCTTGCGTATATTGCACACCACGACCATATAGTATTAGAGTATTAGTAGTAGTACTATGTGTTCTTTCTACATTTGCAACGACCAAATTACCATGTGCAAATCTAGATAAGGCTTAGGCCTTAGTGTCACTCACAAGTATAATGAAACATGATCAGAAATGGACATGCATGGAAGGAAGATGCTAGCTAGGGTTTGATCATTTAAGCCTAGCTCTAAAGTTATGTATGAGAATCAAATCAAGGAAAGAGGGTTTGACTAACATAAACATATATCGGCTTCCCATACCATTTTTGGCGATGAGGATATAAGGTTGGACATTTCAACTTGGACGTTTAACAAAAGCGACTTATTCGATTTAGAAACCAACGAAATTTTACTTGTACGTAGTATAGTAGCATCACGATAACTAGTTAACTACTGACTAATGATGGGTGTCCGAGCTTCATATCGACTTTCTTCGAATGTCGATCCATCTCATGCTAACACTATACTCAAACTTACACCCGTATTTTGATAAAAGATAACGTACTAAGATCGTATTCTCCTTCCATTGAAAAGAACACCAAGTCTCTATCATATTGAGAGGGCAGTGAAGTCAAAATGAACTCCAGGCTCTGTCATTTTCGACACATCTCTTTAGGAATGGATTCATGGGATATTGTATAAATGGCGAGCTAGCTAGGAAGGCGCAAAAACGAACTTGAAATGACAACTTGCAAGACTTTGGTGGGCTTTCACTTTCACTTGTGGAGGAGTGGGGGACGATTTATAGGCATATAGTATAGGGACATGAACATGAACACAACATATTAATGTGTGTCATTCTGTGAAACCCAACTACAACACTATAGAAAAGCTATTAATCCCACGCCACAAAATTTTGTGGATTGATGTGAAAGAATTTCTAATCGTCGACGACTATAGAGAAAGGTTTCATGGCGGGATTATACCAAAATAGCACGCGCACAAAGTAGGGGCAAGAGGGAGGACTCTTAGACTTGCTTACCATTTGTGCATGCTATGAGGGGATTGAATATATAGCATTGAGTTTGAATCGAGTGCGAGGTAATCTATCTACTACGGACTGTTGATCTAGCAATATCAGCGGCAGAACGATTTTTGTGGTTGTCGGTTAGAATTTTATAGGTGTTTTGCTTGTTGTTTTATGCATCTATCGACAGAAAAATACGCATTCATGAGCATTTCCCCCCGATGTTGTAGATGAGTTCATTAACAAAAGAAGGAACAATATGCAAATTGTATGTTGTGAACATAACTACATCACCATCGTCTGCGTATAAGACCCAAGCAAAGGTCGTGACATGCATTGTTTATGTTAATATAGGGGTTATTAACATGATATAACCATCGAGGGAGATGCGTCGGAGGGGCTAAAATAGAATTCGAATCATTGAAATTGGTTAAAATTTTTGTTTTTCGAAGTTCAATCACCATAAACAAAGATGAGAGTGATCAAGAAAACATAATTGTTTAATTATATCGCTAGAATTATTTATATTCAATTAGTACCCTTGGATCCCATTTCTAGAACCTCCTCTTTTTTGTAATCTATGAATTATCAAAATTCATGACTTTAGGAATGTTTGGATAAAGAAAAGAGGAAGGCAAGTACAATGTTGATTGACATTTGGATTAACACGAGTGGTTGCTATCAAAAGTTGGTCTTATGCATCTAACTATCAACTTTTTGGCTAGTTAAAGATAATACACACAACAAATTACTATACTTCATAAACCACATCATTGATCATGCTAATAATGTTGTTGTCCGTTGAAGAAAAGACAAGAGAAAAAAATTAAAAATAAAATAAAAGGAAATCACATTAGTCGAATCAAGAAACACATCAAATTATAGAATTCAGAATAAACACATGTTCCAACATTAGTCGCATCAGAACTACAGGTGTCATGTCCGATTGGGGGCACATCAAATTATAGAATTCATGATAAACACATGTTCCAACATTAGTCGCATTACAACTACAGGTGTCATGTCCGAATCCCCCTAATTCACATGGAGTCTTCCCTTCCCTATCACTTACATGATCAAATTCAAACTAATCGTGCTTCAACATTAATAGTATCACAGTTATAGGTGTCACATTCGAGTTCCCCGAATTCACATTAAGTCTTCCTTTCCCCATCAATTATGTTGGTAACATAGTTCCTACATAGACAAAAAGATTTACAAAAAGTTACCTCCAATATATAAAGAGACATGATCTGATAAGGGGAAAAAAGGAGGAACCAAGTGATCAGTTGTTATATAATTAGTGGAGAACATGATAGGACATGTTAAAGGTAACAACCACATAGCTAGAAAGAGTGTTGTGTTGATATGTGGAAATCTGATATGGTTCCAATAATTTTGGGTTTTGACAACAAATAGAGACACAAACTTTATATGGTATGATGTTCCTCACTCACTACATGAAAAGGACCAACATCAATGTTTGAAACACTACAACAGAAGAGGGGGGGAAATTAATAATGACTTGGACATATATATAATAATAATATGTTCTTTCTATTTAAAAAATTAAAAATTTGGGTTTAACTGTTTTGTTCATGAAATGAAACGAAAAGAATAGTAAACATATGTGGATTGGTCCACCAATTTTTGTGTGGGGAGTGCTATCATGGGTTCAAAGAAAAGATGATAATCGCAATCACTAAAACAATCTTGGGGGAAGCCCACAAGCGATTTAGTTTGCTAGTTAAGTAGTTGCACCTCTATAGAAATATGAACACTAAAGATAAGTAGTTAATTGAGACGAATATATTCGTACATGAAACGCAACAATATTTCATAGGATTGTTGAATTAATATGCATTTCAGAAACCAGTGAATGTATACCGACTTAAAACGCGAAAAATGATCATTTGGATGACATTAAGAAAAAACGGCCTAGAAAGCGTGGTAGATGGTCGAAGCTGAATCCGAGATCTACTAGGGATCCTTAGAAAGAAAACGCAAAAGAAAAGAAAAGGAAATAACGAAAATCAGCAGGCATCTTCAAGAGAAATGTAGCAACAGTCTCACACCTGCTGATCATAACAAAAACTGTTGGGTACAGACAGTTGATCTGGAACTTAACATTCAAAATTTAGGAACTTTCAACTCGAGGACAGCGACAAACATTCAGCAACACAGAGAAATAACCACTCAGTCTTAAGCTACCACAGAAGGCTTGGAAGCAGCAGACAACCTGGACCTCTTTTTGGCCAAGCTCTCGCTGCGACGATCTCTCTGCTCTTTCAATCTCGAAGCAAGGAGCTTCTGGTACTCGGCAGCATCAGCATTGGCCTTTGCGACTCTCTTCTTCTTCTCAGCAAGCCTTGCCCTCTTCCTCTGCAGGGTCAATGGAGTCACCAGCCTCTGAATTTTAGGAGCCTTGCTCGCTTCCTTACCTGTAAACCGCAAATAACATATAAGCAGAAATTCAAACCCGGAATACATTTACAATTATGCAAGGCTGATCACATATTAGATCAAAGGATGCTAACCATTCTTTCGGGTGAAAGTTCGTCGGTAGGTGTTGACATACTTCCTGACATCATCATCTTTGGAGAGATTGAAGAGCTTGCGGATCTTGGAGGCCCTCTTTGGTCCTCTCATTCTGGGCTTCTCTGTATCGGTCAGCCCGGGGAGATCACTCTCACCTTTCTTCACGATGACCAAGTTGAGAACAGAAAGGTCCTGGCTAACAATGCAACCACGCACAGACTTCCTTCGGCGCTCCCCATTGCGCCTTCCATATCCACGGAAGCATGGGGTTCCTATTTACACAAAAGACGGGGCCTTTTAAAACCGATGCTCAAAAGCATTTCCACAGTTTATGCACAAAAAGAGATCCCATGTACCTCGGGTAAGCAGAAGGCGGACACGGCCAGGGTTCAGGACACCCTGCTTCATGGGGAAACCCTGCTTGTCGCAACCTCCCATGATTTTGAACACATAGCCCTTAAATTCCTATACAAAAAACAAGAATCAACAATGAGAATAAAAATACTTGTGCATCAAGAAGCAAGAGAAAATCACTATATATACATACCTCTCCAAGTGCATCACCACTGACTTCCTGGGAGATCCTCTTGTCAAAGAAGGCACGCCTGCATAAGAGAGAAGCAATCAGAGATGCAGTCCCTCCAACTAAGGTCGCAATAAACAACTGCTTGCTGGATGAACAAACTCCACGAGCAATCTTGATAGCCAAATATAAGATGCAAACTCATCTCATCTCAGCTACCATCTAGATTCTAGATGCAGGTGTGGTAGACTATTCCATGGAAGTACAATTTTTTTACATACGACCAAGGAAACTGACACCCTTTCCCCTAGACCAACTGGCTTGAATTCTTGAAATGGAGCTACTGCATTCAGAGCAAATTGTAGCTGGCAATATGGAAGTGGACATGTTCTTCAATAAGTCGAGATTTCAACAGAAAATTGACGGCATTCTAATGACCCGTTCTGTTATTACATTCAAATCCTACTCATCAAGCCCCCTATTTCTGCAGAGTCCCTTCCCACTCCGCATAGCTTCCATTCTCTTCGAACATAACCTATCACACTTCCAGCTTACGGAGCTCAAACTATTGTACGAATTCGAACAACAGGACGCCTAGCGCACCAAACCATGAGCTAAATACGAAGGTACTAGAGTCGGAAATGGCTTACAGCTTCTGATCGTCATCGATTTCCAGCTTCTTCTGGCACCCGGTGGTGGGGTTCGCGATGTTGAACTGCAAAACCGAAGAAAAGACAGAGTGAGATCGAGAGTGTCACCAAATGCGAGCGAGAATTTCATCCCATCGGATTTAACATTGAAATTGTACAAGATATTCAATAGTGAAAATCCAGCAGCTACCTTCATGGCTGTCAACGGAGAGCAGATGCGGCTGCGACGAGGAGCTTGTCCGACGCTACGGGCGGGTTCTTCTTCTCTTTCTCTCTGATGCTGCGGCCGCCGCTTCTAAGTTCTAAGTAGGGTTTTGTCTGGAGATATGTAATGGATTCGGTCGTGCTCGTTTGGGCCGTAGTTGACTTGACTTGGCCCAATCTGAAATCTCTTCAGGGCTTAAAGCCCAACACCAATCTGCTCAACAAAGACCAAAAGCCTCTCGTAACACTACTTGCAAATGCAATAGTTGATCACCTTCCTTAAGCATTAAAATTGGGTGTTTGATTTCTATCTAAAAGAATGAATCAATTCCTTGTTAGATTTATTCATTTATCTTTTCATAACGTCCGACAAAATTCAGAAAATTATTCACCATTATCAGTCTTTGCTACAACGATTAGTTGTCAATCTACAAATCGCATGCATTGCGACTTATACAGATACATATGCGACCTCCATCTCGCTTAGCAAAAATAAAAATAAAACTTCACAGAGATTGAGTAAGAAGATAGCCACAACAACAGAAGCTAGGTTTTCAAGAAAAATGAGTGAAGTTTTGACGAATTATTTTTCCTAGGGCGACGGATCTAAGGACGATCGACTTATCGTCCTGCTTCATAGTATCGCTAGACCATGGGTCTTTTGGTGCAATGTGAGAAAGTGGCATTGAAAATTTCATGAATTACAAGAATATAAGTTCTGCCTACTAAATTCAAAAACAACTCTGCTCCAAACCTTGATGTCCAGTAACATTCTTGCTAAATATAAAATCCAGATTGCAAGTTCTTCAGTCTTCTCATTCTCTGTTTAACTTACCAGACTCGGCCATCCTTTCTGCACAACTTCTTGTCTAACCTTTTGCTTTTCTTCTGCAGAACTCAACCAATCCTCCATGACATCGGCTACAGCTTTTGATACTCCAGCAACGCAAATCAGATCGAGCATTTTCTGATCTTTCTGAAAATTCGGTAGCCGGGTAATAACAATTTGCCTCAATCAACTGATTCCCCACTCATTGTCCTTAATTATACTCTACTACAACAGAAATCATGTACGCTCGCAAAACTATCGTGGCTGATCCCGGCAGAGTGCATCACTTAAAATGAACCAACACTTTTTCACCTATAAATATAACCATGGCTGACCTAGAAGATCAAGTCCTCACGGCAGGCTAGTGCAACTTCTTTGGTGGTGGATTGCCTCCGGAGATGAAGACATGTATGTAGAAGCACAGCATTGCAGCACTATTAGAGAAACAGAGACGGATAAGATTAGAGATCCCACAACCAGAATGATCATTGATAATTTGCATAGATGTAAGGTATCCTGAAATTGCAAAAAGGAAGTACCTAATAGCAGCAAAAAACCCTGCTGGAAGGAGGCTCTTGGTCTGCGTTAATGTGGCATCACAAAGTTAGCAAATGAGCAAATTATAAATCCTGTTCGACAAGAAACTTATGCTCAATCTGATTACTAACCAATGAGTAAACCTCAATGTTCATCCACAAAAGAGCTGCCGAGAGCACTGCAAGGATATAGGTAGGCACCAATTAGATAAATGAATTAGAAGAAAAAACATTCAGCTTCTGCAGTATTGGATTCTTGCTGGAAATCATTATGACCACGTATGTAAACTGTTATACAGCAGGATAAACCTTTACAGAATCATAATTCATGTGCCAGGACTTCCCCATGAGGCATTATCAACTGCATAAACAAACTACTTACTAACACCAGAAAGAAATTATTTCCTAGTCTTTTGTGGTAAGCTTTATAGCATATATGCATCAATGATGACAATGCCAAGAAAGGTGAGAAGAACATCTTTTGCAGGAAAATGCAAATAATGAGTTTGTTTGAGGAGCGATGAAGAAATCATCCTCTTTTTTACCAGTTGGTAGCAGGCATCACAAATATTTGTAAAGCCTAGAACACCCTGCCTTTACCCACTCAATAAGCTAATTATGAAGGATCAACCAAAGCATTTGAAGGAGCTCAAGAACGGACGAATTCACAAAGATATTAGTAAGGGATGATATAGACCATGGGCAAATATTAGTCGCAACTTCTGCTGTGCCGAGTTAAGAAGCTTCGAGAAACTTCACATATTCTTTCATGATAGACCGAGTCCTCACAGTAGCAGGACAGACAAATCTCAAATGAGAGCAGAAGGTTCTAATTTATCATTTTGTATGTCTCAGACAGACTTCTTACCAGCTTGTCCGAAAACGAATGGTAAACTGGACTTCCCTTGTCTCCAGATCTTTAAGCTATAAGTGCTAAATGCGAGTAAGCCCCCTCCGATTAGCACACCACTGAATGTTGCATAACTTCTTGAGAATAACAAACCAATGAGCCCACCACTTAGGACAAGACCCCCTGGCCATGAAATTTTTTAGCATCAGAATCAATCCTAACTATAACAGGTTGAATGAAATATGCATCACTACTCAGGTTTAACTGATACCGAGACAACATGAACCAATTCGCTTCAAACCGATACTAGATTCAATGCCACATCTCCCAGATTCATTATTTACAAAAGATTACTGCAATCACCTAGCACCCGTTCACAAAGATTACTATATGAATGAGCCTCAATGCCACAACATTCGACAATGAGAAATTCAAACTCACCAAAGGGAATGCCAAAACAGAAATCATGGATCATGGCGGAACCATAGACACTCTTCTTCTCGACGAAGAGATCAGCGTTCTTACTCGACTCTTCCACGATGGTATCTTCTCCGTAGGGCATTGACTTTGATGCCGATTCATAACCCTTGTAAGGATCCGGATTCCCCCTGGCGCGGCCTTCAGCGCTCATAACAATCGAGAACTGTTCGGAAAACAAAACCAATTATAAAAACGAAGGGTAAATCAACGCAAGGAAGAAACGCAATCGGAGAAGACGGATCAAAGGGACGTTTCATCGGACCTTGGGGAGACGGGGAGAGGACGGGAAGGAGATGAAGCAGCGGCGGTGGAGATGGAGCTGGTGGAGATTGCGGTTGATTGAGGAGAAGCAAGAGAGCTGCGACTGAGTAGCAGTCGATGCAGCTGCCGCCATGTTTGATTATTTCTGGAGATTATTCTGAATGAAGAATGGATCAAAAGACAGAGAGCTGGTCTGCGAGTTGCTCTCCAATTGATTTCGCAATCGTACTTTCTGATTTGTTTATTCTGTTGGAACTCGAGAGAAAACAGGTATGTAGCCACGTGCTTCTTCGCGGGGTTTTTTCCCTCTTTTTCTTTCTTTGAAGCCAGATTTGTTGACTTTTGAGTGGCGGGAGTGAAAATGCTGAATGTTCGATGCTTGAGTTTGACCTAATTATTTTCCTCTAAATACTGTTTTGTAAAACCAAACTAGTGAATGGTCACCCTTCCACCTTAGGACGTTTTAACGTGTTAGTAGTCATTGAACCACAGTCAACAACTATAAATCGCGCTAGAACGTCCTAACTTTAACGAACATTAGGACCATACATTCATCTCAACCTAACAAATCACAGTCAACAACTATAAATCGCACTATAAATCGCGCTAGAACGATAACTGACGATTAGTCGATTACACAAACTAACAAGACAATCATTTCATCAGTCTCCATCCAGGTTAATATAGAGTATGTACATGGACCCTAACAACCCCCCCTGTTTCTCAAAGGATCAATTTGGATGCAATGAAGATTTAATTTATGGCACAGCAGCTAAAGCACACAGCATCAAGGTTACACATTCTCTAAATAGTACTCTCTACTTTTATCTTCTGTTCTATATTTTCTGCTGTATAAGGGCTGACCGATCGACCTAGGAGAAATGTGAAGTACCTTCCCAGTATTGACCAGTTAAAGCGAGGGCGCAAGTTCGTAGAAGAACAGTTAGGAACCAGATTTCTGCCGCATCCATTTCGTGGCTGACCACTTCTCTCCAGAGAGAACCTCGCATCCTCCATGTATGCTCTTCGGATCCGATTGTCCATCCAACCCCTGACAGTAATCAAAGGAAGATCAACATCAGGGTCGCCGTAAATTATCATTGCAGCCCGTCGTAAAAATGCAGTGTGTGGAAATCGTACCATGCTCCAAAAGAGCACCGCGTCGCCTTTGATTGGCTTTACGGACAAACCTTGCATGAGCTTCCCACCACAGCTGCACTCGCCTGATCCAGCCTGAAATGTTTTCTCAACTTTCAGATGCAGAAACAAAGAGAGACGACGTCCAGACATAGTTCTGTCGCATGAAGTGTCAAGATTATCTTAAACAAACAAGTACCATAGGGAAATATGTTTCACCACCCTCGACATTGTCACTCAAGTACATCAACATTGTTGCTACTCGCTGGCCGCCACGTTGAATGTTAAACTGTCGAGAAAAGATAATAAAAAAAAATGTAGTAAAGATGACATGTAAGGTAATCTCGGAAACTGATAGATGACTGGAATTCAATGGACCGTTATATCACACTATCAGAACATATGAGGACTGGAGTTTACTTACGGTGTCAGAAAAGTAGTCATGATGAGCCTTGTAAAACTCTCCCTTATCGTACCTGCGCTGCTGATGTCAGCCTAGGCATGACTATGGCACTAGTTTTCCCCTTTAGTGAATAATTCTTCAAATGTAAATAAGTCAGATACCCACCTCAATACTTGGATAAGCTCACCGTTCTCGGAAGGAACTTGAGAGTAGACCGCAATTCTTTTCTCAATAGCCTGATCATTCAATGAAAAGAGTTGAAATAGCATCAGGACAGGATTCCCAAGAGAGAAAACTTGAATGTTAGAGAAGCAAATAAAAAACTAGGAAGTACGAGAAGACAGATAATGGTGAAGGTTTATAAAGGAAGAATCATGGTCTGATCAGCATCAAATAATACTCTTTCCCTTTTGCTAAAATGGTTCCAATGATCCTATCTGAACATCATCGTTCCTTTTAACAGAATCTCATCACCATCTCATCTTATGTGAGACGCCCTACTTCAGGTGCATCATTTATATGTACAGGGGCATAAAAAATTCAATGCTATGGTTAAGGTATTTGCTGTACAAGTATGACTTTGCCTGTGTAGTTTTGCAGATTTCAAGTATATCAACCATGTATGAAAACCCTATAGTCGAATCTTTGAGGCAGTTCAACAAATTTTGGATCTTGGAACGAGAAGAATAAAAAAGCTCCCATCTCAGGTCATCAAGAAAGATTAGAAGTGGAAGGTCAAGAACTGACTAACCTGTACCGTAGAATACTTTCTCTCGGAGGAACTGAGAAACATTCCAGAGCTTGTCCTCACATTACTCTTTACACCCTGTACAAAGACGTATTCAATGTTTAGTTACCATTCAAAAGAAATCAAAATGAATCCAGAACGATACAGATTAGAAGGATACTTATTCACACGAAACGAATCAATAGCCATAGTTCATTTAAAAAATTACTCACTAGTAAACATGCAAAACAATAAAAAAAATTAAACAGCAAAAAACTGCAGTACTAGTGTAATTTATCCACTGAATTCTTTCAAAGTGATTCACATTAACATAAGTGGAGGAGGAAAAGATCCACTGCACATAATTCAGTAACCGTGAGATGAACACTTCCTTCAAAAATTACTAGTAATACCGGTATATAATCAATTCTTATTTTCTTAAAAGCAGTCATTTTGACTCTTTTAATATCATACATATCCATTATTTTACTATAAGCACAGGTATTTATAGAATAACAGCATACTAATGAAGCCTATTGTCCATAGAGACAAATGAGACACAGTATCGAGCACAGACCAGTAAGCAAAGTGTCCAGTTTTGGTAACCCAAACTAGGCAGAACAAAAACTATCACAAGTGACGTGAATAATGCATCAAAGATAGCGAGGAAAATTAGAGCAGAGCCTCATACGCCTTCTACAATGATAAATACCATGATTCTCTAATCCAAGACAACAGGTAACTCCTACAGAATTCCAGGGAATAAACTCTTCATTCAAATGCAAGTGAATTATCGAGATCAGCACAAACATCAGCAATGAAGGAAAAAAGAAAGATCCATCCAGTGGAGATATTATAATATAGTGTAATATACCTTTCCAGTTTTTGTATCCACCACGGTGGATACCTGAAGGCGGGGTTTGGCTAAGGCCCGAAGATAGTCACATTCCTGCAGGTTATCAAAGTACTCATTATCATCTCTCAAGGCCACATATCCATCATGACATTCCCTAAGCTTATTGCAGGATGAATTGCTCATGATTGACTTCAAGTTTACAGTGTAAGAAATAGTAAGGGAAAATTGTTTCTTCCCCTGCCAGCATCAATTAAATTATAGGTTTACTCTTAAGATACGAGCATACCTCCATACTCAAAAAATTATGCAATACGATAATTCTTGGGGACCAACTAATGATTTCAGGTTGGACCTGTCAAAGAAGGAAAAAAGAAGATATTAAGATGGATTTGTTGTTGTGAGTTATCCTCGATGAGATGCATATAAATTAAGAGCCAGAGTTCCACACTATAAATACATTGGCCAATATGCACATACAAGAATTGAGTAGAATGGAATACCATAGTCATATAAGAAACAAATAATCATAACTGAATGCAAAAGCCTATAAGAGAAAAATTGCTCTATAGAAACTAAGAAAATGCAAATCTGAAAAGAAAACAAAGAATAAAAGAGGCCCTTCACGGCTCATTACATTAAGAAAAGCAAACAATTGCTAGCACTGCATGCAACGGCAACTCGCCCATGCAGTGCAACCAAACATGAAAGAGTATGACCTAACATACACTGCCCTTGATCATTCCACATGAAAGTTTTGGAAAAAGAACGATAATTGATATAAAAATAGATAATAGTGCAGAGTCCTTCCTAATAACTGTTACCACAAGTTTGGTAACAGAGGCAAGTACATTTCAGGTATACTAAACTGCAATGTATCGATTAGTCCCACTCTTTCTCAAATTTATGTTCCTTCTGCTCTTATTCACCCTATAGAATACAAATATGGTTATGAAAAGGAAATTTCAGTAACATCGGAAAGAATTGCTTACATGTCCAAGCCTTAGGATCTCTGCTTCTTTATAATTCCACCAATGAGAAATTCCTGAAAGATGATGCAAATAGGACAATTACAACCACATAGAAGCCATGCAATGTTAAAGACAATGAAAGAAATTGAGGTCGATATCTTCAACAACTGCAGTTCTCATATAAGACTAGTATCTCCAAATACTAAAATAGATAAAGTAAATAAAAAGGATGGGAAGACCCTTGCAAAGACAATTTGGATCGGAACAGTTTTCTTCGGTTCGTATTAGACTGAGATAACCAAATCCATACTAGAATGTAGAATCTACAACTTGTTTGGCCCCTATGAAGACTTCACCCCCAAGACATTTAACGGATCCATCTAAAGCTCCTTATCACATCTTACTTCAGTGACAGGGTACATTCAAAAAGAACTGAAAGGGTTAATCTTAAATATCATTTTAGACTGAGATAACCAAATCCAAAGTCAGCTCATTTCAGGTCCAACCATCTGATGATGACAACAGATATACCGTCCATGCATGATTGAGATAAGATTTCAAATCCATGGGATGATTTGTCACTAAAAGCAAAAGAATTCACAACAGCCAGAAAGAGAGGGACGGATACCATTCGAGGCTTCCAGCTTCCATATAAATGATAACTGGCATAACGCACCTGCATTGCAAATTCGAATTGATGTTTCAATGGTTAAGAGTCAAGTTAGTCAATCACTGCCATCACAGGACACTTGCTACCAATAAGCAAAAGCATCACACAAGATATAAAAAGGAATAGAACTAGAAGTGTGACCCATACCAAAACTGCACACAAAAAAAAGACCAATTGGGCGCTTATAGCCATACTTGAATCAAAATGGTCTGAAATCATTTCACATAACATGACCAATCCCAATAGGCAAGCAAACAAACAGAAGCAAATGGAATTTAGATGACACCCTCAAGCAAGCCATGGTCGTAGATATGCAGGCAACGGAAACCGACTAAAATGCCGCGAGAGAAAGCCTAATAAACACAGCAGCTACAGCTACTTCCGATGTACCATTCGATCAACTGGAAAAACACATTGAATCGTCCAAATGTCGCTCTAATATATTCAAATTACGCGCGCGGAATTCGGAAAAGGAAAAAACGGCAAAGAGAAATACACATCAGCCACGAAAAGCAAAGCTAGTTGATAGACCCAATATGAAATGGAAGCAAGGGAAATCGGTGGAGCGGGCAATGGATATGAGGATTACCGATAATCATCCCGACGGTGACGAAAGTGAGGAGGCCGAAGATGATCTTCATCGACGCCGCCATCGACTCCTCCTGAAGGCGGCGTATGCCACAGAGAGACAGGGAGAGGGCGCAGAAGGAAATGAAGGAGACAACGAGTCAGTCAGTGGATTTGAAGAATCGAGGGAGAAAGAGTTTTTGACTAGAGGAAACCTACTTTTCTGTGCTCCGTATCCGCTCACTGTTCGTTGCCCAGTTCTTGGGTTTCCACCACTTATTGCGCCTGTGTCCTTATTCAGGTCGGCAGGAGAAAGCAATCGTTTGCTTTGTCTCTGTTTGTACGAACACGAAGTCATCAGAGGTCAAACTAACTTGAGAGTGAATTTCAGGAAGTAAAAAAATATTCTTGAAGTTGTTTTTAATTTATTATTGTTACATAAATCCACATAATTGGGAATTTCGTTACGATGTTATGATAGTTTTACCCAATTTTGTTATTGCACTCAATCTAGTATATTTTGAATTTTCAAATTTGCCATTTTGATCTCGATATAGTATCATAATTTATATTTCGAAATTACATGTAAGCTAACAAACAAATATTTAAAGTCCTGTCATCACGAGCGTTGGAGTAATTAGACTCATTGTGTCTCAAAGTCAAGGAGCTTGGTTCCATGAACATGGTGGAAGCACACACATGTTGTACATGCAAAACCATTGCACTAACCTACATAGAATGATGTTGCTACGAACACAAAGATGTATTTGCCTTCAGACATTGAATCTCAGGCACCGGAGATCAACCAACTCCTGGATCTTGATTGAGAAGTTTCTTTATTCTACACCTTTAGAAAATGTAATTTTGCGGCCGATTACATTGTTTGTAAGGGCCACAGTCTTGATTTTGGCACACATCCTATCGATGAGTGTGATCCAGGTCTTTGCTACTGGATTAGGCATGATGTGAGTGTTCTATTATCAATGTGATCTAAGACGCCTTGGCGTCTGTCTTTTACAAAAAAAAATGTATTGCCTTAAAGGGCTTTTTTAACCATGAGAAGGAAACCACATGGTATCGTCAACAATAAGAGTACATCTAGTAATGAGTTACGAAGTACAAACAATGACACCTCGAAGACACGACCATAGCACCTAAATGCTAGCAACAACAATGACTCAAATTATAATACCGCATCTTTCTAGTCTCTTCTTTGCCCTGAACCTCTTTTACATGACAGAGTATATTCGGAGCCAATTCTTGCACATGGAGCCAAATTCGACGCGATGGACGTGGCAATGGAGCTTTGTGTAGATCACATTCTAGATATATGGACATAAATCGCATCACGAACAACTATGATGCTATGCTCTTCCCCTTAGCCCTGATTGCGTGTTCTCGCTCATCGTCATCTCTCGATAGAAAACATGACATTCTCAATAAATAAACGTGGCAAGTAATACTTGTGTAGATCACATTCCATTCCATTCCATATATCTAAATATATCTAAACATAAATCATACCACGAACATCGACAATGCTCAACTCTTCCCCCTTGCCCTGATCTCGTGTTATCGCTTATCGTCCTCTAGAAAAAGCATGAAATTTTCAATAAACGAGAAAAAACACGACCAACCTTGTATCGCCCTTGAGAATATGGGTTTTTGAGAAATTGAGAACACAATCTTCTTCCGTCACGGACATGAGAAATCGAGGATTGGGGGGATCGGTTAGCATGCTAACCCTTCTAAGGGGTTGGAAAAATGACACCCCTATTAATTATAGTTATTTTTTGTATTAAATTCGTGTTGCATTTAATAATATTTGGAAATTAAAAACTCATCTTAATTACATTCTTTTTTTTTAACTACCATTGTACTGATACAACTACCATTGCACATGTATACTGAACTCGTATTAATTACGTTCCTTTTTTGGAACTACCATTGCACTGATACATCTACCATTGCACCTGTACACAACTACCCGTGCACTAATACAACTACCAGTGCACTGAAAAAAGGAAAGTAATTAATATGTGTTTTTAATTCATACAGATTATTAAATGCAACACAAATTAATTACCTTAAAAACCTGTAATTAATAGGGGGTGTCATTTTTCCAACCCTTTAATGGGTAGACATGCTATCTCATCCCAGGATTGGGACTTTGGGAACATGGGATTTTGGATCCAATCTCAAAGAGAGGCCCATATCGCGCTATAGTCGCCTTTTTTTTTTCTTTTTAACATTTTTGGTAGAAAAGCCTCTTATTGACAAACCGAGGGAGTATCAAGGAAAACAGAACTACACAATCAAGTCCTCGGAAAACATACCCAATTGTCTGCAACACCATCATCCATTCATCCTCATCAGCCAGCACCATAAAACTCTACTAATATATGCCCTCTCGCACAAGGAAACTGGCTTCAAACATTTCATCATCAAACATACAACCCACTAAAGAAAATACAACATCTCACATGTCTTTCTGCAACTTCCGTAGAATTCACGAAGCCTCTGCCTCGCAAAGGGTTACCCAAGCTTCTTGACTCTTCTAGAAACTTTTGCCTGTTTCTTAAGCTATAAGGAAGGGCAGGACCGTTAACATGAATGTCTCGTACGAAAATGTGGCTGAGCCAGTGTACGCCATGTCCTTCTCCTTGAACTTCTCCGTCAGTCCCTGTTCCAAAACCACAAACAAACTACTTATCAGCATCAAGAAGAAACAAGTTAACATACAAATCTCTCTTCTGTTACTTAACTACCACTCTAACTTGATTTGAATCTAATAAGACGTAAGGGCAATGGTGAACTAGTATAGTCGAACATCAATATATGATATGAAGATGAACTCACCTTGACAGTAAGACAGCACCTGCATTGCATTCCCAGAAGAAACATGATCCAACCCGGAAAATGAGAGACAAAATTAGTTCAGGGTTGAACCCTTCCGAAAGAAAGTTTGAATCTTTAACACGAAAATAAGACTGAGAGCAGAAGAGATGGAAGATAATAGAGAGAAGGGGTCAGGAGGGGGTGAGGGGCTAAGTTAATTACTCGATGAAGTTGTCATATTCGATGGCCTTGTTCTTGCCACCCGACTTGTCAAACTTAGACACCAACAAGTCCAGAACAACTGGCGAGACTGCGAATCCCAAACTCAACAGCGCCTCCCTCAGCTCGTTCGTATCAATCTTCCCGCTCCTGTCCCTATCAAACCTCTCGAAGATGCCCTGCAGTGGCGTGTGTGCGTAAGAACAACAAGCAGATATCATTACCCTCTTTATCATACCAGCTAAAAACCCATCAACATCAAACAAAGACACCATATATCTCCCATAGTCTCACTTACCCTCCAACTCTGAAGGCTGTAGAATACTTGTATGAACTCCTTTGGACCTGTCAATTCACAAATTTCACGTCAACCCACAAGTAAAGAATTATTTTTTCCTAATGATTAAACAATCAGGAATCTTTCAGTTCTACTGTACGTTCAAGTTGGCATTAACTATGTCCAAGAAAATCTACTGTTATTTGTTAATTGCTTGGCTGATTGCGAGAATTGGAAAAAAGTCAACCAAGTGTCGAATAAGATACGGTGGTAAGTAAGAGTGTAAGACTCAATCCTGCTGCAGTTCTACGCCACTCACAGGGCCACTTTCGTAACCTCAACACGACGGAGTAATCGAAGCAATGGATCTCACACACGAATCCAGAATTCTAACCAGAACCAACTCCATCCCAAGCGCAAATTAGAAAGCGCGGGTAGCAGCTGCCTAAAATGCACGGATAAATCACGAAGCTAGAGAAAAAAAAGGGGGGGTGGGAGAGAGAAATTCAATCGCTCACCGATCTTCCTGTTGTTGCTGTTGGTGAAGAGGTACATGAGCAAGTGAACGGTCCTCAAGCTGAAGCTCTGATTGTAGCTAGACAGCGCGCTCTGGAGCTCCTTGTCGTCGATGAAGCCGCTCCCGTCCCGATCGGCCATCTGGAAGCACGCCACGACGCTGGGATCGGTCCCTGGAGGGAACGCCGACGGGACAAGGGAGGCGAATGGGCTACCGTACGGCGCTGACGGAGGATATCCTCCTCCTCCGCCCCCGCTTCCGCCTCCTACTGGAGCAGAGGCACTGCCGTATGGCTTCTCCTTCGGCGGCTTGTCTCCACCCGGTGGAGCCCCGTACGGTGCGGCGTATGGAGCCGAAGGCACGCCGTGGGGCTGCTGAGCGCCGTACGAGGGAGAGGAGCCGTACGATTGGGGCGGCGGAGGCCCGCCGTGAGACTGCTGATTGGGCGGTGGAGCGCCGTACGAGGGAGCCGAGCCGTAGGGTTGCGGCGGTGGAGGTCCGCCGGATGAGCCGTAGGGTTGCGGCGGTGGAGGGCCGCCGGATGAGCCGTAGGGTTGTGGCGGTGGAGGGCCGCCGGATGAGCCGTAGGGTTGAGACGGTGGAGGAGGGCCGTATCCGTAGCCGGACGGAGGGTGGTAAGGGTAACCAGACATGATCGGCAGTCGGAATTGGAGGGAAAATCGGATTTTGGTGTTCGTCCAATTTGGGGGTCGAGGAGAAAGGAATATCTTTCTTTTGGGTCAGTTACCTGTTCTTGCTTTGCCCGGGTAATATAAAAGAGTGAAGGAGAGTGGGGCAGCCGGGCAGGTGGGAGGGAAAGGATTTGTTAACTGCAGATCTGCCCACGAGTAAGTAATTGACCATTTGAGCTATTCCTCTTCCGCGTCTCGATCTTTGCTTCTTCGGTTAACCCGTAAAGTTTTGAGCGTGTTAGCGTGTTGCGATATTACCCCAGGACCGACTCGTTTTCGAGCGAACCAAAAATCATTAACCACTCAGCCATCCCTTCAATGGAATTGCTTTCCCAGGGAACTGGGCTGGGCTGATCGGCCCAGAAACGCGGAGTTCATAATGGCCCAATCCACCCGATCCGGCCTGTACACTTTACGATTCTCTCTCTCTCTCTCTTTTTTTTCCTTTTCCCCTTGGACTTCTACGATCTGGCTGAGGTGATTATTCTTTTGTCAGCCCTGCTATAACGTGCTCTCTATGACTCTTACTCTTAGTAATTGAACTGATTGTCTCATGCAGGAAAAAAAAAATTATATGGCGTCTCTTTCAAAAGTTGTGGTTATAATTGTCACAATCGTGAAAGTTGTGGCTATGGTGTATTTTGCTTTTTCGTTGTTAATCCACATGTATCGCCAACTCAACATTTCCGTCATTCCAGTCATACTATTAAGTGACATCATTAAGGAGATTGATGGAAGTGTCTATTTTATGTATTTTGAAAGTTGTGGCTATATCTGTCACAAACAACGTAAAAGTTGTGATTATAAAAGTGTGTTTTGCTATTAATTTTGCCAATCCTACATTTTATTGAATTGTGACAAAATCATCAATAGAAATTCTTCATCCAAAAGATCCGGGAATAAGCATAGCCTTATCGGGCCAGGGGCCTGGCCCACCCCGTCAATGGGGATATGCTTCTGTGAGTGGGCCGAGTCTTCGACCCTATCTGGTCTTAGGTAGCATCGCCGAGTTGAACCTCTTCCTCTTAATAATTAATTTTATTATTTATGATTTAGCTGTCTAGCTATAAAAAATCCAAGTTAGTTGGATTATTTGAAGAAAAAGTTAAGAAAACAACCGGACTTGAACGCCTGCGCTGCGCCAGTTCCGTCCGTCCGCCTTCGTTGGCCTTTTCCCTACCGCCGCCTTCTGCTTGCAATCGACTAGAAGAAGCAGCCATGGATTCCGATTTCGGCATTCCGAGAGAACTATCACCACTTCAGCAACTCCGATCTCAGTATCAGCCGGAGCTCCCTCCCTGCCTTCAGGTGCTTTCCTCCTCCTCCTCCTCCTCCTCTCCATTTGTCAGTCTTAAGTCGCAAGAACAGGGACTCGTCTGTTTCGCTGTGAACTATCCTGAAGCCGTTTCTAGTCTCCCTGATTCGTCGTAATTTGCTTTCCTACTAGTCTGCCTTTCTTCTTTCGTTACAAACGATGTTAGTTAGCTCGGATCAGTGTTTCCTGAGGATAGATCTGCTTAGAGTGACGAAAACCGGGAGATTGAGGAAAGGTTAGGTGGATTCCGCACAAGCAGATCTCGTTGCAGCCATTGCCGCTTCTCCTCTGCTTCAGCTGTTTTTTCGATTACCTGTGGATGTGGAAATTGAGTGGAATCTCTCGGTTTGTTTCTGTAGCTGTAATCGTAGCCATGGAAAGGATTACGACTGCTTATTACGCTTGGAATCGGAGAAGACTGTTTTTGTTGTTTCAGTTCTTGTTCTTAGTTGCTTCGTGGTCATGCCTTGTCACAGGGAACCACTGTGAGGGTGGAATTTGGAGATGGTACCACAGCAGCTGATCCAGCTGGGGCCCACACCATAAGTCGATTCTTCCCTCACACATACGGCCAGCCTTTAGCCCACTTCCTTCGGGCAACTGCACAAGTTCCTGATGCTCATATCATCACTGAACATCCACCTTACAAGTAATTATTATTTTACACATTTTGTCCTTCATCAACCTTGGTCTGTTCCATTCTCTGCAATCTTGTTGAAGTTTTGCATTTGTTGCCTGCAGGGTCGGACTAGTCTTCTGTGGAAGGCAGTCCCCAGGTGGGCATAACGTCGTATGGGGCCTTCACAATGCTCTCAAGGCTCATAATCCCAGCAGTGTATTGCTCGGATTTCTGGGTAACCATTCCTGTTCCTTTCTGTGATTTTTAGTTGAGGGTTTTGGGACTAGCTCAGTTCAGGATCAGTCGGTCAACCAAAATCAGCATGATGTAACTGCCATTGCTGACTTACAAAAAAAAATGTTGGGTTGATGGTTGGTAATTTTTGTTTGCCCACGTCACTATTTTCAAAGTAGTGAATAGTGATTCCGTGAAAGATGCAAAAGCCTGCAACAAAGTTGTTATATTAGATACAGTGCATTGAACGTGCTTCGTATGACAATATTCTGTTGACAGGTGGCTCCGAGGGATTGTTTGCACAAAAAACTCTTGAAATCACAGACGACGTTCTCACTACCTACAAAAATCAAGGTACCTAATAGAATCATATAACGATTATTTTGACATTGTTTATTCTCAGATACCTATACAGTTTGAGTAATTCATACCATGATGCACTCTGCAAGGTGGTTATGATTTGCTGGGAAGGACCAAAGATCAAATACGAACAACTGAACAAGTTAATGCTGCATTGGCTGCCTGCACAGACCTTAAGTTGGATGCCCTTGTTATCATTGGAGGTAGGTTTAGCGCTAAGGCTGCGTCAACTAAACTTGATTAACTTTGAAGTGTAACTAACCATACCTGCTTGGCATTCCGAAGGGGTTACATCAAATACAGATGCTGCTCAACTTGCTGAGACATTTGCCGCTGCTGGGTGCCCAACCAAGGTACTTATCCTGCGCATTTGAATACTGAATTGAGCACCTGCTGGTAGCTGTTCTATCATTTGGATGTTTATTTAGAGCTGTTCCAGTTTTGCCACTTACTTCGGCTGGTTAGTTACGTCTTTCACAAGACTTCAATTATTGAGGTGTTTGCAATTTGCAGGTGGTTGGTGTCCCTGTTACTTTGAATGGAGATCTCAAGAATCAATTTGTGGAAGCTAATGTTGGGTTTGATACAATATGCAAGGTTTGGTTACTTTGATGCTTCATGTTCTACTTCTTTTGAAACTACTCTTCCATGTCTGCTAAAGAGGGAAACTCTGGTTCTCAAACTTCTTTATTTATGACCATTTTCTGTATGTTGATCCAAACACAACTTAGGAGAATGTGCAATCTCATTTGTTTTCCTTGTGCAGGTAAATTCACAGCTGATCAGCAATATGTGTACCGATGCTCTTTCTGCTGAGAAGGTATATCCATAATTTTCTTATTAAGTGCTCCGATGGGAATCGATAAATGAAGCCTCACATATTTTCTTAACCCCCAGTTCTGGCAAAAGTTTAACCTGTTGTCTCCTCTGCAGTACTATTATTTTATTCGGCTAATGGGTCGTAAAGCTTCTCATGTTGCCTTGGAGTGCACTCTTCAATCTCATCCCAATATGGTTAGGATCTGTTGTTTTGCTAGTTTATTGGTTTCTTGTATTGTTATATATTTTTGTAGTGCAGTGCCGTTCTTGTCTGTTCATCTCACTTCCCTTTTTCAGGTCATTCTTGGTGAAGAGGTAGCAGCATCAAAACTTACCATTTTTGACATCAGTAAGCAGATTTGTGATGCAGTCCAAGCCAGAGCAGAACAAGGTTTTGAACAATTTCTGAAACCCTCTCAGAGCTCTCTAAACTCATCTCGTTTTCTTTATGTAATCTGATCCGACATGATTACACCAGATAAAAACCACGGTGTTATTCTGCTACCTGAGGGTCTAATTGAAAGCATTCCTGAGGTGTATGCACTACTGAAGGTACCTCGCACTTATAACAAAATGAGGAATTGTTTCTGTGTTATGCAGGAGAATGTCTTTACTTTAGGTTTCTGGAATTATTTATGGTTTTGCATCTTACTCATAAACACAATTGTTTCCAAATAAATATGGTTACTCACTTTCAAATGTTTTTTTCGCAGGAAATACATGGTCTGCTCAGGCAAGGCATTACAGCTGATAAAATTTCATCTCAACTTTCACCATGGGCATCTGCTCTGTTTGAGTTTTTGCCAATATTTATCAAGAACCAGGTATGGATCCCTCTGAAAGATTTGGCATGGTTCATTGTGCATCAATGTGTATGAAATGTATCTAAAACTTTGTTTTAATTATGCAGCTGCTTCTTCACCCGGAATCTGATGACTCTGCTCAGCTGTCCCAGGTAATAAGTTTGAGGTTTTCACGTTCAATATACTACAAAATTATATATTTCTCAATTTTCAAACATTGTGTTTTTCTCAGATTGAGACAGAGAAACTCTTGGCACATCTTGTGGAGGTAGAAATGAACAAGCGCCAGGTATGCTGTTGGCTCACCTTTAATTAGTAATTAATTGTTGCATGATGACTCATATTCTTACTGAAGTGAAACTCAGATGTATCATTATTCATTTTATCCCAATGATTCTCTTCTTTTTCATTGTGCTTTGCAGTTGATAGTAACTTCTTATGACATTTCTTTTCTTTGCAGAAAGAAGGCACATACAAGGGCAAGAAATTCAATGCCATCTGCCACTTTTTCGGTTATCAGGCTCGTGGATCTTTACCATCGAAGTTTGACTGTGATTATGCCTATGTACGACAAATGGGAGGCTCATGTTCCTATGCTTTTGCAGTTTATAATTCACTCAGTTCTTATTCATGTAAGACTGTCATTATGCAGGTTCTTGGCCATATCTGCTACCATATTCTTGCGGCTGGTCTAAATGGTTACATGGCAACTGTTACTAACCTTAAGAACCCTGTGAATAAATGGCGTTGCGCTGCTGCACCAATCACAGTATATATTTCTACTTTCATCTTCTTACTCGCTATCAGATTTTTGCTTGTAGATGGCAACACCACAAGACTTGTATTTATTATGCTCGTGGTTTTATATCATACTGACTTCCATGAGCTGTGAAATTTTAGGCAATGTTGACAGTGAATCGATGGGCTCAAAGTCCCGGTGCACCTTCAATTGGAAAACCTGCTATTCATCCCGCTACCGTTGACTTGAATGGCAAGGCATATGGGTAAGTGTTTCCAACTAAATCTCTTCATCCCCCTTGTTTTTCTGTATTGAGCTAAAAAAAACATGGAAATATGGATTATAACTTGGCTTCTACATTGGTGTTGGTTACAGGTTGTTGAGACAAAATGCAGTGAGATTTTTGTTGGATGATCTGTACAGAAACCCGGGACCGCTACAGTTTGACGGTCCAGGGGCAGATGCCAAAGCTGTGACTCTGTGCGTTGAAGACCAAGATTACATGGGCAGAATCAAGGCACTGCAGGAATACTTGGACAAGGTGGGTTTGCTTAGATCACACTTTGCTCTCAGTTTCTTTTCTTTCACTTGTGAAGTCATGTGGAAGCGATAATCAAACAGGTCATTGCAAAACCTGGTAATGAATGCTACTGAGTTAAGAATAGATCACACCTTCTTCCACATTAGTCAGCGATGGTTAGCTAATCGAGTAGGATTCGCTTGCGGTCATTACGTATTAATAGGTTTTCGAATTGACATTTTTTTTTTGCTTGTATGTATATTTACAGGTTCGTACCATAGTGAAACCAGGTTGTTCGCCTGAAGTTCTGAAGGCTGCTTTGAGTGTAATGGCTTCAGTGACAGAGGTTCTTACCACCATGTCATCAACTCCGTCAAATGGCCTCATCTCCCTGTAGAGAGACCGTCCCTTTTTGCGGTTCTATTGTGTAGTTCTCTTTTTTCTTTTTTGCATTTGAGGTTGGAGTTTTGGAATTGACTGACTGAATGAATACTCTTTTTTGAGAGACAACAATTTGTTTTGATGTATTTAGATGATGCTGATGACAGTCTTAGTCGAGTTTTACTTCACTGACTTGCCTTTGTGGGTGGTAATAAAAGGAAATGAAGCTCGTTGTTTATCTTATAGCATTTAGATTCTGCATACTTGAATGGTGATTTGGGTGAAATAATTAATAAAATACAACTTATACTACATAATTCCAAGAACGGCAAGAAGAAAAATTACTAAGATGTTGATGCTGTTGGAGAGAATTTGTAGTAATATGTATTCGCTCGCTAATAAAGTTACAAATTAGCGGATGACAATTTACATATTTGGAACCGAACAACTATTACAAAGTTTATGCGTTTGAAACCAAATACGAACAATATGCCACTTTCGGCCTCTTCAATTGGGTGAAAGATTTCCCCGTTGCCTTTCAATTTGAACCAGAGCGAGAGACATGTGTAATGATGCAAACCCAAATACGAACAAAGATGATTGTAGTAATGAGCCTAGTGATAATTATATTTAGCATCCACATCTTCCAGAAGCAAGCTTAAACATAATAATTGTATTACATTTGACAAAGGAGGACGGTGGGCTAGAACCACTGAAAAGCAAACTCATCTAAAGTCGGGGATTTGGAGCAAACAACTCAGCTACTAACAAACCAGACCCGGATCTCAGTAAGACAGGGAGCTACAGATTCAAGGCTTGAACATGGTGGCGGATGTGGTCTTCGATGAAAGTGGAGATGAAGAAGTAAGAATGGTCATAGCCGGGCTGCCTTCTTAGAAGAAGAGGGACTCCCACGCTCCTGCATGCTTCCTCAAACTTGTTCAGCAGCAGCTGCTCTTGCAGGAACTTGTCGTCCTCCCCCTATCCAATATACGAACGACTAATGATCGACCATGTATATCGAAACATCAAACCGGAGACATAAGATGGTTTCTTACCTGATCAATCAGAATGGTAGCCCTTACATCATGGAACTTGGAGATAAGACATGTAGCATCATATTCCTGCATTTATGATAGCTCACATTCATCAAACTGTAGCCAACTATGAAGTATGCAATTACGGACTTTTTCGTTGTGCAGTTGAGCATCTTGTTACCTCCCAATCTGCTTTATTGCCACCAAGGTAGTTAGTGAATGCTTTCTGGCCCCAGGGGCAGTTTACAGGATTGGAAACCGGTGCGAAAGCAGATACTGACTGAAAACAGCGCAAACATGCCACACTATATGAGTTGTACGAAACTCAGAATAGTTCACCAAGTAGATGTCAACACTCAATATATTAACATACCTTGTATTTATCGAGGTTTTTCAAGTAGATAGTGAGAGCTCCATGTCCCCCCATTGAATGACCAGATATGGACGCCCTGGATGTATCAAGCTGAGGGAAGTTCTCGGTCAGAAGTTTTGGCAGTTCCTTCACAACATAATCGTACATTTGCCAGTTCTTCCACTTTTCTTGTGTGGCGTTGAGATAAAATCCAGCACCTAAGTTCAATAAGAAACTACACGAAATCAATGCGCGGGGTTCACAAGAATGGGTTGTAAGAAAAGGATATAGCAGAAAATTTAGTAGATGGTGTCATCTCCATTCTCCAGAGGGTTACATTAAGTTCCATTTAGAGTTATAGACTTCAGAAAAAGAGCTTCTACCTTCCAGAAGTATATAGCTCCAGAATCGAGTCATTTCCAACCCCAATTTATCCAACATCTCCACGGCCATAATTTTCACACTGCTCACTAGTTCCTACTTAGAATGCCAGGATAAAGCATTCTGCATTCTTCCTGTTCTCCTCTCTTTCATTACTTAGACCAAAATGACCAACAAATTTGGCCACACAGAGCTAATATCACCATTGCCTTACCTAGGAGGCGGAACTCCTAATTTTAAAAGAGTACCATTGCATTGATAACCAATTCACACATGACCCCTTAAGAATGTGGAGTATTATGATGGAAAATTAGCAGCAAGAAATACGCACCGACACCAAAATCCCAGCTTTCAGACTCTCCTTCCACATTCAGTCCTCCTGCAGAGTAGAGATTTGACAAAAACCAGTTAGCAGCATGTATAAGAGTAGTGTGATCATTCAAATAAACACCATCCAAGAAGGTAAGAAAATCTGAAAAGGGATTACAGATGTATTACTTGGTGATGTATCGGGAGCAATCAATGCGACACCCTCAGATGATGCAACACGCTGCGCCCCTGACTTAGCTATGAAGTTCTCATCATTGCAGGTAAGGCCAGAGAGCCAGTAAAGCACCTATTGAAAAAAAACGAAAATGCTTAACACTGCATACTTCCCCAATACCAAAATTACACACACCATTTGAATTGAATCAAAGCCAAATGAGAAACACAGACAGCAAACCCTCCCATCCGATTCATTTCCAAATCCTCAATCAAACTCCTCCACATCTTCAGCTAGCCCAGGGTATAATTTAAGCTCAAATATTTTCCCCAAGCACTCCAAAATCATTTTCCAAACGATCAATTTTCCCGATAGCTTATTACTCGTCTTACCGGCAGTGAATCACACCCGAAAACCGAAAACAGGGAAAATCGTGCAAAAGTTGCGATTTTGATGAAATTCGGCGTAAGGGTTTGTCAATCGAACTTAGAAAGACGAGAAATTGAAAGCAAGGAAGGATGGAGGAGTTACAGGGAACTTCTGGGAAGGCGAAGATGACGGTGGGAAATAGACGTGGAAGGTCATGGAGCAACCCAGGGTTGGGCTGTAGTGCTTGTATCTCTTGTTGTACCCTCCGAACATCTTCGAGCTGCTCATCTCGATCGGCTTCGTCTCCATCTCTGATTCTTGAGTGACTGAAGCAGCAGAGCGATGGCGGATGAAAAGGAACTGGCTTTCTATGTGGTTCGAGAGTGTAGTGTAGACTGTAGAGAGAGACTAGAGAGCTCTCTGCATTCTGCACTGCAACCGCTTCCGTTTTCTTTTTATAATAATCAACGTTTTAGGCTCTGATTATCAGCAAAACGAAAATCCTGTCCATAGAAATGGAGGTTAAGGTTAGGCTTCTCTTGGCGGGTATTGGGCTCAACCTTTTTGGACAGAGATATTGAGCTTTACTTCAGTTTGGGCTGAACTCAAGGCAACAATTAAAGCGCCCATAAAACATCAAGCCCATATTCCAAATTTTGAAAATCTGAAGCCCAACACGTCTAAAACATCAAGAATCTACCTTGGTAGGAGACAAAAAGAGCTTTTAAGTCACCTAACTTCTTCACATAATCACATGTCCAAATTGTCTTCAAGGATTGCACCCATGAGCATATGCACATGCCCCGATGAGCATGTGAAAGAATCTCGTGTGGTTGTTTTCTTTCTTCTACGAGCTGAATCGATCATCAAAAGAAGAATTGTTGTTACTTTGAAAAGATTTTTGTGGAAATCGGAATCCATTTACCGACGAATGTAGAAGTTTGGTTGTACACCCTCGTTCGAATAAGAGAAAAATGTCATACTAAATATGTTTCCTTTCATTCGAGCAACTTCATTCATATCTTTTCAATCGAGCAATGTTCCACACTACTTTTACGTCACAATATCATTAACAAATAGCATCTCAAAGCACTAGGAGCTCCACAACGAACCGATTAGTCCGGTTACTATACATAAACATTGGCTTGTACTTGGCACAAAACCGTCTATACCAGCACAAGGTAAAGAAGGCTGAATTCGGTTTAATGGGTTGATTTTCATTTTAGCCAATGAATTGACTATTGAGAGACAATGAATTCAATTTATGCGCCAAATTCGATGGCTTCCACTTTCCAAAGAGATGTGAAGATAGGGAAATAATGGAGTTACAGAGAGCAATGTCCAGAACAAACAACAAACGGTATTAATGAGGCGCAGGGAGGAAGTTGGCAGGAACAAAAAAAAAAAGCACCAAGTCTATTAATGGCGGCCCCAATGTACCGAAAATCAACTGTGCCATCCATCAACCTCCCCTTCCATTAAATTTCTTCCACCTCCTCCTCCATCTTCATCACCTTCTTCTTCTTCTTCCCTTTTCCCCCAACTGTACACGCCTTTCTCGTTTTCCCTGTGCCTCATCAGCCTTCATCACATTTCCGCGCTGTTTCGTCTGCTGCAAAATTCTTCATGATTACTTCCTTCCTTTTCCATCACCATTTTCGCATGGCGTACTAGAAGCTCTCACCGCCATTGTTTCCAGCTGTGAATTCAGGTCGGTGTAGATACAAACCGGTTGCCCAATTAGGTCGGCAAAATTTTCATTTTTGACTTTTCGACCAATTACGTTGCCTCTTCGTATTCAATTTCTCTTCACCGTAGAGGGCGAAGCATTCACTAGGAAAAGCCATGGATTTGTAGTTGTGGTAGCTGAACAAACTCACAGGCGGACACTCCAAAGCTAAAACACTGTTGAGAGAGATAGAAAATCATAAATCCCCCCGCCTTTCTTTGTCACTTTTACTGTAAAAATCTCCATTGGAATTCCCCCTTCCCATAGTTTTCTTCCCACTTCGGGTTCTCACAGAGGGGGCAAATCAAATCAGTACGAAATTCCAGATTCTGGGTTGTTTTCCTTTTCAATTTCTGGAACAAACCCAATTCGTGATTGCGATTGAAAGAAGAAGGGGGGAAGGAAATGGTGGGAAGCATTGAAACGATGGGGAGCCCTGATAATAATAATCATCAGCAGCAGCAGAATGGGTACTCATCAGCTCACCACTCAACCAACGGAACCAATTCCGGGCAGGAAGAGAAGCTCGACGAGTTGCGGCGTCTACTGGGCAAAGCCGACGGCGACCCGCTCCGAATCGTCGGGGTCGGAGCCGGCGCCTGGGGGAGCGTATTCGCCGCCCTTCTACAAGACAGCTACGGCCAGTTTCGGGACAAGATCCAGATCCGGATATGGCGTCGCGCGGGTCGGGCGGTGGACCGATCCACCGCCGAGCACCTGTTCGAGGTCATCAACTCCCGGGAAGATGTGCTCCGGCGGCTGATCCGGCGGTGCGCCTACCTCAAGTACGTCGAGGCCCGCCTCGGCGACCGGACCCTGTACGCCGACGAGATCTTGAAAGATGGGTTTTGTATAAACATGATCGACACGCCGCTGTGCCCGATGAAAGTGGTGACGAATTTGCAGGAGGCGGTTTGGGATGCCGATATCGTGGTGAACGGAGTTCCGTCGACGGACACCAGGGAGGTTTTCGAAGAGATTAGCGTTTATTGGAAGGAGAGGATTAGTATGCCGATTATCATCTCGCTGGCGAAAGGGATTGAGGCGGCGCTTTCTCCTGTTCCTCATATTATTACTCCTACCCAGATGATCAAACTTGCAAGTAAGTGAGTGTGACTGATTTGATTCGATTTGATTTGGTTTGGTTCCCCACTTTATAATTTTGGGTTGAACGTTTCTTGATGATGATTGTATTTGTATATGGTTTAGTACTTGATTAGTATAGGAGAATGTTGGGAATCATGGAGATTACCGGTCAATTAGTCGAGTAATCAAGTCGATTGCAAATGGATCAACCCTTGGGTTCGACCTGATTACTCTACTGGTTGTGTCGGTCAGAATCTTGAGTCCAGTCCTGAACACGTTAAGGCTGGTTATGAGGTTACAGTGCTCATGGCTGACCTACTTATTGCCTGGTTCTTATTAGCTGGAGTGCCGATGGAGAACATACTCTACCTCGGTGGACCGAACATCGCGGCGGAGATCTACAACAAGGAGTACGCCAATGCTCGAATCTGCGGAGCCGAGAAGTGGAGGAAACCCATTGCCAACTTCCTGCGGCAACCTCATTTCATCGTGTGGGATAACAGTGACCTCATTACCCACGAAGTCATGGGTGGACTGAAGAACGTCTATGCCATTGGAGCAGGTTTGATTGCCAAGCTTTTCGCTTTGTTGTTCCCTCGCTGCGATCGAAGAAAACTCGCGTATTAAGCGCGCCTTTGGTTACTATGGAGTATATGGACTGTCTTTTTTGTCTGGCAGGAATGGTGGCAGCACTGACTAACGAGAGTGCTACCAGCAAGTCTGTGTACTTTGCACATTGTACGTCGGAGATGATATTCATCACTCATTTGCTTGCTGAGGAGCCGGAGAAGCTTGCAGGGCCGTTGCTGGCGGACACGTACGTGACATTGCTGAAAGGTAGGAATGCTTGGTACGGGCAGATGTTGGCGAAAGGCGAGCTCAGTCGCGATATGGGTGACAGCATCAAAGGGAAAGGCATGATCCAGGTTGGTGTTATAGATGATTTTGAGAACTGTATGTGAAATGTGATTGCTTGCTGGCTGCTACTGCCTTCTTTTTTTTTGCCAGAAATAGAATACAACAGACATTAATTATTGATCGAACAGATCATTACTCAGCAACATTACACACTGGAGAGGCATTGATCATACTGAACATGCCAATACTTCATGTTCTTGTGGGATCGTCGGGGGGTTTAAGTTACGAATGAGAAATGCAGGTTTTCGCAACGTGACTCCTACTGATGAACCGTTGTTTTTTCGTTGTGGAAAATGAATGGTATTGCAGGGTGTATCTGCAGTCGGGGCATTCTACGAGCTGCTGAGCCAGCAGAGCCTGAGCGTGTTGCACCCCGGTGTAAAGAAGCCCGTGGCACCCGTGGAGTTGTGTCCAATCCTGAAAACGCTCTACACCATCCTCATCTCAAGGTAATGATTCTGCAAACTGCGAAAGGGAAGTGATCAGATGACATGAAACGATTCGAAAAAGGGATCTCATTTCGGTTCTGTTTTCTTTCTTTTTTCGCCGTTGTGGGTGCAGGGAGAGGTCGTCTGAAGCCATTCTGCAGGCACTGAGGGATGAAACATTGAACGATCCAAGGGAGAGGATTGAGATTGCCCAAACTCATGCTTTCTACAGGCCTTCTCTCCTTGGACAGTCTTAATCAAATTCCTTCCATTGATTTGATTTGGTTGCCATTTGTGTTTGTTATCACTTATCAACGATGGAAAAATTTAATTTCATTGTAACATATGAATATTATAGATATGGACTTTGCAATAAAGATAATCGATATGATACATAGTGCTTTACTTGGTACTTAATGTTGGATTTGGGTGTTAATTTTCTTCCTAATGTGATCTAAATGGACTGTAAATAATATTAGGCTAACTTAACTAGAAACCATAATGAATTGCTGATTTAAGTACAAGTGATTTGAACCAAAGCAATCACATTGTCTCTAGTCTGATTGAGAGTCGTCATGCTAGACAAACTGACTCGTTATGCCATCAAAGTTTGAACGAGCAACACTTCATGCGCTCGTTCACTCACAACTTGACGAGATCTAACTCGTGCAATATGAAATCGTTAACTGATGGGCATTGAAGGAGGTTCCGCTCATTCTCGAATATAAAGCAATTGAACCCCACTTGGTGGAAAGCTCATAATCTATGGGTATTGAAGGTTCAACTCATTCTCAAATCAGAAAGCATCGAATTCGACCAGTGTAAAAATGGTTAATTTAGTTACTACACAGACGTGATGATATGTCAGAAAATTATTGTTAAATATTTTGTTAGTAATTTTATAATTTTTATTTAATGACCATTAATTGTTATGATGCAATGTAATCTAAGTATCTAACAAAGAAAATAAAATATATTGTTTCCTTGATTGGTTAATTCCCTTTCCCCCTTCGGAAAGGCGAGCACTAAACCCTTAGGCCTTAACCAGTTAACCCTATATTAAAGCTGAAATTGTGTATTTTATTTCGAGAAAACCCCGGGAAGGAAAGAACACAAAGCCACCGGCCTGAGAAAATAACCAAAAACCTCAAAGATTCTCTCTTTGAAACCGGGAGAAAAATGGCGGCTCTACAGATTGACAGAGCCGGAAGCGAAGCTCGGGAAACCCTCAAAGCATTCCAACGCAGAGCTTCCGAAGCCGAGGTTTGAATTCGATTACCCTCCCTTCTTCCATAGTTAGTTTCAACGATTTTCTCTAATCTTACACCAAAGATCCTGTTGCATACACTGTTAATGAAGCTCCTGTGCTTCCAAGTTTCTATCTTGCCTGCTTTTTTTGGTTGTCTAGAAACAAATCGTCAGTGGGTTGTCCGAGTGGAGCTTGAGAACCCTGGATGAAACTCAATTGCAGAATGTTCACATGTTGGCTGCAGTAACCCTGTTTGGATATGAATTGGTTTTGTTCATGGGGCTACTGTGGGAACTAGGTCAAATGGAATTTGGGGGTTTCTAGTGTTCCTCAGTTCAGAAATTGGTTTGCAGGAACTGGAAAATGCATAGGAAATTTGGGATCTTTTGAAGGATGGGATGATGGGTTATGGAGTGAGATACCATATCGTGACGCCTGCTGCATTTTGTCTGCCCGTGCTTACTTTATATCTGCAAACTATTATGCTATTGCCATTGTTAACCTTTTTACATGAGGAAAGTTCCTCTCTTTTGTCAAGTTACTGTATTGTATCCTAACACTCATATCTGGGCTTGAAGGATCGGCTGTCGAGACTGGAAGCTGCATTGGCAAGTAAGGCAGGCAAGTGTGTTTCAAAAATCTGTTTTAACATTTGAGGCATTTGATTTTCATAAGTATATTGTACGCATTCTTTCTAACTCAATTTGTCCCACAATGTATGCTTTTGTAATGCAGATGGTGGGGATTCAGAGCTTCTGAAGACTGTAAGTGAACTCCAATCCAAATTAGAGGATGTAACTGCAGAGTTAGCTTCTGAAAAGCAGAAGGTTAGTTACAGCTATCTCACAATTTGCTGGTCTATACCAATCAAAGTTACATACTTGCATAACCTTTTTCACTTTTCACCCTTCTGAATTCTTCAGGCACAGAAGCTTGCTGTTGAGAATGGGAAGCTCGAGTACCGAGTTACACATCTCGTCCGTTCAATCAGGGAATCTGACTGAAACTCTTACAAACACTTAGATGGTATAGCGAGATACTGAATTGGTTTTTACATATGATGAGATTCACAGCTAAAGAATCAGAAACTAGTCTTACTATTACCTCATTCTTGGCAGCAGGATTGATCAGAAGCTAGATTCTGTAGTTGATGATGGGAGGAATCCTGCTGTCTGTTTGAATTATCATTTCTAGTATTATCATCCAACTTTGTTATTACTTATTAGCTGCTTGGTGTTCATCGTTCTCCTTTCATGGCGTTCGCTTCTCTTGCAAGAAAACTTGATCTTATATATTTGTGTATTGTTGATACAGACTTGGTTCCCTTGTGGGAAAGAGTAGGTAGTTATTATGAAGTCGCCGGTTGAGGTGCCGTTTTCTTTGTTCAGATCAGCTGAAGAAATGACTCAAAGCTCCTATTTTTACCTACTGATTTGGTAGTTGGAATTACCAAGAACATGAAAAAAGCTACTTGACATAGTAATTTCAGGGGGAATTGCTGGACAATAGTTGGATAAACCTTTCTTGCAAGTCTTAGTTATTTTCAACGGGGAAAGTGATGGATCCTTTGCTTTTTACTTATCTATGGTGTAATCCAAAAACAGTATTTCTGGATAACTGTTAGAACTTGATGACATTGCAACCACCTAGGATGGTTCAAGTGGTAAAACACGAAGTTAGCAACTTGTAGACCTTGTAAGTTGTAATCACATAGGATGTCTCCAGTGGTTAGACATGAGGTTGACACGATGTATTCGCTACGATTCACAATACTACGATTCGCAAGACATAGTATACAGGGAATCATCTCTTGGTGGCCACGGCAAGGTGGTAAGCATGAATCCTTACTTCTAACGATCCAATGTCAAGAAATAGGGGTTTGGATTCTCGTCATTAAAGAGAGGGGAAAACAAACATTACATTCTTAAATTTTCTGTTTACTTCTCTTGAAATCATAAGTTACAATCTTTTGTTTGATCGATAAATTCTAAACATTCTTTTGAAATATCAAATATCATAGGAATTCACAAAATGAATGTAGTTTGAGCTTATTCATAGATGACAAGGATCAATGACACAAAAATACTTTCAAAATTTTATGTTAACATGTCATCATTCACCAATAATCCATTATAGATCACCAAGAGCTACACCTTTTGTCAAAACTAAAAAAAAATAACTTTTTGGGCCATAAGCATGGTTTGTTATCTACAAACTACATTGCTTTTATGAATCTAAACGCATCATTTTCTTAAGAAACATCAAATTAAAGGCATAGTTATAGTTTCAAATGCACTTAATCTACCTTTATGTGGTTTGATGGTAACCAACCTACCTTAATTCGACAACTACCTTTTCACCTTTGTGTAGCTTATGGACAACTGAAACATGCATGAGAATCACAATAATGAACCTGAACATGATAGACGTACGCACCATTTCTGCGCGTATTTGATCGTCCAATTTTGTAATCTCACCATCTATCATATAGAGTATGCACAATACGAGTCGGAATAAAAACTTATAATGTGTTTGGTTCTCGTAATAATACAGTTGTTTGATTCTCAAATCTCAAACTAGCGATCCAAAACATATAAACACGTACTTGTAAGTTGTACCTATCTCATTTAGTCCGCTAATTAACTGATTAATTAATTAAGCAGCGTGGGATTTGGGGACACGCGTCCGACGAAACAGGCAGATTCAGACACAAATCCGGGGGAAAAAACTAAAAAAAAAAAATGAAAGAGAGAAAATAAAACAAACAGACATTTATCAATCAATCACACTCCAATTCCCAGGAGAAAGAAAACAAACGGAAAATCAGCTGCGAAGAAGAAGAAGAAGAAACAGAAAACTCCGGCCACCACCGCCATTTTTTCTTCTTCTTTGGATCAAGAGCACCACCTCCTGATTCAGAATCGCAGAACAACCCGCGACCGACAACAATGGCGGTTCTACTATCATCTTCTTCTTCCTCGGGACAATTGTCCGCATCTCCGTCGTCGGCGAAGAAACAGGCGCTGTTCATAGTCTCCCTTGTAACCCTATGGTACTCGTCCAACATCGGGGTCCTTCTCCTCAACAAATTCCTCCTCTCCAATTACGGGTTCAGGTTCCCAATCTTCCTCACAATGTGCCACATGTCCGCCTGCGCCATCTTCTCCTACATCTCGATCGTGTTTCTCAAGGTCGTACCTCTGCAGACCTTGAAATCCAGGCAGCAGCTCCTCAAGATCTCGACGCTCAGCGTGGTGTTCTGCGCCTCCGTCGTCGGCGGAAACATTTCCCTCCGTTACTTGCCTGTTTCTTTCAATCAGGCGGTCGGCGCCACGACGCCGTTCTTCACCGCCGTGTTTGCTTACCTGATGACGTTTAAGCGGGAGGCTTGGGTCACTTACTTTGCCCTCGTCCCTGTGGTTATCGGCGTCGTCATTGCCAGCGGGGTAATCTGATTAATAGCCTGATTCAATTTTGCCCTCTTCATGATTTTGCTCGCTAGATCCTGAATGGCCTGTTTTTTGTGCTCAATTATGGCAATGCAGATCTGGGTTGTATTTGGATTTGCCATTTGTGCAGGATCTTAGCTGCTCTGTGATTTGTAGTTCCAAAATGCATGCTTTTATGATTTTGCTTGTCCTCTTTTGGTAATAATGCTTTGGGGTGATTTCTCTGGCTTCTTATTCTTTCTTTTTGTTCCTTGAGTTGATTGTTATAAGCTTGGTAATGAAAATTCCGAGCCAAATGTGATCTCAGATTGCAGGGAATTTGGAATGTGTAGGCTCTAGATAAATGTCGATTTGGATAATGTGCAAGTTGTTCGACGGAGTCTCTTGTTTGAAAGTAAGTTAGTAGTATAACTAATTTGGAAGTTGTTGTCTTTCTCATCAATGGTGGTTGCTCAATGTATCTACCACTTTCTTCTTCTAGACTTATTTTTTACCGTTTGACAATTGCGGTATGGTGGGCTTTATCCCAAAAGCTGTGATATACTCATTCCCTAAGCTAATGGTGTTGTTGCATTGTCCATCTAACTTCCTTATTGCAACATGCATTCCTTACTTTGATACTCCTTTCTCTCTTAAAAATGGTGTTTCATAGTTATATGTGGGTGCCGAAGTTAACTAGTTTGTTTCATCAATGTGTGTTGTATGTTGATACTTTGGTTGGTACTGTGCTGCGTGTCTGGGTTAATACGTCTGAGCAGTATTAAGTTGTTTGTGTTTTAACTATGTCATCTCTTTTCTTTGTCTTGGAATCCAAGTAACCTGCTTTTATACAGTCCATTTATAGGTTTGCCTATCACAATCTCTTAATGAAGAAATGGTTTGCATATGGTTCAAGGTTTCACAAAAGAAGAAAGTAAAACTGTTTTGCTTAAGCCGTTAACTTTCCCGCACTGGTTCTGAACTTCTGATGGCTCAACAGTTTTATGACATCAATTCATGATTCTATTAAGATATCTTCGGGTCACCATGGTTGTTAGTTTCTTCATTTTCAGTTGAATCTTGGCTAAATTTTTGTTGCGCTGTCTAGTGGGCTGCTGCATTAAACAGAAAAAGGGAAGAAGTAAAACAGACTATAATGTCATCTAGGATAGGAGCGTTTTGATTTTCACCTCTTTCATTCAACGTAAACTCCAGCTGAGGCTGCCCCTCTTGCAAATTCGACAGTTGAACTGATGAAGTCTTGTGCTCACGGCAGGGGGAACCAGGTTTTCACTTGTTTGGATTTATCATGTGCATCAGTGCAACTGCTGCCAGGGCTTTTAAGTCTGTTCTTCAGGGCATTCTGCTTTCTTCTGATGGGTAAACATTCCAATGCTTGAGCTGATACAACGCCTGAAATGTTATCGCATGCGTATCTCGTGTGTTTTCTTCTACCTGGAAGACTGCTTAGAATGTTAAGCAAAGCGTTCCCCGGATGACGATACAAAGATTGTTGTTTGGTGCAATGCTGCAGGGAGAAGCTGAACTCGATGAACTTGCTCCTCTACATGTCGCCAATTGCTGTCTTCGTGCTAGTCCCCGCAGTGATCGTGATGGAGCCTGACGTGTTGAATTACACATTGGCACTCGGAAGGAGAGACAAGTTCATGTGGTTGCTACTCATACTCAATTCCTCACTCGCCTATTCCGCCAACTTAACAAACTTTTTGGTCACCAAACATACCAGCGCATTAACCCTCCAGGTTTGGATTCTTCACTCTCGCTTAATTCAAACTTTTCAAGTCCAGCATCGTGTGTAATTAACAAAGAACGTCGGCCAGATTGCCTCTGAACGAATCTCCGGAAGCTTGAACAATTCCGTTTGTGTTTCTGCGGTGGTTTCTTTCAGGTGCTGGGGAATGCGAAAGGCGCAGTAGCTGTGGTGATCTCCATCTTCATATTCAGGAACCCGGTTACCTTCATCGGGATCGGTGGGTACACCATCACTGTACTTGGAGTGGTTGCTTATGGAGAGACCAAGAGAAGGTTTAGATGAATGAATTTCCCACTTTCTTTTTCACCCTTCATGTTTTCACAAAAGATGATTAGGGAATCCCCCATCTCTTCTCAGTCTACTGCATATGGGAGGATGAATTTTGATTCATTTACTAGGGAGAGAGAGCATTTATATGTTGTATTCTGTATATTTAAGGTAGGAATGACTTAAGCTGGAGATTGCTAGCAAACAATGATGAATGATCTTTCTATTATATCCCAATTTAAATTTTACCTACGAATTCGCATCGCTCCAATATTTTACAACGGAGAAACATTGATGCATACGTCTGAAACTAATCCGACTTCGTAACTGCTAGCAAAATTTGATGCATACACCAAATCAACGAGAAGAAGCAGATTCATGTTTTTACAGTCCTTGTCATTCGTTCACCGATGAACTCAACAGCGCACCATGGCGATTTCCTTACCGACGTATATCGAAAAGGTGAGATCTCTAATAATCAAAAGAGTCTTTTACAGATGTACTAAACATAAAATGTTAAACCGTGGAGAAAGCACTTTCAATGTTTGCAGTTGTTCTTTCTAGTTAGCAGAATCGCTTGTCAAATCTCAATACCCGAATCTCAATTCTCACCCACAAGCCCTAACATAGAATCTCCCCCTTTCTTTACACGACCATCCGTTATATCTCTCTTCCATACTCGAAACAAATACCAAAAAGAGAACAGTTTCCATGGATATACCAGAAGCTGAAAACCCAAAACTTCAAGACTGTTCTTACTACTACTTCATCAAGCCATGTCTGGACCGGTGGGAAGAGCATCGTAACCATCGTGTTGCTTAGGCGATGGTGGTCGTTGGTTTTCAACTCCAACGGGGATGCATTTCAGAACCACTGCGATCACCAAGCTGACAGCTCCCAACAGCACGCTGAAAAGCCACATTTCCCAGCTGAGAGGGACGGTGCTGGCAAATGTTCCTAGGAACTCGACGATGATCACTTGGAAAACCACCGTGACTGTCATCACTCCCACGAATACCCAGCTGGTGAACATCCCCTTCAACACGTTGATCTTTTCGATCTCCCGGCTGTTAATTTCGTTGAAAACCTGCCAGTAGTACAAACACCAAGAACAACAAAAGAGACCAATGAAAAAAACTGCAGCACCCAAGGTCTACACTCTGCAGCAAGAATTGGTCGACTTTGATTGATTCAGAGTTCCATTTGGAAGAAGGTATTACCTGGCAGAAGACGAAGGAGTTGAAAATCAGAGTATTCAGAGTCAACGTAGCGTCTGGACCTTCCAGTCCAAGCAGCTGCTTGCCATAGAAATTGAGAACTGCGAGCACAATTAGCTGATAGATGCTCTGACCAAAGATATTCCTCCACATCGTCTTCGTAATGAAGCTCGCGCCCCTCCCTACTGGAAGTCTCTCCATCAGAGCGTCATTCGGAGGCTCAGTTGCCAGTGCCAATGCGCCAAGAGTGTCCATGATCATGTTTACCCACAGCAGCTGCACGGCAGTCAGAGGAGCGGATCCTTGGAGATTTTTCACAGACCGAAACGATGATGATTTAGTAACCAACTCCAGATATTTTCTAGTAAACCGAGAAAAAGAACAAAGGGAAGCCCACCTGATATACATGCAGAAATGAAGTTGAGAACCAGTGCAACAATGTTGACAGTGAGCTGGAACTGGACAAACTTCTGGATATTTATGTAGACAGAACGTCCCCATTTCGCAACGTTTACAATGCTCTTGAAGTTGTCATCCATTATAATTATGTCGGCATTCTCCTTCGCAACCTGCAGAAATACAAAGCTCAGATTTTTTACTAGGAAATTAAAAAGGATAGGAATGACAAGAGAGCTTCAAAGGAGCTCAGTGGAAACGTCTGGCCATAAGGAGTGTGACTAACCGGTTCAGAGCAGATTCAACAATCAACTAAAATGAGATTTGACATACCTCTGTTCCGGCTATACCCATGGCAAGTCCAATGTCAGCCTCGTGCAAAGCTGGAGCATCATTAGTACCATCACCAGTGACTGCCACGATTTCCCCAAACATATTCTTCAAATTAGTAACGAGGGTATGTTTGTCCAAAGGCAGGGATCTTGCCATTACCTGCACAAATTGATAAGAAAAATTGTTGAATATCAAAATCAACAGGGGTTAAGAAATGATAAAAGCCTTCTAATGCAATAAAATGATAATAACCTGAATTTTTGGTATAATGGCTCTCATTTCATCAGGGGTCTTGGTACGGAACTCTGGCCCTTCGATGGCCACACCTCCTTCAGTAAGTATCCCACATTCTTTGGCTATGGCTCTAGCAGTGTTGATATTATCTCCAGTAACCATGCGAACGGTTATTCCAGCAGCCAAGCAGGTCTGAACTGCTTCTCTAACTCCAGGACGAACTGGATCTTTGATTCCAACAACTGCCACCAATGTGTAACCGGAATCCGGGATAGAGCTTTCCTCACACGTACCATCTCCTACATCTTTATAAGCCAGGCAGAGGGTTCTCAATGCATCACAAGCAAACTCATTTATGATGTCAGAGATAGTGTTAATCTGTTCCTCCGACAGCTGGATTACATCCCCATTCTCGTCAACAACTCTATCACACATTTTCAGTACTATCTCAGATGCACCCTTACAGAAAGCTCGGGCGCCGCCTTCAGGAAGAGCCACTAGTGTTGACATCTTCTTCTTCACTGAATTAAATGGTTCAACTTTCAGTATGTTGAATTCGCTACGTTGTGCATCCCAGTCCCCACCCAAATGCAAACCGAACTCGAACAAAGCCTTGTCAGTCGGTGTTCCCAAAGTCTTGGACTTCCCATCTTCATCTTTGGTCACTTCACAACCAGTGTTTTGAAATATAGCCTGCAGAAGAAGGCTTACCACTCCTTCAGATGCTTCAATTCCTGAAATGCCTTGGCTCTTGTTATGGCTTATGCTTATCGTTTTCCCAATTATGCATATCTTATCAACTACCATGTGGTTTGTTGTCAAAGTCCCAGTCTTATCTGTGCAGATGCAACTAGCAGAACCCATTGTCTCACAAGCAGATAAATGCCGAACAAGGGCCTTCTCGTCCATTAGCTTCTTCATCGCAAATGCAAGACTCAGAGTAACAGCCAATGGTAACCCTTCTGGAACTGCAACAACAATGATGGTTACTGCAATAGCGAAGTAGTCCAGAAGTGTCAACGCATCAGCTGTAGACCATTCTGTGAACTCATTGTTGGAGATTTTCGTCCACAGTAGCCTACCAGTCAGCACCACGAATGTGAGCACAGCAAAACCCAGACCAATCTTTCCAATGATGGTCGCTACACCATTTAGTTTCACCTGTAAAGGTGTTTCATCTTCTCCGCCTTCATTCAGAGTTTCCATCAGTTTTCCCCATTCTGTCCTCATCCCAACAGCTGTTACCAGCATTTTGCCAGAACCATCTTGGACTCTGGTTCCCGAAAGAAGAAAAGGCTTTGACTTGTCTATATTCACTGGCTCACTCTCCCCTGACAAGCTGGACTCATCAATCACTAAGCTATATCCCGATATAAAAACACCATCAGCTGGCACAACGTCTCCTATTGATAACTGAACAACGTCCCCAACGACCAAATCAAAGATGGAGACTTCTTGCTTTCGCCCATCCCTGGTGACCTGAATAGAAATCTTCTTCTTCTCCTTATCCAAATCCCGGAACTGCAGTGACTGCTTGTAGTCGCTAATAGCAGTGACCATGACGACCAAGAGAATGCTGACTAAAATTCCCAAACCATCGTACATCCCTTTTGGCCACCCTTCAGTTGCAAGCCCTACCCCGATAGAGATTACAGCACATACCATCAGAATAATCAAAGTCAAGTCTTGCAGTGCCTCCCAAACGAACATGAAAAAGCTTTTAGGGGGCTTCTCTGTATAACTATTGCTGCCATAAATGCTTTGCCGAACAGGGACGTCATTTGTGTGTATGCCCTCGTTCAAAGAAACAGCAACCTTTCTTGCTAACCCTTCCACCTCACCGCTTCTTTTCAAAGCCTTGGCATCATGATCACGAACAATTGAAGCGAGTTCTTCAGCTTCGATCCCGAAACCAGATTTTCTGACCTCATCCGACACCTTGGTCTCTGCGTGGTTACCAGCTGTAGCATCTTGGGCAGCACCGGCTGTGGAAATCAAAATCAAGTGCAAAAGCTGAATGCATTAAACAATGAGAAACTCTTGGCAAGATGTTGCACAAAGATAAGAAGGTTTAAGTATCATACCATCAATGAACTGCAGTGCAGCCTTTTTTACATAGAGTGCAACTCTGATCTTTTCCTGCATTGTGAAAAGAATAATCAACATAGTAAACAGAACAGAAGAGCCCAACATATGCTTCTTTCATCTGTCCACAATACAAACAGTTTTAGCCTACACTCAACACAAGCAAAACTACTAATCCCCCACATCAGTTTCAAGTGTCAACAAGCCACTGATGTGTTTTCAGTATATGATATTTTAACAAGATTCCACATGAAACACCTTCAATTGGAAGACAGGAGCTCAAGTAATCCAGAACAGTTGCAGTTTCAATGACATTACAAGCTCAATAAACTTCAAAGATTAAGTTCATGGCTTTTTCTTTAAATCGATCCGTATATTATTTAGTCAATTCTGGGAGTTGTCGCATTTCAGCTCCGAGATGGCAATCTAAGTAATTCAGTAAGTAACCCGATCCCATTTAATTTCAACATGAATGTCTTTGTCGAGGTTAGCAGAGTCCTGATGTATCGTCTAAATGAATTCATGCAGCTTTTCTTTTGTCTTTTAGGTAAAGAAAAGTCATTTAGCTTTGATCTTAATGATTGACCATTCTATTTCTTAACAAGACTAGACACATTCATTTAGTGGAGAACAAAAGGGTAGACCTTTAGCAAACAGCGTGCTGAACGCAGTTGCCTGTACATAGTGATGTAATTGTGACTAAAAAAACTTGGACCTGTTAATTAGTAAAGTATTCATGTCATCCCCGTTAGGTGAGTCGTGACAATAGGCCGCCATTAAAGGCCCCACAATGGCACAACAGAGAGACTGGCCCATTACCAACTAATCTTCAAAATGAGAAAAGAACTCAACCAAATGAAGAAAACTACAGCAGGTTCCCATGTGCCAAATGGTAAACCAGAGAAGAAAATGATTCCCAGATTAAAAAATATGCAGTATTCCCCTCTGTACCTATTCTCTGTCTCCTTTTCCTCAGAAGGTGGGTGGGTGGGCAGGGTGTGGGGAGGCTCAATAATGACATCCACCCAACACCTATTTTTAGACAAATGGATTCAGGCAACCATCAAGTGTGCTTCGTATTTTGCTTTAACCTAATTAAATCTTCTTTCTGGGGAACAGTCAATCATCCTCGACTCTCCAGGAGTCACAGGAAACATAAGGTTAAACATCAAAATTTTCTTTCCTCTTCAACGAAAGAGGGACACCATTTGGGAGTTTTAGCAAACTTACTATATTGAATATCTATATGCACGAAAGAGACACAGGTTAATGCTTCAGCATATTATATATCGGAGTGAAGGTTGAAGGAAGCTTCGTGCCTTGACATTATCTGAAGCTAAAAGTCAAAAAAAGTATGCATTATAATTCTGGTGCCTTGCTCCATACACTCCAGCTTGCTAACTTGGATTGGACCATGACTGGCCCCATATCTATTCGATATATGCCCCCAAAGCCCAATTTTCCTTGAAGGAAAATACCATATCTTATCTCTTCCTCCAATCCTAAAAGTATCTCATTCACTCAATAGTACAAACTAACAGATACCCAGAATAAATCAATCAGATAAAGAAAAGCATCAATAAATTAATCACTTTATTTGTTGTTAGCAGCAGTAGTGGCTCCATTACTTAGGACTGTGAGGATTACAACAAATCTTAGTGCAAGACAAAGAGGTTAACTTTTCTAGACTCTTATTTTATAATTCACGATTATTAATACTATTGGTAGCACCAATCAGTAGTACAGTGGCTCCATAACTCTAGAAATTTTCAGGAGAAAGAGGCTGGTTAGCTTTTCTAACATTTTGTTCAATTAGTTGTGCGTAAAGGAGGAAGAAATCAAGCTAAAACACCTCAATAAACCGATTGAGAATGACCCAGCAACAGTACAGCAGAGCTAACTGCTGACATAGAGTTCCATGGCGTTGACCATTTCACAGTTGCAAGTTCGGTTAAAAATGGCGGGGGAATGGAGGAAATGAAATGGAGGGCCCGCTACCAATGGTTCACCTACAGTTACGGGCTGACGTATTCCACGTCAGCAAATTTTACCGGCCGTTGGACCGTGACAGCGGCGGGTCGACCGCGGCGGACAAAGTCCGGCCCGGCGGGCGGTCCCTTCCAAGAGGATACGGAGAATAAATTTCATAGAAACGAAAGGAAAATTCAATTAATCGACTCAAATCTACGCGGATTAACTTCGTAACGCTAACTTGCGCACTTTGCGCATCTCGCCATAAATCGCTTTCAACGCAAACAGGAATACAAGTACCGAAGAAAAATGAAAAGGAATCCGTAAAACAGTATTTTCCGGGAAAATTTCGGCCAGTGTAAGGAAAATTGGTTGAAGGACGATTTTGAGTTGACTGGAATATAGAATGAATGAAATCTACTGTTGAGTGACGGAGAAGATCTAAGCTCAGCTACTGAGAAAATGAAAGGCCTCCATAGTTAAGCCCACTGTACAACGCAGATCCGAGAACAGAGCAATTAAGATAGCTTGCGCTACAGCTGATAGCTCTGTTTGTTTCGCGGGAAAGCAAAGCAGACGAAACGAAACGGAAATCGGACTTAATCATAACCCTAGCAGAAAGAGCACTGAAGATAAGGCTATCGAAATCGGAGTTCCGGTTCAGGCTATATACTAAGTGTTTGTTTCTCGAGAAAAAAACGGAGAGAAAATCGAGTGAATCTGAGAAAATTAGAAGCATATCGAACGGAATCCGAAATGCAATCGAGCGAGATGTAGAGAGGGAGATCCGCCCTAAATCTACAGGTTTAAGGCAGCGTTGTTCTAAGGCAACTGCAGTCAAAGCAAAATATCTGACGGAAACGAAGAGAGGGAAAATCTGGAGTTCAATGGAAACGGGAGAAAGAAAGACAGACCTGGATGCTTCGCTTCCTGCGTTCGGCCTCGGAGCGCTTGGTGAGATCGGCGACGTTGCGGAACCGCCGGCGGGGGTTCTTGACGATGCTTACAGCTCTCCGCCATCGCATCAACGCTTCCTCCGACGGATTCTTGTGGTCCAGGTCGAACTCTTTCTTCAGATATCTCTCCATTTTTTCTCCGGCGAAGCGGACGGACGCCGGCGACACGGAGAGGGAAGAGGGAGGGAAAAGAGGAAGAGCAGATTGGACTAGCCAGACGGAGAGGAGGTTTTAGGAACGGGAACAAAGTGGCGTATAAATGTACGGACACAGGTGGGGCCCAACACGAGTGGTTACGACTTTTGGAGAATGGGAAAAGTTTTCACTATTTAAGCCATTGTATCATGGAAAATTCACAAATGAGTACCTTCTCTCATATTTTGTAACATTTATGTCCTTGTGTTACAAATTTACCAAATAATTACCTTCCTGAAACTAGTGGCAAACTACAAGAGTTTATATGCTCATAATCTTAAGATAATGGTACCATTTGAGATAGGTGGTATATATAAAATTTTAGAGTTACCAACCCAAAGTCATGTGATTCAAACAACTTGAATAGTGAATAGTAGATTAGTAAGATCAAACATATTAAAAAAAATTTGTCTCGATGAATTTGATTTTGATCCAAAATTCGTATGAGGAGGGCGCATTTTGATTTGCGCATCATTTCAAAGCAGCAACATCTCATTGATATTTATAAAAAAATCACAACTCTCACCCTTGTTCATTCAACTAGCCATTGCAGTCTCTGGAACAACAAGCTTCTAATATATTGATTTGATGTTTGTCTTATATTAATTTGGTGATTCAAATGAGGCTTGACATCACTAAGCTTGAATTATATATGCAAAAGATATTGATGACTGATTAGCAAAAGCTCAATTGAAGTAGACAACAAAAATCATTCCAGGAGTCTATATCGAACAAACATAAGAGTTGACATAGTTGTCAATAGAAGAAGATCAAGAAAAATAACTAAGATCAACAAATACAAACACTAACTTGTCAAAAGACATATAAAAAAAACTAGCTTAGTTTATATCTCTTTCCCTTGTTTTGGAAAGGCCATGGACTGCGAGAACGTTCACTTGTTATTCTTGTATCATTGTAATGGATTGTGAGAATTCTTTACTGCCTTTACAAAAACTATTCAATATGATCTATAAAAAAACATGAACTAATGGTGAAGACATAAGCATGCTCAATAAACATGTCGCAGTCATCATCATATATTAAAAAAGAAGTAACTCTAATTTAGCTAGTCAAAATTTGTCACCTCCAATTACATCCTAATTAATTTCTCATTACGCGAGATCTTATAAAGTGATAAATCACATTTGAGGCTTCATTTCTCAATATAAAAAACATAACGAGTACTAAAGTAAAACTTATTTTTAACCTATGGATCGATTAGTAATTTGCCTTTTAACTTTCTTCTATTCTGAACCATGGCCGCACTGCTTCACTACTACAATCAAAGTTTAATCGACGTCTTGGATTTTCTCAAAGGACGCCGGCGGGAAGGGAATGAACATCAGATTTGGTCCATAGAGGCTGCGGGCGGCGGGCCCTGCAAGAGCTGAAGCGCCTCGCCGGCGTGCTTGTCAGTGACCCGCCGAAGCTCCCTGAACCCATCGTAGCTGATGGGACGGTACAGCCGTGGGTGTCCATCGTCCACGAACGCCGGCGGCGGCTCCACCACCGTCTCCCTCGGCGGTCCCAGCAAAAACGTCGCGATCGAGATCCGAACCGCCGCTTCCTTGCACTGAACCCTGTGCTTCACATTCCGCAGCTTCCCATTGCTCCACACCTGAATCCCAACCGGAGAAAAAAATATCAAAATTAAACAACAAAAAAAACTGTTGTTTATCGAAAACGAATTGAGTCCGTACCGTGGCGAGATCGCCCAGATTCACGAGGAAGGATCCGGGCACTGGATCGACGGGGACGTAGCCGGCATCGGAGGGATCCATGACCTCGAGGCCGCCGACGGATTCATCTTCTTGAAGCACGGTGAGGAACCCAGAATCCGTGTGAATCTGGACGCCGGGAGATCCGACGGTCTCCGGCTGGAAATGGTACTTGTTGATCCGAAACTGACACGGCCAATCTTCGAACAATTCACTACCAACAACTCCCAAGCTCTCCGCCATCCTCGCCGCCACTTGCATCGCCACTCCATGGATCGCCTCCGCATACCTCAGAATCGTCTCCCTGTAAAATCAAATAATCGTAATTCGTCCCCAATTAGGATCCAATTCAAAGTCAGAATTAGTGAAAACCTGTGGCGAGGAGAGGCGGCGAGCTGGTCGCAAAACTTGTGGACGGCGGCGGTGGAGCCCATGTCGTAGAGTCCGAGAGCTTCGTAGAGAGGGTTCTTCGACGACAGCGCGACGTAGCCGCTGCCGGAGAGGACGTCAACGTTGCGTCGCTTGACGTCAATGGGGAGGTCAAATAGCTCCCCGACGACGGACTTCATCTCGGACATCAGACTTACAGGGACGCCGTGGTTGACCAGCCTGAAGCAGCCCCATTTCTCGCACGCTTCCCGGAGCTTCTCCGACGACGACGGCGACCCTTGGAGTTCCTGCAGATCGATGGTTGGAAGCGTGCCCGCCATATTTGCCGAGGGGATTGTGGAACTCGGCAGTGGGGTTTTATAATGGGAATGTCTGGCGGGCTGGGAATGTGACGTTCTGATGTGGGTCGGGGCTGTGTTCATATAAAGACGAGACATTGATGATCACGTTTGTCGAAGCTTAGGCCGACAATGGTTGGTAAAATAGAAAGGGGAAAATCGATCATCCTGTTTATACATCGTTTTCCTGAACTCTTCTGGGCAGAGAAGAAGAGCAATTCTTGCCTTTCTTCCTCTCACTTGTCTACTACAAATGGAACTGAGCGCAATAACTTACTTCTACCTAACTAGTTTTTGGCAAGAACTTCATTTCGTCAAGCTTCCTCAAAACAATGGAGGATGTCTTGTGAAAGTTAAACTGGTCAGGATTCGTTTTGCATAACTGCAAAACTAATTTGCTACTCCCATTTACCAATGGCGATCTATCAGGTGTCGACCTAATCTGGAGATGAGATTCAGGAAAATGATTCTCCAGCCAAATTCGAACGCTGCCGTGTACCTTATTAGTACAGCCCGGCAAGTGATTCTACTATAACATTGTGGGTAAGTGCTAATCATAACATACATAGCTTCCCACAACATGAAGAGATTAGTTATCATCAGACATCAATCGATCAACCTTCACTGATTGCTGTATTCAGAAGCTGCGAGTAGCAGAGCAGAAAATGCACAACCTTTTCAACACAATAGCCTCATCTACGTTCTTGATCCTAGATTGGCCAAACATGTTCAGTGTACTCACTCACTTGATTTCGAGATGCAACAACAGTAATTAGGCCGAATCGGAGTTCTCTCTAAACTATCCCTAAGCCGAGTTCAAAGAGTACAGAATTTTAGCTGCTCTCTAAGTCCACATCTAAAATTCATTTCAAACCTGCTATTCCTCTGCAGCATCAGCCGTCTGTCCAACCATCGCTTCAAGCTTCTGCAACCAGCTCACGTACTGACCTTGCTCCTTCGTGTGCAGGTGGTGAAGGAGATAGTTAACAAGCAACTGATCTACACCCCTCTCTGCTAGGTACTCTTCCAATGCATTCTGCAGATCAGGGTCCAATGTACTGCCACAGGGTTCGTAAGACAATCAGATTTCAGTTCACAACCACCAAAAACATTACTAAACCTACATAACAAGGATCTATGCCAGTGGTTTCTGATCCTATGGTAAACAAAATGATGAATTGTTCATGATAAGAAATCAGCCTTAGTTATATACTTGGATGATAAAGACACTACAATCAAAGGGAGATAACATGGGGGAAAGGGGGAAATTGTATTCACCTGAACAAAGGACCTCTGTAGGAGGAAGGAGACTGGTGCTCGGTGGATCGAAGGAAATGGGCGGAGCTGATAAGGAACGGAGAATTCTCCTGAGCTCGGCAATCGAACTGCAACACGGAGCTCAAGCCAGGTTTTGTAAGGCAGACCTTCATCAATATTTCTCTAGGGTAAGTTGGACGAGAGGGTGTCTCCGGGAGAATCTCGCCCAGCAACGCGGAAACCGCGACTTCCTCGCCGGACCCTAATTTCCTCCTCAAGACGACGTCTTGCGATTCCGCGGAGTCCCAGTCGACGGCGAAGTCCCCCGGCGAGCCGGCCGAGTTGTCCTGTTCAGAACAAGCGAGTTTCGCTCATTGTATCCAGAGTTCGGAAGTTCGTAATCGGAATCTATCAATCAATCGATGTTCGACAGCCATGGAAGGAGAGAGAGAGAGGGAGGGAAAGAAGAACCTGGAAGGACGAAGGGGAGGAGAGTTCGTGGTTGATTTCCGATCGCAACGCTTTGATCAAATCGACATCTTCGAGAGCTCGAGCGGCGCGGCGGAGGACGGGCGTCAACCGAAGAGCCATTCCTTCTTCTTCTCTTCCGGCGGCGACTGATCCCTTAGTAGCCGCTCAGATCAAAGGACGTTAGCCACTCTAACTTGTCATCAAAATTCCGATCGCGGATCGGGCCCAAAATCTAACACGAGATTTTACGGCCCAAACTCGGGACTAGCATAGACCTCTTCAGCAAGAAAAAAAAAACAAAAAATAGCATAGTCCCCAAAATAATTAGCCTAGAATCAGTAGATTAGTAGTCCAGCAATATATGATAACTAGCTTTTACTCGGCCCGTTGGCCGATTAATTTGCTTTATAAAACTTTCATCTTGTCGTCATTGTGCTTTCTGGTTTTTGTCATGCCATGATAAAATATAAGAAAATCAAGAACGAACAACACGATTTGGGATAGGAACCGCCGTTGTCGTATCCCTAGAAAATGGCGGTAAACACGGACTCACCTGCCAAACTGGTTTGGATTGAGATTTTTATCGGGTATCAGGGAACCATGTGATTATAAATTAGACTTGATCAAAACGGGCCAAAACTTGAAATTCAGCCTGTTTGACACACTCATGCCAAATTCTAATTATTCTTTTCTTTTAAATTTTCTATTTGAAAACAAAAAATAGTGAAAGAAAAGAGATGACTGCAATTCGCCATTTGCACATGACTTATTCGGGAATAAAACCATAGAAATTCAAAAGAAACTGAAACTGTTTAGGATCGTTTTAATGTTTAAAATAACCAAATAGATCTTTCTGTTTAGTTTTTTTACTAACAAATATCAAACGATTCTCCATAAAATACACTATAATTTGATCATTATGATATCAAATAATTATATAATATATATTTGAAATGATAAAAATTTGACTAATTGGGTTGGTCGAGGTTGAACCATTGAATAACTTTAAAATACATTATATTTTAGCCACTAAGATATAAAATAATAGCATAATATATATTATGCCAGAGAAAATAGCTTGTTTTAGAATGTCAAACCAATGATGATTATTTGTTTTACTTGATTGCCAAATCCCGTGTAGGTCAGGCCCATTCAACTCTTTTATTTTACGGTTAGCGGTTAGCCCATTAGATACCATGCATTAGTTTATTATTAAATTTTTTATTTTTAGCAATAAAAAGAATTATTATTTTTGCCTTTTCATATATATTTTATCACCACAGAGAAATAAAAGGGCTTAAAGAAAAAAATTGACACTACCGGACCCGTTCAAATTCGCATGTGTACGGTAAGTTGGCCCGTTCCACAGAGAAAAGAGAAAAAAATTGACACTTCCTATTCTACCCTTCCTACAAACGCTCCTGGAGCAGGGAATTTGAAATTGGGGAAGGGTTTTTTCCTCCCAGCTATTATATGTTTTTAATTTAAAAAGATACAACAAACGTACTTAGTTTGATTGGTAATGATCCTTGATTTTCTTTAAAATGGTCATGGTTCGAATCCCAATACATGTCTTTTTAATGAATAAAAAAAAAGTAATTGTGAAGACCAAAATGTCCTTCCTACTTTCACTCTCGTTGCAGGAAATTTGAAATGGGGCTCCCGTTTTTCCCTTCGGCGTATTATATTATGTGTAGACTATGATAACGATTTACAAACATTTTTTTCATTGGACATTATCAAATTGAATCTAACCTAGAAGATACATACATTTGTTTTACTACGATGACGTTTTTTATTACTTTTTATTAACAAAAACATCGAAACGATACATACATTGCTCTACTACGATAGTGATTACCCGCATATAATTCGCGATTACCTATCCACCTCAACAACATGAAGTATAGAATGTTGAGATAATCACTAAACACCTTGTTATTCTTATCTGTCACATTGCATTGTGTCTTCCATATGGAAATGATACTCCAAAACCAGTGTGGACTGTGGACAATAATGTAACAGAAAACACCAATCTTCATCAACTTAATAAAGATTAAAGAGCAATAAGAGCAATTCTTCATCCGTCTAAAGTACTACTTTCTTCCATATTTGTGAATTGAACTGCAAAAAATTAACTCATCTCTATTTTTCCCCCTTTCTCTCTTCTTTTTTCCTCCCTTCTTTTCTTGGGGTTTAAGAAAAATCAATTTCAGCCTCTTTTTCTACATCTCAACAGAATCCCTCCCATGGCAACCCGACTCCCAACTCCGAAGAGCAATTCCAGTGACCTAACACTGAAAGGGATGATCAGTTGCCAGAAAGGGCGCATCACCACGGAACACCAAAAACCAAACTACTGCAGCCGAATCACGGACTGCAGAGGCTCTTCAGATCCTCCTCCTTAGCGTACCAGCTGGGTATTATCTTCGCCACGTGAGGATAGAGATCCTTGTACGAGTTCCTGATCGTCCCTTCAGCCACACCCGTCGCAACTGATATGTCTGCACACACACCCCATCCACAACATTTAATCAAAACCAGCCATCACCCGTTACTGCAAAATATTCACAAACCAAGGACCGTACTCTAATTGCAAGAGTAAGAATCGCAAACCTCTGAGGTGTTTCTTGTCCTCTGTAAGCTGCGTTATGATATATATTATTGCTGCTGCGATCGATATAGGGCTCCTCCTGTAGTTCGCAACCGAAAAAGATATAAGAGAAGTGAAGAGGAAAGGGAATGATTAAAAGTGTTTGCTATGAACCAGATGGGGTATCTCAAGCTATATACCTGATATCGAACTCTTCCGACTTCTGAACAGATTCTTGGGCGGCTTTCATTGCTTGATTAGTCATACCAAGATTAGAACAGAACCGCCTCTACAGTCCATGGTTTAAGGCTTATCATATCAGTAATTACACTCAGTGCTACTAACATACACTTAACCGTGAATCTGCATAAAGCTAACAATGGGTTTAACATTTAGCCACCCACCATGAAGTCTCCAGCATGTATTGTTCCCATTTCAACCGACTGGCCTGTTTCCAGTCCCAGCTGTTTCACAATGTATTCTTTTGCTCGGCCAATTTCCTTCTTTGTGGCTCCATTGGCAACAGAGCAAATTTCTAGTTGAAAATTCCAGAGTTTTCAACCAAAGCTCAAAATACCATAGAGAAAAGATATAAACCAGGGAAGGCACCATTAGGTTAATAAAGGATATTTAGGCTGTGTACCCTTTACAGTGCGCGGCTTGTCTTCCTGTCGACAAGCTATGTAGAGGCAAGCTGCCAGTAAGGCATCCTGGTTTCTTCCTCTACTAGACTTTTGATCCTCCACCCTCTTGAATATCTCATTCGCCCGGTCCTACAGTTAAAGTAAATGACACGGTTAGGGGGAAAACCCATCAATGCAACATAACCAAGCTTCAAATAGGATAAAGAAGATCAATCACATGACACAGAAGATAGAAAATTGACAGTTTCATTGGCTTTCTAGTTATCCTGGAAAATGGAAAACAACCCAATGTCAAATGAATGTTGTCTCGGACCATTGAGCTGCAACTAAATTCCCTTTTTTATCAGATACTCATCGGCATTTGGCTTAGGGCACTTATACAATGGTCAGCAACAAGAGTTCATAGAACCGCGAAGTGCTTGAATTGAAACCAATGCTTAGCAACAAGACTTCACCCTTACAACGGTAGGACACTTATTCGACAGTTGTACAGATACTTGAGAGCAAAACCAATTACCAAAACTCATTGCACTTGTCACCCATCAATTCTCAAAGAACCTACGAACCAAGCACATATGCGTGCACATGACATGAATGTATCAAGGATACAGATAATAAATAAGATAGCAGTATTATACCTTGATAGTTGCAACAAGTCCCAACCTGAAACAACAATTTGAAGCTCTTAGCATCAATGACTACAAAAATATACAACCTAGATGAAACTAACAAACTGAATACCCATTAAAGTTGATTCATTTTAGTTACCATAGCACTATAATGAACAAGAACCATCAAGCCTCTAAATTACAGAACCCACGTTGAGCTCCAAAAACATGAGTGTAGTTTGTAACTCACTGTAGCCTCTAAAAACCACAATGATCAACAATTCTATAATAACATAATAATTTATCAAACCACCACCACAAAAACTTATAACCAGCAAAATGTGCAAGCACAAATCATTAGCAAACAATAGGAGGTCACCCAGAAAAGGATCCCACTACATTCAAAGGCTAAAAAATTATGGCACTAGACCACAAGGCAGCTAAACTAACACACCACTTTCAGCTCGTTAACAACTCTTTCTTTCTGTCATTCCTAATATCGAATTCAGCAATTCGAAACACGTTCCAATATCCACAAAATTCCTATCCAGAGATGCCAACACCAGCCTAACCGATAGATCTAAACCTTCAACGGAAACCACATACATCCAGGGGGAATTCAATCCAATCCAACCCACAAAACCTCATCATCACGAAAGGAATGCCACTAACAATACCTATCGGACATGGTGGCAATAGTTTTGAACGCCATAATCAGCCCCCGATCAGGATTAGACCCCCTATTCTGCCAACGGCCCAAGGACGACGAGAGAAAATCCCCGGACGCCCCGTTCGGCTTGGCGATTACGGTGGACAGCCCGCCGTCGGCCAGGAGCGGGTTCGTCGGACCGCCGACACGGACGGGATCGTTGTCCCCGGACTCATTGGCGAAGGTCCTCCACTCGGACGTCTCGTCGATGGAATGCGACTCCAGGACGAGCCCGCACTCCGAGCAGACCGTGTCCCCCGCCGAGTGATCGAAGACCACCTCCGTCTGCCGCTTGCAGTCCGAACAGTAAGCGTCCGACATCCCGCCGAATTTGAAAGACGAGAAGCTGGTGACGGAAATTCGCAGGAGAGAACAGCAGTCGAAAGAAGAAGAAGAAGAAGAAGCAGATTCACAATTACTCCTCTCGCTAATCCGAATCAGAATGAAATTCCCGTTTTCCCAAGAGATCTTAATTAGGGTTAGTAACGTTCGTTGAGCTTCTTCAGTTGTTCCTTCCGTTCTTCTCTGCGTTTCGAAACGGATGGCGAAGTTAGGGAGGGAAGAGAAGCGCTGTTTAGAGGCTAGGAAGGTTATATATAGGCAAAAGATCGCGGGGGCGGTGAATCGGTGATGAGTCGATGAGAAGATCTGGACCGTTCGATTAGGAAAGGGAAATCGGACGGTGAGAGATTGTAGCGCGAGAATGAAGGAAAGGTTTTAGACTGACAAGTGCGGCGTTGGTGGTGGTTAGTTGGATTGTTAGGGAAGTCATCCCTAATGTTTTGGGGTATTTGTGGTTTCATTAGAAAGGATTCATATTTTATTTTCCCACAGAGAAAGGGTATATGAAAAAAATGTTTAACAAGAAAATTCTTGAAATAACTTTTTTTAAAATAATACGGCTTGGTTTATATTCATTGCATATAATTTATGACGTGAAAATAATTACTGTAAATATATGGGTTATAGGTATAATATGCCCCTCTACTATGACGCTTTATCAAACATGCCCCTCTACTATTTTTTACATCAAACATGCCCCTGTATTTTGTAAAAATGATCAAACATGCCCTTTTGTTAAAATTTTCATCCAAAAACCGTTAACCAAGGCCGAACTTTAGTTTGGACGACACAAATGACTAAAATATCCCTAATAAATTCACTTTAGAATTTTTTTTGTTCTTTTGTATAATCAAATAATTTCACTTTGAAAGGACCCAGTGAAATAAAACAGGGGACAAAACTGACATTTTTCCTCCCATTTGCCGATGTCGGGTTATCTAAATCTCGGTTCAACCACGATTGATGATTTTTCAATGAAAATTTTAACAGAAGGTCATGTTTGATAATTTTTTCTAAGTATAGGGGCATATTTGATGTAAAAAATAGTAAAGGGGCATGTTTGATAAAACGTCATAGTAGAGGGGCATATTATACCTATAACCCTAAATATATAGTTGAGATGAAATTCCTTATCATTGGCCTTTTTTTATCTAACTTCCGCTTGTTTGGTTCTAGGCCAGTGCGGATTAATAATCTAATTTTGAACGAGGCTACAATGACGAGAAGAAATTCCTTTCATGCATGCAATGAAGTCTATTGTCGTTGGATGAAATTGGGTCTCTCAAAGTCCCTTTATCGTTTTACGATACAGAAATGTCTCTCCCCTTATTACGTTGTAGCTTGATGTTGTTTGTATACCAGAAAGCAAAGCACAATGTCAGATTCAGCATTTATTGTTGTTAGGAAATCAACTAAAAATGCATCAAAAGTTCGGCCTTATAGAATTGAGCCTCGAATTTAATTTACGAGTTACCCACACCTAAATCCACCTAAGGGAAGTCATCCCAATTAAAACTTGTAGCATAAGTAATTAGCTCTAGGTCCACTTTTATGTACTTAGCCCACACCTGTGGCCATCCCCATTGTTTGGCTATCATCGTTAACATTCTTTCTATTTCTTTTAGTACACAGCGGCTCGTAATAGCAGAATTCTCTGTTCAAATTATCGAGCGATTTTGTGAATTATAGCAAAAGCATTGTTTTCGACTTCTGTTGAGAGGTCTCCCCTTTTGCACATGATCACCCATGAAAAGCAAGATCATCATCACCACCAATGCACATGACTTCCCATGTTATGGATGATACCACAGTCCGATACAACTCTTTTGAACCTCTAGTAATGGCATGGCTCAAACGTGCCAACTTGAACTTCCGAGAAAGGAAAAGCCTAAACACAGGGGAGAGGCAGAGCTCGATCAATCCTTTTTTTTTTAGTTTGCTCCTCTCTCTGCCTAATGGCTTCGTTGAGTTGTTCGTTTCACTGATTTCGTTATCTTATTAAACTCGACTCGAATCAGTAACAACTAACCAGCTCCCCCCGTCAAAACGAAATTGACCCATCAATCTGAATGAAATCGAGACCCTTTTTTGAATTCACGAAGTCAGGTTTCGTAGAGAAGAGAAAAAGCACTTTCCATAATCCAAGGCTTTTCCTTTTTTCTTCTTTGGCTTGCTTGCGAATCCCCCCAACCCAACACCGCCCCTTTCTTCTTCTCCTTCTCCTTCTTCTTAGTCAGATGGGTGATCAAGGCGATAAGAAAAGCAAGAAGCTTGGTTACTGGAAGGCAGCCATGGGATTGCAGCAGCAGCACCATCTTCTTCGTCCCAAGAAAGACGAACAGAGCCATTTCCAGAAGAAGCAGAAGTTTTTATTAGATGGTCATGAGGATGAGTTCGTGGTCCCGAAATCGAAGAGAATCACACCGAGACCAAGCGCCAAGCTTCTCTCTTTGATATTCCTCTCTTTCCTCTGCTGCTTCATCATCCTTTCCCCTTACTGCTTCCCCGCCGTAGGTAATTCCCCTGTTTTTTTGTTTTCCGTTCCTCTGTTTTTTTTCTTGTTCTTATTGCTCTGCTCTGTTTTCCTGACTATTGGGTACAATTTCAATTCTCGCCTCAGATTCATCCAGTTCTTTGGCGGGAATTGAGTTTGATCCTCCAGTATCTTCTCCTCCTCCCGAAGGTAGAATTGGGTTGGCTTTGTTCTTCTCCTGTTATTTTTCCCGCGCTTTTATGTTCATCTTCGTTATTTTCTTTCTAATTTCTTTCTAATTTCTTTCTTCTTTTTGTTGTAGATTCAGTCGATTATATCACCGGCAATACTGACGCAGATGCTCCGTTATCGTCTTCCACGTTGAATTGTATAATTACCTCCCTTTTGTTTGTTGATTCTCATGACTCGTCCTAGTCTTGTGGAATTAGTCAATTATACATCGATAATTCAATTATCTATGATTTTGTGTCAATAGTGAACTCAAAGTGCTTTAAATTTTTGTGTTTTTCTATCATCTTTGGGTTAACCTCTTTTGTGTTTTTGTAGACTCGTTCGATTCTTATCCCACGGTCGACATGAACTCGAGTGCTTCTTTGTCTTCTTCCGCTCTTAATGGTATGCTCGCCTTTTATATATGCTCGATAAGAATGTGAGTAAAGTGAATGATTCAAATGTTCAATTTTATATTGTATTCCTTCCAAAAATTTGTGTTGCTCTTTTTGGTTTTGCAGACTCATCTGATTCTCTACTTGATAAGAATTCGAGTGCTCCTCTGCCTTCTTCCGCCTCCACCAGTATGACTATTATCATTTTTTTTTCGAAACATATTTTATTTAAATTGTAAATTTAATTTCACTATACCTTTTGAGTTATGCTTTTTTTTTTGTTGCTTTTAGCACATTCAAAGTTCCTTTCCGATAAGAATTCAAGTGCTCCTCTGCCTTTCTCCACTCAAAATGGTATGATTTTTATCTCTTCCCCTTATTTTTCTTTTCATATCTAAGTTAAATGTCCGATTTAAGTTCTCAATTCTGATTACCTTCTCACTTCAGTAAGTTATTCATCATGATTTGCTTTTAGCATTGTCATTTGAGTCACTTAACGATACGAATTCGAGTGCTCCTCTACCTTTTCCCGCTCGTAATGGTAAGATTATCTCTCTCTTCTTACTCTATGTAATCATCCTAATGCTCTTTAGTCTCTCATAAGTGGATCACATAAGACATAAACCCATGCTCACAAAAAAGAGAAATAAACTCTTGCTCTTTTCCCTTTGCTAGAAACCATATGGTGTGACAGAAGCGGATTCCGTTCAGACATCTGTTTCATGAGAGGAGACATCAGAACTCAATCCACCACATCCTCCCTCATATTATACACCTCATCCAACACAACAACAACGGCCACCGTCGCCGCCGGCGGCGGCGGCGACAAAGAACCAAACACAACCCAACACGAGAAAATCAGACCCTACACTCGAAAATGGGAGACGAGCGTGATGAACACCATCGACGAGCTCCACCTCATCATCTCCACACCAAAGGAAAACCACCAACCACTCCTCCGTTGTGACGTCACCTACGACGTCCCGGCCGTGTTCTTCTCCACCGGAGGGTACACCGGCAACGTCTACCACGAGTTCAACGACGGGCTCATCCCTCTCTACATCACGTCCCACCACTTCAACAAGCGGGTCGTCTTCTTCATCCTCGAGTACCACACCTGGTGGATCTCCAAGTACGCCGACATCCTCTCCGAGATGTCCGATTACCCGGCCGTCGATTTCTCCGGCGACAACAGGACCCATTATTGCTTCCCCGAGGCCATCGTCGGGCTCAGAATCCACGACGAGCTCACCATCGAGCCAGCCCTCTTACAGGGGACCAAGGAAAGTTGCCTAATCTCTTGCGTTAATAATTCTAATACTAATACGAAAATTAGTTAACTTCTACCTGTCCAGAGGTAAAGAGGTGGCAATTTTACATCCAATCCATCCCGCTAAAATATTCAATTAATCCAATCCATTTGATTCAAATTCAATTCGATTGAATGGATGATTGAAAAAATTATAGTTCGGTACCTATGTTTGTTATAATTCACATTTCCATCCCTAAATTTTAATATTTTAAGACATTGAAAATTTACGTTTTGTTACCTAAAATTTGTTATTAACTTTTTTTTAAATTTACATATTGGTCCAATATCTAGATCTCATTTGGGGTCCATGATCCAATCTACCAATCTATTCGATCTAATCCACCAATCCAATCCAGCCGACCAATTCGTAAATCCAATTCATTTGCCACCTCTCTGAATTCCCTATCACTACGCTGCGTGCAGGAAGCCAACAAGACCATCTTAGACTTCCGCAACCTCCTCGATCGAGCCTACTGGCCTCGAATCAGATGGCTAATCCACGAAGAAGGACAACGATCCCAATCGCCGCACCACCGCCGACACCAACCCGACGCCAACAAACCGAAACTGGTCATCGTGTCGCGAACCGGTTCGCGAGCCATAACCAACGAGCCGTCCCTGGTCCACCTGGCCGAAACGATCGGGTTTCGGGTCGAGGTCCTCCGGCCCGACAGCCGGACCGAGCTGGCCAAGATCTACAGGTCGCTGAACTCGAGCGATGCTATGATCGGGGTCCATGGCGCGGCCATGACCCACTTCCTGTTCATGAGGCCGGGCTGCGTCTTCATCCAGGTGATTCCCTTGGGGACGGAGTGGGCGTCGGAGAGCTACTACGGGACGCCGGCGAGGAAGATGGGGCTGAAGTACATCGGGTACAGGATTTTCCCGCGGGAGAGCTCGTTGTTCGACAAGTACGAGGAAGACGATCCTGTGCTTCGAGACCCAGAGAGCGTGTCGGCGAAAGGGTGGCAGTACACGAAGTCGATCTATCTGGATGGCCAGAACGTTGTGCTGGATCTTAAGAGGTTCGAGAAGAGGTTGATGGTTGCTTATAACTATTGTTTTGGGATTGTGACGAGGCGGCAGAAGGATATGGCGGTTGTGGGAGGGAAGAAGAAGAAGAAGAGGAAGCATCAAGAGGAAGAGAAAGTTCAGAATTGATACGTGTACTCTTGAATCTATCAAATATATGCTAGAGAGCACAAGGATCTTACGTGATTTTCATGAGATTATGAGTACTAGTCAACGGGAGAGATAGAATTCTCCAAATGCAAACTCTTTTTCTCGTTAAATTGTTTTGGGTACAGTTTATATATATAGAGAGAGAGGTTTGTTAGGACAAACCCTAGATTCAAAAGCCAGCTGGCATATTACAAACATGTACTTATATTTCAACAGAATCTCCATTCCGGAGGCTTTCATTTTTGGCAACATTAGAAATAAGCATGCCGATTAAGTTTCTAAAGTTGCAAAATTTTATCTAATTATTATCTTAGCCAACATCTTAATACGAGCTTTTCATTGGTCACAATCATATTAGACGCCGGATATATGCGTTAAGAAACGATTTAAAATGATTATGATAAGTAGATGATAGAACAAATTTTTAATTCGACACTAATAATGTTCTGAACGGTTAATTTATGAAAGTAAATTATCGTTTATTAGTGGGATATTATATATTTTTTGCTTAATAATAATAAAGTGAAGGAATTCATAAAAAAATCGTAAAAGGAGATTATTTACTTCTCGGACACAAAAAGAAAAAAAACCCAACTAGAAAAGGAAAAAACAGAGTCCGTACTATAAAACAGGGGACCTAGCGAAACAGAGCTGCATTCCAGCTTCACATACTTTCCACCATGGCTAAACCCAAGAAGGCCGGCGACGTAATAGGTATCGACCTAGGTACGACATTCTCCTGCGTCGCCGTCGCTCGCGACGGCAAGATCGAAATCATAGCCAACGACCAAGGCAACAGAATCACCCCTTCCGTCGTCGCCTTCACTACGTCCCCTGACTCCGAGCGCCTGATCGGCGAAGGCGCCAAGAATCAGGCTGCTCTCAACCCGCGCCGCACCATCTTCGACGCCAAGCGCCTCATCGGGAAAAAATTCGACGACCCGGAGGTCCAGAGCGACCTCAAGTACCTGCCGTATCCGGTGGTGAAAAACAGAGACGGGAAGCCCTGCGTCGAAATCGAAGGAAACAGAACCAATTCTTTCACCCCTGAAGAGATCAGCGCTATGGTGCTCGGGAAGATGAAGGAAACCGCCGAGTCGTACCTCGGGAACCCAGTCAGCGGCGCGGTGGTGACGGTCCCGGCTTACTTCAACGACGCGCAGAGGAAAGCCACAAAAGACGCCGGCACCATCGCCGGCCTCAACGTGCTGCGCATCATCAACGAGCCCAACGCCGCCGCACTGGCATACGGCCTGAACAACAGAGCCAGGTTCAGGAAGAAGAAGAGGTATTGGCTAAGATTAACTACTCGTACTAATTTCACTCTCGTCGTAGGAAATTTGGAATGGAGTAAAAAGTTTTTTCATGAGGGGCGGACCCAAATTGGTGAAAAGGGTTTGTCAACCTTAGATCCTAATTTGGGACACGAGGTTTTTGTAAAATTATGTTTGAGTGATGATAGTATTCCAAACACTAGACTATTTTGACTACCCTGAATGATTTTGATCTATTGTTGAATATTCTTGACCGCAAATGTTTTTTCTCTCATCTCGCTATTATTATATTGTGTTAGATAGTAACGTTGTGATATTCGCTCGTAAACAGGAACGTTTTGGTGTACGACCTTGGAGGGGGAACGTTCGATGTGAGCGTGATGCAGATCGAGGACGGTGTGTTCGAGGTGCTGGCGACCGGCGGGGACACCCATCTGGGCGGGGGAGATTTCGACCAGAGGGTGATGGAGTATTTCATCAAATTAATCAAGCGGAAGCACGACAAGGATGTGGGCGGGAACCACAAGGCGCTAGGGAAGCTGCGGAAGGCGTGCGAGAGGGCCAAGAGGGCGCTGAGCAGCCAGACCCAGGTGGTGGTGGAGATCGATTCGTTCGTGGAAGGTATGGAGCTCTCCGAGCCGCTGACCAGGGCGAGGTTCGAGGATTTGAACCTGGATCTGTTCAACGGGACGATGGAGGTGGTCAGGGCGACAGTAGCAGACGCGAAGCTCAAGACGAGCGACATTGCGGAGGTCGTGCTGGTGGGCGGGAGCACGAGGATCCCCAGGCTGAGGGAGATGCTAAAGGAGATGTTCCACGGGAAGGAACCCAACAAAGGGGTGAACCCCGACGAAGCCGTGGCCTACGGTGCTGCCGTCCTGGGAGCCAAGCTCAGCGGCCAGACGGTTTCTCGACATGGTATCGTTGCCTTTCTTCGTCTTATTCGTCTCCAAATTCTCGGATTCCGGGATTGCATGAAGTCTTCCAATGATTAACAAAGAGAAAAAAACATCTCTCTATTTGCTTCTATATATACTCAAGTATTTCCAAATGTCAACGACTAAAATTTAGAAATTAATGATCAGAATCTCTCGTTTTACGATATGATATAATTCCGAACACTTAAAAAAACAAAGGTGTACACCCCCTGAACGCACCCTCTAAGAGAAACCTGCCTGACGACGTGCAGGTTTCACTTTATTCGATGTCGCTCCCTTGAGTTTGGAGTCCGGATCTGGTGACTAAGGGGGGGTGCTTAGTCACATGGCTAAGCTCCCCTCAGCCCTTAGATTAGAATGGGTAGATCTAATGGTCCAGATGAAGGAAGAGTTAATAATTAATCAGAGGGGTAGTTTTGGCATTTAAAAAAAATAATTAAATCCTGTTTTCCATTTTATTTATTTTTTCCTTTTTCCCCTCTCCAATTCTCTCTTCCTTTCCCGACGATTTCTTCCCGACGAAGCCCGGACCTCAACAACCGCCGGAGGCAGCTCCCCCCATCCTCCTCCGCCTCGCCGAAATGGTGGTCGCCGCTCTTCGGCTGGTCCTCCGAGCCGGAATACGTCGGGACGACGCCAGCGAGCCAGCCGGCGGCCGATCAGGACGAGAATCGGCCGGATCTGGATGCGAAGCAGGCCAGATCTCGATTCTCCCCGGGCTGCTTCACCGCCGAGACTCCGCCATCGCCTCCCGCCTCGCCTCCGACTTCAACAGCAAGAACAGCAACAGCTCCTCCTAGCATCCGCCTCGCTTCGCTGTTCGATTTCCCCTCTCACGCTTTGTCCCTCTCGTGTAATGTAATCTCGATCGTGTTTTTTTCGAGTTTGCGCTGTGTAATTGGCCGTCTCCGTCGGCGGCAAAGTCAGTCCGTCTCCGTCGGCGGCAGCGGTGGAGAGAGAGTCGTCTGAAGGAAGAACAATGATTTGTATAGTTTGTATGTTTTGTAACATTAGTTTGTATTGTTAGTATTTTTGTACAAAATGTCAGTATGGTTTGTATGTTTTTCTTTGACAGTTTGTACTCTTAGTATGTTTTTCTTTGACAGTTTGTACTCTTAGTATGTTTTTCTTTGACAGTATGGTTTGTATGTTTTTCTTTGACAGTTTGTACTCTTAGTATGTTTTTCTTTGACAGTTTGTATTCTTAGTATGTTTTGCTTGTATTCTTAGTATGTTTCGCTTTGTATTGTAAGTACTAATAATTTGTATACTTTATATGTATTGATTTGTGATGCAAAAAACATTACAAACATGGTTGACAAAAATGACAAACATGTGGACACAAATAACAAAGATTACAAACAATACAAAAGAAACCAACAAACATTACAAACATTACAAAAAAACAAACATTACAAACATTGCAAACAAACATTACAAACATTACAAACAAACATTACAAACAGTACAAAGCATACTACACGTACAGAATATCACTACTAACAATACAGATTGGTAAACTTGTATTACAAACAAATGAATACAAAGTATACAAATCATAACATAAAAGTATACAAACATTGCAAACAAACATTACAAACATTACAAACAAACAAATGAATACAAAGTATACAAATCATAACATAAAAGTATACAAACATTACAAAATAACAAACATGACAAACAAACATTACAATGTATACAAAATAGTAATATAAACATTACAAACATCACGAACTCAATACTGTTGCCGGAAAATCATCCACCACCGTCTCTGGTCGCCGGAAAACTGCTCCGCCGTCGCCGGAAAAGTTGACTCTCTCTCTCTCTCTCTCTCTCTCTCTCTCTCTCTCTCTCTCTCTCGCAGGTTGGGGAATTAATGGCGCCCCTCTCTCTGTGGACTGTGGTGGGAAATAATGGCGCCCAGACCAAGTTGCCGGCGGCGCAATTATTGGAACGGAGATGGGAGGCGACGGGAAGAGACGGACGGCTGGGTTAGTTTTTTTTATTTCTTTTATAATTAAAAATTAAAAATAACTATGCAATTACTACATTGCCCTTCATTAAATTGAATTAATAAGAGCCCTTAGATTTTAATGAGGTGCAATGGTGGAGATTTACTTAGCCATGTGACTAAGGGGGGTCCCCTTAGTCACCAGATCTTAGCCCTTGAGTTTGGGAGTTAAGCTCTTGGGAGGTAAGATGCGTGTGATGATCCCAAGAAATACGGCTATTCCAGCAAAAATTTCCCGGGAATTTTCGACTTCAGCAGACCAGTGCGGCTATTCAGGTTGGTTGATTATTCATTAATTGATTAATGTAAGCTAGATTTTCAAACTGGTACACTTCCCAGTGAAATTGGTTTTTTGGGTTTTTTCAGATATATCAAGGTGAAAGACCCCTGACAGAGGATTGTATCGAGCTTGGAAGCTTTGTTCTTTCCGGCATCACCCCTGCTCCAAGGTAAAACGTACTTTAAGGTCTCCCTCTTCTCGTATTTCTCGGTTCTGTATGCTGACGGAGAAGAGGGATTTGATCGAATTTCCAGTGGAGTATCAAGATTGGAGATCACCATGGAGATTGACGAGGATGGAATACTGAAGGTGACGGCCAGGGAGAAGATCTCGTCGGCGAAATCGGAATCCCTCACCGTCACCGGATACAGGGGAGGCCTGACGAAAACAGAGATCGAGCGAATGATCGGAGAGGCGAAGGAGATGGCGGAGGATGACAAGGCAGCCAAGGCGCGCGTGGATGCCTGGAATCGGTTGGAGCGTTACATCTATGACGTCAAGAACGCCGTCCGCCGTGGTGGCGGCGGCGGTGGCGGTGATCAGGTGAAAATGGTGGAGGAAGCTTCACGGTGGATGGAGGATAACCATGGCGCGACCAGAGAAGAGTACGAGAAGAAGGTGAAGGAGTTGAAGGATGTTTGGGATCCTGTTCTAGCCAAACTTAAGAAATAATGCTGCTGCTGGTGGGAATTAGTTCTTTGATTTTTGATTCCATCCTTTGTTTTGGTTTGGAGAGTGACGAACAGAGCCTTTGATTTGTGTGGGAACAACTTTTGTGGTGGTTTTCTTTTGTTTTAAATTGTAAACGAATTTTGGTTGTTGAACTATTTAGGAGCGTGGATTTTATGTACCCATTAAAATTAGTTAAGGTTACACATATTTGAGTTAATTAGAGGAAGAAACCCACAATGGATCTCAAAATGGAATGGTATGGATTGCTGACTCGTAAGAGGTTAGTACCATGCTAATTATATTATCGGTCGTTAAATAAAAATCGAGTAATTCTAGGATGATAATTAATTAAGGTTAGTTTTTGTCAATAAGTACCTAACTCCCTAAACCCTATATATCCATTAGATTAAATATGAGAATGAATGGTTAAAATAAGGGAGGATTAGCACCCTATTTTCTCCCATCTCAAAATTAGAAGTAAATCATATTCAATCTATTACAAACAAATTAACAAAACTTTCAGAATGACACTCACCTCACAAACCAGCAGTGCTTAGGCGATGATCTTGATCAATGAGCACCATGTACCCTCTATGCTCATTTCTGAGAGTCTGAATAATCCGAACCTAGTTCACTGCAACTCCATGTGGCAGTCATAACTCGTTCTTTATCATGCTTTTTGTTAGGGAAATCAGCTCTAAGATAGCCTGGTGTTTGACCCGGATTAGTGCCGGGTGATTAGTGTGGAACCTTAATCCGGACTCCTTCGTCTGATCTCATCGGGAGCGGAAGAATCCTGTGGAGAGTCGAGGGCGGCCCCCGTGATCTACAATCCGACGCTCAAGTCAGTAAGAATAGATGATAGTGTAGAGAGAAATGTAGAGAGTGATAGGATTTAGAAAGAGAACCATAAGTGATAAAGTGTAAAAAGGGTCTGACCTCCTTATATAGAAGTCGGAGGCATCCAGTGGACGCCTCCCGTTGTAATGAACGCCTCCAATAGACTGGATGCCTCCTATAATAACGAGTTGTTGATGCCTTATTGCACCACATTTCTCTAAGCTTTTACGGGGCAATGAAAATCTTGTTCATATGTTTTAAGTCAAGTGACCATTATATTACAAACTACATACTTTAGTGACCATTTAGCAAATTAAGCCATTAGGGGGAAAACCCAAACGATTGCACTATTTAAATCAGATCCCACAAAATTTCCTCTTGAATCTCTGATTCATTACCTTCCTGCTCCATTTCAATCCCTATCCCACACAGTTTCCCAATTTCGCTTTCCTCCTATCCCGAACCTCGCCGGACAACCGACCGACCTCCAATTCCGATCGACATGAGAGACACGATGATCTACGTCTCCACCGCCAAGCTCGCCGTCATCGACGAGGCGGAAAAACCGAGCCTCTCGCCGATCCCTGCCGCCGCCGCTGCTGCTGATACTGCTTTCTCCACTCCGGAGGCTAAAGAGCACCGGATCCCGAAGCCGATCACCTGTCCTCCAGCGCCGCTCAGAGCTCCGTCGAAGCGCAAGCTCTCCCGATCCGCAATTCTCAAGGCGACCAAAAAGTTCCGGGCGGCGAGAGAGTTCTTCCTTTCGCCGGTGATCGAAGCCGCGCTCGTCGACCACCTCTTCGCCGCCGAGTCCGCCCGCCGCACTCCCAAGCGCGATCTCCGCACTCCGAAGTACTTCCGTTAGCGAGCGGCGCCGTCGGTTTTCTTGTAATTAGGGATTTCGCTTGTGTGAATTGTTTCGAATTAGGGATTTTCTGTAGCCAGCGTTTGTCTCGATTTGGGTAATTAGGGCTTTCGTTATCAACAAAGCATCGATTGTAATTTTGGGGAAGAAAAATGTAAAGGATGGCAGACTGACAATACGGCATCGTCTGTAGACATTGGGCCAAAGCCCGTTTGTTAATAACAGAAAGTTAAAAGCCCATTTCCCGGCCCCGGTTGAAGACGCAAGAATGGCGGTAATGGACTTCCCGCCATTAAAAGCCGGGAAACTCAGTCCCCCCATTTCGCCCTAAGTTTCTGCAAAGCTCTGTTTCTGTTTTCTCGTTTCATGAAAATGCTGATGAAGAGCGGCGGGAGCTTCGGCGGCTTACAGTAGCTGGCGGAGGCGGCGGTGGCCGTCAGCGGTTGCGAGGAACTCCACGGTGGCTGCTGCGGTCACTCCGATCCCGCTTCTTGTTTCTTCACCTCCAAGAAACGTAAGCTCTCTTTTGCCCTGACCCACCATTCCCTTCTCGCTCAAAACCCTACAAACAAATCGCCGTCGATCAAGCTCAAACAGCTCGCCGCCAAAGTCTCTGCTTTTCCTCCTGCGCTAGAGGTAGCCCCCATTTCGTTCGTACTCACACCGCCGCGGCGGCGCCGCCTCCACCTCCGGCACCCCCAATTCCTCCTCCTCACTCCTCCGTTTCCGCCAATTATCCTCATTCCAAAGTAAAGCTCGCTCCTTTGGTACCTAATTCACGGCGAGAGGAGTTCCCCTCGAGGTTTAGGGCTAGGGTTTCGTCCACAGTTGGAGAAAGTTCAGTTGCCTTGGGGAGCAAGTTTTCTCTGGCGATTCGGAAGACACTGACGGACACAGATCTCAAGACCCAACAGTGCCGCCTGTCCATCCCGGGGAAGTCAGATGGCGAACGAGTTCCTGACCAGCCAAGAAGAGGCGAAGTTGGGGAAGAAGGGAACGAGGATCAAATTTGGGGGTTTTCTTGGACCCAGATTTCGAAATCACTTCTGAAGTTTACCTGTCAAAATGGCCTATGGGTAACAATAAGATCTACGCTCTAACCGGGGGATGGAAATCGGTACTGAAGAAGAAATAGCAGGGACGGTTGGATCTGACGAAAGGGGATGAGATTGAGGTTTGGAGCTCTGTTTAGCCCTGGTTATGGCCGACTCGAGAAGGAGAGCTGCTGAGAAGGAAGTTGTGGGGAATGCCGATGATGAGCTTGAGTCCTCCGACGGCCGCAGCAGCTGCTGCAAAGGGATGGTTGAGTATGAAAGTCCAATTAAGGGCAACAGCAGCAGTGATGGTAGTAGCAGTGCTGTGACTCATGAAGAAAACCATGCTCAGTTGATTGGGGCTAGTAGCAGCAGCAGAAGCTCCTGCCCTATTCTTGATTTAAGACTCAGAATCAGATTGTAGATCTTGTTGGATACATTAACGAGTAGCGTCGGAAGATTGCTAATTGTATATATATTGCGCATCTAATGACGAAGGAAGGAATGACATTTTGCTTGTGTATCAAGGAAGCTTTTGTTCGATTACATGGTTAGTACTTAGTACCAAGTATGTTGTCTGAACTAGTAAAAGTGTTGCTTTAAGTTTTTAGTTCTGTTGGAAATAGGAACTTAGACAGCTGGGCTGTTAAAACAGCTAGGTAACTGGAAAATCTGGAAAAGTATCTACATTTCATAGTGCTAAACTTTCCACAGCATGGTTGTTTCACTTTGATCTTTGGTATGGCATGCCAACGAACAACATTTAATTAAAAAAAAATGATTTCGTTAAGCAGCTAATCTTCATCCATGGCCGAATCTGAGCTCGAATCTTCATATTCAAACTGCGCATCGTCCTTCTCCTGATCCTCGCCAAACTCTGACTTCCCCATAGGAGGATGGTAGAAACTCTTCTTTCGTATATGGCTCGGACAGTACAGACAACCTCTGTTTATATCTGCGCATTCGATCACCCTCATTAACTATCTATCTATCTTTCTATAATCAAAGCTAAGTGTAATATGATGGATGATACATATCTGATAACTACTTACCACTGCTACGCTTATCCATGGTGAGACAGGTAAGAATCTTGGATGGCTGCCGGTAGAATCGGACCGTCTCAGAGAAGAAGAGCTCACTGGGAGGGTTGTTCTGCCCACTCGGGTCGACGATGTTCTTGGCTTTGAAGTTGGCGTGGATGATAAGTTGGCCGGGAAATAGACTACACCAGCTGTGCAAGGGATTCCGGAGCACGTAGTTTGTACCCTAAGAAGTAAGAACCAAGCGAACAAAAATTGGCAATGAACTAACTAACCATTCAATTTCAATGGCATACAACAAGTGAGGAGGAACACTACTGCAAACCGATCGACCAACCTCCTTCGAATTGTAGTATTCGAGAGCTTCGTTCGCAACAATGGCAGTATCCCATCTCATCCGCTCAAAAACTTCAGGGGGATCTTCTTTATCATCAAAACTGTACCGTGTAAAATCCCCAACACCATAATCAACGAAATCATATCATTCAATAGAGCAGCAGCAGGTGAACCTAACTCTGAATAATCAAGTCGAACACCAATACTAAAGGCAGAATTTCACGATCGGAAACTGGAACTCCATATATATATATATATATATAATATATACAATTTGGTCATGAAAGAAAACCCTAACTTAATTCAGATGCGATAGAGACAGAGAAACAAAATTAGGGAAAAACTGATTAAAAACGCACTCGTCAATGTATCGTCCGACTTCTGGATACTTGTGCGGCGCTTTCAAAAACCGACGACGACGAGACGGTGGCGGGGCCGGCGGATCTCCCGCACCCGCCTCCTCGATTTCAGGTGCTTTCGGATCCGGTAGGTTCTCGTCGGCAGGTACCAACGGCGCCGGATTAAACGACGACGATGATGATGGCGCCGGCTCTCCAGCGCCGATCTGAGGAGGTCCTTCTCCCGTCTTTTCCCGTTTGGGTGAATCAGGTACGGCCATCATTCGCTTCTCCATCTCCGGTACCTTTTCTCTCTTCTTTCTCCTACACAGAGTAAACGACCGGCGTGGCACTTTGCTTCTTCCCCTCTATATATTCCCGCCTCCCCTCCGGCTATGGGCTTGGGCCGGGCCTTTTCCTTTCCGGAAAAAGAAAGAAATATCTGAACCAAGCCCACCCGTTAGCCCATTGACAGCCCACCCACCCACCCAGCCCATGAAGGAGGAAACGTGAAGGAAAGCGACGGTGCTTCTTTGCTTTAACACGCTAACTTGGTTTGGATTTGAACAGAAACAGAACCCCGAAAAGAAGGAAAGCGATGGATCCGGTGGGGAAAAAGTCCAAAAATTCTTTTCCGTCGTTCAACGCCGCTTTCCTTGGTTCGTTCCTTGGTCCTCGTCCCTCGTTTTTTTCTTTTTTTTTCTTCTTACTTTTCGTCGTTGTTTGGCAGCGGCCAGCTCAGCAGCCAGAGGCACTTGATTCGAGGACCAGGTTGCTGAGCTGTAAACTAGCTGTTGGCTTTTGCGACCAAAACGCAAACGCCACCGCACTTGCCAGGCAAGCCTCTCCGGCCCCATCCTCGCCGCCGCCGTCACCACCAAATAATATCGCAATATCTATCTGAATTCTGAAGCAATAGAATAATTAACTAACAACATCGAAGTATTATTTATTACTATTATTAATCTGGTAATTTATATAATTTATTATTATTATGAACAAAAACACCTCTCCTTTTCTATCTATCTCTACGCGGTGGTGGGTTGGGGGTGACAGCTGAGCTTCAGACTGACCCTCATCCATGGCTGACCCTCAGAACCAAACGCTACCTTCCCTATATACTGCAATAATAATAATAATAATAATAATAATAATAATAATAATATATTTCGTTGGAGAAGAAAAACCCAATCGATAAACACATGCATATGCAAAATCCCACTTGTGTCAAGGATAAAACCAAATTGGCCTAGTTATTTACATCTAAGCAATATGGGTTGACACTTGCGAAGTTGGGAATTGGCATTTTATAATAAGTTGTCACTTCCATGAAATAAAAGAGGTAACTGACTATTTCTTAAGATGTGTATATCGACCATGCATTGGTATCCATCACCAAACAGTCGTTGATTTTGATTTTGTTCTGTTCATTCATCAAAATTAAACTAGAATCATCATAATAATAGACTCAGTCACGATCGGAGATGAATTATACAGTACAAATTCGTTTTCAACGACGTTCTTAACAACCAACAAAAACAGGATATGAATCGTGAATCTCCCTATCCAAAGTCCATATCTTTACAAAAAAAATTATGATACATAGCTTCACCATTGAATCTGAGAATAAATCCCAATTTAGCTATTTTGCAATAATTGATTTTCCAATACCAAAGTCCTTGTTATCTTAGAATGATTATGGCAATAAATTATTGCTTCATGTGGAATCTATCTACATTTTTTTTTCCCCATAGAGAATCCATCTACATTTCCAAACCTGAAATTATTATTTGACAGAAGAAAATACATCATTATAAATATTGTATAGGATTTTGTACATCATTATATTTAGCATTTTTCTTTTTTTCCGTCTCCAAAGGGCGCCCTTTAAAAAGCTTTTCTCCCAAACACCAAAACCCATTTCTCTTCTCTTCCCCTGACTTTCCACCCTCTCTCTCTCTCTCTAGCCGCGTCTCTGTTTCTGCACCTTTCGGTTTCGAGGAAAGAATCAATCAACAAAGCTGGCTGTGCAAAGCAAGAAACCCAAAACCCTCTACTCCAAAGCAGCAGCCATGGGTTTGCAGCATCACCAGCACCATCGCTCCAAGAGCCAGCAGCTCCTGCTCGACGACGAAGAGATGGGTCTCGTTCTTCTAATCACAAACTCAAAGAAACCCTCAACAGCTCTAACATCAGCTCCGGCAGCTACACCATCATCCGCAGCGAAGCGCAAGCTTCTCACTCTGCTCTTCCTTTGCCTCGTCTCTTTCTTACTTATCCTCGCCCCGCACTTCTTCCCCGCCTTCTGTAAGCCCCTGTTTCCTAATCCATCCCCTGTTTTTTCCCCCCTTTCTTGATTTTTCTTATGGCTAATCATTCCTTTCTTTGTTGTTTCTTTACTGTAGATTCATTCGATTCCATGGCGGATATGCACTCAAATCTCCCCATTTGCTCTTCCGTCGCCAACGGTAATACTTCATATCCCCTGCCTTGCTCTGTTTTCCCGCATGCTCTGTTTTCTAATTGAGAGTTAGACAACTGAAAGATTTCATCTTTTTTGGGTTTTGTCAGGAACCATATGCTGCGACAGGAGCAGCATACGAACAGACGTCTGCTATATGAAAGGCGACATCAGAACTGAATCTTCCACTTCCTCAATCCGCCTCTACGCCGGCGGCGAATCTGTTCGTGATGAAAGAATCAGACCCTACACTCGCAAATGGGAACCCACCACGATGAGCACAATCGACGAGCTCCACCTCATCTCCACCTCCGACGAGAAACAGCAAAGCCACCGCTGCGACGTCACCCACGACATCCCCGCCGTGTTCTTCTCCACCGGCGGGTACACCGGCAACGTCTACCACGAGTTCAACGACGGCCTGATCCCACTGTACATCACTTCTCACCAGTACAACAAAAAGGTCGTCTTCGTTATCCTCGAGTACCACGACTGGTGGATCTCCAAATACTCCGACATCCTCTCCCACCTCTCCGACTACCCCGCCGTCGACTTCTCCGGCGACAAGAGGACGCATTGCTTCCCGGAAGCCACCGTCGGGCTCCGAATCCACGACGAGCTCACAATTTCCCCTGCCCTGATGCAGGGGAGCAACCGAACCATGGTCGATTTCCGCAACATCCTCGATCGCGCCTACCTGCCCCGAATCACCGGCCTGATCGAAGACGAACAGCGCGAATTCGAATCCGAATCGAAATCGGAATCGAAACTACCAACAATCATCCCCAATTCGCGCCGTCCCAAGCTCGTGATCGTGTCGCGAACTGGCTCTCGAGCAATCACCAACGAGGAATCCCTGGTGAAGCTGGCGGAGCGAATTGGATTCCGGGTCGAAATCCTTAGGCCCGACCCGACGACCGAGCTGGCGAAGATATACAGGGCGATGAACTCGAGCGACGTCATGATCGGGGTCCACGGCGCGGCGATGACCCATTTCTTGTTCATGAAACCGGGGTGCGTTTTCATCCAGGTGGTGCCGTTGGGGACGGATTGGGCGGCGGAGAGCTACTACGGCGGTCCGGCGAAGAGGATGGGGTTGAAGTACATCGAGTACAAGATTCTGCCCAAGGAAAGCTCTTTGTACGAGAAGTACGCGGTAGACGATCCTGTGCTTCGAGATCCGGAGAGCGTTAATCAGAGAGGGTGGGAGTACACCAAGTCGATCTATTTGGATGGTCAAAATGTGGTTTTGGATTTGAAGCGGTTTCAGAAGAGGTTGGCCCGAGCTTATGGTTCTGTTATGAGGAATCGGAGCCAGCAACGGCGGCTTCAATCGTTGTAATAGGAGGAGGATTGAATGAACTATTTGTTATTCTTTGGTGTTTGGGTAAAAAGGTTTGTTTTGTAAATGATGGGAGTTTAGGATAATAGGATATGGTGCTAGATGAAAGCAAAAGGAAAATGTTGGGTGTATAGAAGATATGTGAGAAATAATAATTGACTTATTTGTAAGTTTTCATTGATTTATACGATACAACGTGACGCTCTTTTGATTTGGTATGTGTTCGGTGATTGTTCATTAGATTTTACATCTCTCTAAGTCAATGGTTTAAGGGACAATTGTTGGGCTAGTGACACAGACTTTTATTCTTTGAGATGAATCAGTGTTCGGTGATTGTTGAGAAATAAATTAATAATTCGGGTATGGTTGTTCAGTATATCTAACTATCTGTGGCATTTAACTCGTACCATTTTCATACTTAATTAAGTGAAATTTGGGATTGGGCCAGGGTATAACGTTTCAAATAGGTACCCTGATTTCGGATAATATTGAGGTGTGAGATATTTTAATTTCAAACACTTTTTCTTTTTTCGTCAGTTCAATCAATCCATTCACGTTTGATTTGATGTTCAATCTTATTTTGTGTTCAAACCTCATCGAGCCCTCATTAAACTACATTGTGTGGTTGGTTTGTTGTTCACTCGACTTCCTACTTATTTTATGTGAAGTAGTTCAGTGTGTGTTTTATAGTTGGATTTACTATTTTGACTTTTGAAATTTGATAATTCTTAGTATTGCTTAAGCATATGAGTTCCGGTAAAAGATAAAAAGAATCATTTGTTGATATTCACAAAAACCAGCAAATGCACAATGACGAACAATTCAAGATACGTTACAACCAATGGGAGGATACAAGTGTGAAGATTGAACATACAACCAAAAGCCAGGTACGAGAAGCTCTGTTTAGCAGCAGCCAAATTGCTTAGCGCCAAGAAGTAACATTTTGCTTGCCGCCAAGAAATGCTATCTGCTTGGAGTATTAATGGCGGAAATGTGGGCAGAGTATAGTTTCACAGACAATGCCGAACGGAACAGGGGAAGGACACTAGGAAGGAAAAATATGAACGTTGTGTGAGGCAGGAAGGACGTCGAAGAGAGATAGAGCAAAAGACAATGAACAATAATGACTGCTGAAAGAGTCAGTACGCCATTAGAGAGAGAGAGAGAGAGAGAGAGAGAGAGAGATGATGGATCAGGCGAGGCCATGGCAGGCCACCATGACTTTTTCCTCTGTTTTGAAGGGTCTAGGGTTTAGCAAAGCTTTTTACACGTTTTGGGTTTTTGGGATTTTCTGTGTCTTGTAACAAAAATTTGAACTTTACTTCTTCTCTCTTTTTAACTAGTATGCCAAAGTGATTGGTTATTTGTTAAAACTCTTGTGTTGGGAAGTGCTCATATAGCATCGAACAGGCTGTTTTTGGATAACGGGGCAGAATAAAGATTCGAATTGTGTTTTGTCGCACAAATTAGTTATCATAATCGTAGCACCGGAGGGTTTTCTGTATTGACATTCACTCGAATCGTCATGTTCAAAAGAAGAAGAAAAATGTCTACCGTAATCCTCCGGTCACAATTCAGTCTGGTCAAGATACACCCTGTATCAAGTAAACGGATGCATCAAAAGACTATTTTGTGTGACGAAGATGTAAGCTTATCGTATGGAATGCAGACCCACCTAATTAAGTGAAAGACTTTATGACACATCAACATAATTAGCACTAATTACTACATTCTCATTATCATGATCTTTGTATCCTTTGTCTGGTCCACTTTTCTTCTGATGGAGTGTCAGAGTTCCCATCCTTTGATCTATAGCTCTCTCTCAGTATGGGCATTCTGCAGAATTTCTGATGTCAAGAAAAAAAAGGTTGCTCCTTTTTCCTTATTAAGGGCAAGTATTCCAAAGAAAGGAGCTTTGGGCTCACCACATGTTTGTACATATCAGCCAATGAGAAAGGAGGAATAACAATTATAGAACCCACCATCCAATCAAATATCAAAGAAAGAAAAATTATTTGTTTATCTATTTCCCCACAAAAAAATGACAGTCACAATCCCATGTGATTGGGCTTTGCTTTGCCTAATTCCCCTAATCCCCTTACTATGACAGGCTAGAATTCTCCACATGCCAACGGCTACTTTCTTCCTATCTTCTTTTCCCACCAAGAAAAATGATAGGGTTTACATTATTGGTTTGTATGATTGTACCTTATACACATTCAAGAAACCTAATGAGCAATGAGTAAACCTCTTTCTTAGATATGAGTGAAGTACTTGTATGATATGTATCATCTTTCCATATTGACGTTAAAATTGTGTGATTCGATGAAAGATCGCCCACAAGTTTAATTATATTTTAACGAGGTTTACATCGTATAAGATGATCTCATTGAACCGAAATAACTTTTAGCATTGCAACATTTAATGGAGACATTGAAATCTCTAGTTATTGAGTTAATTTTGTGTTTTCTCGTCCCCACCCCCTTGTTTATGTAATTGTCGTCCATAAAGTAATTTGTTATTCCGCTAGTACATAAAAATCATTAGACAGTAAAAAATTGCTTAATATGCAGACCCAATACTTAACAATAGGCTCTCACTAACTTCATTTATAACCAACTTATCAGAAATTTTATTTTACTATTGAACCCAGGAAAACAATTATCTTCTCCCACCAAGAAAAATGACAGGGGTTACATTATTGGTTTGTAACATTGAACCTTGGTACACATTCAAGAAACCTAATGAGTAAACCCTTTTGTTAGATTAACAAAGTACTTATATGATGATGAGTGAACTGAAATGAAAAGGCCAGCTATGTATTATAGATGATGAGTGAACCATAAAATTGGTTCAAAAAGAAATTGCTAGACCAAAAAGAGACATGAGAGATGTTGGAAAATTCACAAGCATTTCCATGAATCTCAATCTACTAAAACCAATGAGTGAGATGCCAAACGCAACATGGCATCATATCTCAAGTCCCTAAAACACAAAACCCAAAAACCAAATGAACTTGCCATCTTGGTCCCATCCCCAACTTCTCTACCTCAATATTCAATTCTACATCTGGACTTGTTATCCAATACCCACTGACACAACCCAAGAAACCCCACTTGCCAATTCTGCAGAGAGCTATTTCAGAGATAGACCTAGGATTCTCCCCCAAAAATTGATCACTACAATGTGAGCAAAACAGAAGAGCTTATTATCCCTGAAAAAACACAGCCTGTTTGCTATATTATATACACACATGGGAATGGCAGGATGATGTCATCGCTAGTCACCTTCTCTGTATCTCAGCATGTGTTCATCTTCACAGTCGGGTCAATATCCATGACTTGGCTTCGAGTCAAAGCTCCAATGAAGTTACAGAAATGTCATTCTTTCTTTTGTTAATGGTTTGCTTCTAAACCCATCTTTTGTTATGCGCTGATCCGTAGCCTGGAGGTGGTGGTGTCCTTGCATTCCTCCTAGAGTCGTCTGAAACAAGCAAACAAAAACAAATGCAAAAAGAAAGTCAGAGGCTTTTAACATGGGTTTTGGAAAGAGATTAACTTGACCAAGTTTAAAAGTAGTCTGCTTTGCATTTTTTTTCACCTGAGTCAACTGATTTCCCACCGAGTGAATTCCTGCGAGACGACTTGTGAACTCCAGTTAGTGATTGCCTCCTGGCAGTCCTTGAACTACTGCTAATTCCAATTGGTGACTTCATTTCTTCAGGGATTGGAGATGGTTCCTTCCGTTGATTCCTGTAATTTTTACAGCACAGACATTGGTTTCTCCCATGATATGAAATGCACAGACCACAGATGAGAACACCATAAAAAATCTAGTTTTACCTCTTTTCTGATCCATTAATCAGCTTCCCAATGCTCCGAAGTGACTTCCTAATCTGGGATCCTTTCCCATTAGCACTACTGCCCGTAGTAGTAGTAGTATTGGCTGAAATGGGAACTTCGCTTTGCATCACAATCTGGACCTCATTTCTAGCAAGCACTTGGTGTTCTGTTGTTGTCAATGGCAGCTGAAGATGTGGGACTTGTGTCCTACTATCAATCTTCACCGTCTGCCTTTGATACGAAGATCTGGTAGGACTCCTAGAAGGGTTGCGTTGCTGATAAATCTTCACTGTGGAACTGCTGGTAGTAGTTGTAGTAGTAGCAGAATATCCGAAAGGCTTTGACATCATAGCTTCCACATCCTGTGGCTGGTTGTTGTACTTCTGTGGTGTCATCATCGCTGGCTCAAACTTCAAAGGCTTCCTTATCGGTTCATCATTATCCCTTTTGTAATATGTTGGAGCTTCCAGGCTGAGTCTTCTTGAACGAGTAGGCAGTGCAGGTGTTTTCAAGACTTCATGTCTTGCAGTCTTCATCAGCTCCGTGTTGCTGCCATTCTCAATACTGAGTCTCCTTGTGCGTGGTGGTGTTCTATCAGGCAGTGTAGGTGTTTTGGAGACATCAGGTCTTGCAGCCTTCATTGGCTTCGTGCTGCTGCCGTTCTCAATACTGAGCCTCCTTGTGCGTGGTGGCGTTCTATCAGTCATTGGCATTGACTTCCCTAATGGAGATCTCGGGTCCTTCATCCTGCTCAACTCCTGATCTTGTGACTGTCTATTAGCCAGTGCCCTTTTAAGGTTCTCAACCTGTTCCTTGAGCTGCATAATCTCACTGCTCTCCTTGTTTGCCTTAGCAGCGCCAAGTTCTACGGTTGACACACGTTGAGCAAACTTCAAAGTGCTTACAGTCTCCAGTACAGAGTCTTCTTCTGGGCTCACATGAGCAAACATCAGTGTTTTAGCATGTCCACCTAAGGAATCTTGCAGCAGAAGTGTGAGTTTGCTGTTTCGGTAAGGAATGTGAGTATTCTTTTGTGCCAGTGCTGTGACCACGTCTCCCAGGCATGAAAGCGACTTATTGATGTACTGTGCTTCCTTGAGCCTATCCCCAGTGACTTCAGATTTGTCCACTCTTTCACTTCCTGCCAAGTCTACCAAATGCAAGCATCCCCTCAGCTTGCTTCCAGACTCGTCCTCACCGTGAACATGAACTGTCAGCACACTGCAGTTGCAAGGTAAGACCAGTTAACTTTCAGCCAAACTTCAAATCCATGTTTCATCAGGATTCTGAATTCGAATTAACCTGTGGGAACGACTGCTTCTGTTATTCATTGCAGTAGAACTGACAACACGATTCAGTTCACCAAGTTTCATCAGCCTAAGAACATCAGAAGGGGATGTCACAGGGAGCATTGTAGCATCTGGAAGAGTTAGACCATCATCCCCAGTGCAACTCCGAATTTCTAACGTGTGTTCGGTTAAGGAATAGAAAACTAAAACCAAATATATGATGCCTGCATTGCTGCACATATATGACTACTTTAAGCATGATTGTCATCTACCCAGTAATGAACAGCTTAAAAGGATATTTGGTGGATGATGAATCTTCAGAAAGAAGGTCGCGTATTTGTTCGTTGTATATCTCAACCATCTGAACTCTTATAACATAACTTATGACATCCTTCCTTCTATCAGACATATGGAAAAGATCATTGAGTGCCAGGTAATTTATCCCAAGCTCCTTGGCTGAACCACCTGACGGACCACTCTATTCACCACACAGAAGAATATAATCAGTTGGCTCGGAATGGAGATTATTGGCAAGGAAAAGGAATCATGTAAAAGGATAAATGAGAAACATTTAATCTCACCATTGTGTAGGTTTTCCCAGAGCCAGTTTGGCCATAAGCGAAAATGCATACATTGTAGCCATCCATCACAGATCTGATTAGTGGTTGGACTTGATCAAAGACATCTTCTGTAATTAAGAGTCCAGTTGCAGAAAAGCATTAGATTCCACTAGGCTTGGTCGGAGTAAAAAAAAGCGGCATATTTATGGTCTATCATATCAGTAAGCATCACCTTGTGTGGCAGTAGGACCAAAGACCTGGTTGAACTGAAAATGCCTCCTTCCATCTTTGGTGGGCTTTGATGGATCTACAATCACCAACGAACCATCCTCTCCAACAAATTCTACTGCGTTGCTTGATCCAGAAGTAAACGAAGGCCTCACTCTACAATAAACTCGAATATTTCCTGAACAATAAAGAATACGAAACAAGGTTGACGACAACCTCTTGAGCAAAGACTCAAGAAGATGACAAAGAAACCATTTTTATTTTCTGAACGCTAACCAACCTTTCAAATCCTGAACCATGTTGTACAATATTCTGTTTTCTTTCAACACTCTCTGATATCCCTGAGCTGCACTCGCCATCTCCTGAACCTGAAAGCCTGTAAAACGTACGAATCAACATACATGTCAGGAAGAAACAGAGATCTTTACATAATCAGAATACTAAGGCAGATGCGAGCAGGGTTCTTTATAGAGGAGTTTCATGCTATAAATAAAGTAGACAAGATTGGTTCTAAGTAGAATTAACATCTATACCACATTGTGTGAGGTCACTCTGCAGCTGGGATTGCAAGCCTTCGAACTCCTTTCTTGTCGTTGCCCATAATGTCTTCAGATCCTGTAGTGAAGACAAATTCTGAATTCAGGAACATTCTAAAAAAACGGAAGCTTACATGTCTGCCTTCTAATTCTCGTGAATTATATACTTGAGAGGGGCAGCTCATGATGATAATTGATAAAATTGGCAGGAAACGTTTACTTATACAGGTACATTGAAATCTCTATGCAGGTATACATTTGAAGACAGACAATTTAGATATTGACCTGGAGTTCTCTTTCCTGGATGTGCAGTAAACGCCTGTGATTGCAGTCTCCTTTACTTAGGCATGTTTGACAACACTGCAAAATATCACCTCTTAGATATGTGACTCCAGATTCTAATTGTTTAATCATCTACAGTGTCTTCAACTGAAGTTGACAAATATAATCATATATGTGACTCCAGATTCTAATTGTTTAATCATCTACAGTGTCTTCAACTGAAGTTGACAAATATAATCATATCTACAAGGATATTATTTACAGTTGATTCTACCTTACTATTTTTGTCTTCAGATATGTCCACCCCCACAGGAGTTGCTTCCAAATGGACAGGTAAGTTACTACTGTCTTTCAAGCAATCTCTGAGCACTGTTTTACCCTGCTTGAACAATGTATTTACTAGCGGTCAGAACTAGTTATATCAAGTAGAGAACAATCCTTAAGTTGCTGACGTACGGTTCATTTACCTCGGGGAACTTTTTCTGTTCGTTTTCCTTCAAACAGCTTGCCACAATCCTACCGAATAACTTCATAGGATCCTATAGCTCATGTTTCATCAGCAATTACATAATGAGTAATGACCATCAAACAGTTGCAGAGTTTCAAAATCGAGTTTACATTCCCATTTTCTGGATTGATTAAGCTTACCACATCACCAGCTTTAAAGGAGGCGAGAAAGTTTCCACCCATGTTTTCCTTTGTATCAGCCATATACTCCGCAAGTACCTTCACCAGTTCACCTATAAAAACGACACAGCAGCTACAGCTTATAATTGAAAACTGTTGAAAGCAATTTTGGTAACTTACAAATCAAGTTTTCAACTCTCAGAAAAAAAATGCTAGCTTCAAAGAGTACCTTCTAGTTTCTGAGCTTCAGCATTCCCAGATAGATGTGCTTCGGCTGATACATTCATCTCCAACCGCCGGCAAGAATCTGATGGGATCCCGTGGAGATTGCTCCTAGTCGCATTGTGACCCACCATAGGTGACCTAGATGGCTTGAAACTCCCATTCCCACCATTCGTATTCTTGTGCTCATGGTATGACTTAAGGGCCAAGACACAATCAACCACCTTAGCAACTGATCCTGCTTCCAGTGCATCCTTCAAAAACAAATTGAAAACCACAGCAACTTTGCTTTAGCCATTTGCTTCATTCAACAATTGATCAATTCAGTTTATCTTAAAAGTAAGTGAAGGAAAAGGATGAAGGTTTATCTACCCTTTCTAGATCAGAAGCTTCAAAGGCTGGGAGTTTCAATTCTTCCATAGCTACCAGGAAGTTCCTTACGTTCTCAAAGTACTGATAAGCTGGCAATGGCTGGGGTTCTCGGGTTATAAATTGGATAGGTACATGATTCTCCACAACCTGAAAACAATTCCCAAAATTTCAGCAGACCTTAGCCAACACAGTATTCCCAAAGGACTTCTGATTCAACTAATTCACAGGATAAACAAGAATGTAAGAAGGTTTTCAGCATTGGACGAACCTTAGTTATGGCTCCTGGGTGAACTTTGTTTATGGCATTGCAAAGAATCAATCCATTTCTCAAGCGAGAAATGAATTCTTTCTCCGAGGGCTTGTTCGATATACCCAATGGACCCACGACGCTTTCCAGCCACTCAGTGGCCTGGTACCGCCTCCAAACTGGAAAAGGGAAAACAAAATAAGACAAGAAACTTGAATGCTTTAGAAAACCCTAAGAAAGCAAAGCAGCCCAATCCCAGATTCTTTCTTCCCTCTTCTTGTTTCCTCAGCAACAAAACAAAATGCAAAAGGGGCAACCAGAGAAGTTATAGAAAAAAGGCTATACCAGCTTCCTCAGCTTTTCTTGAAGCCAAAACGTTGTAGAACCCAGTTGTGCAACGATCCTCCATTTCACCCAACATATCTTTGATCCCTTCAAAAAGATAAACCCAGAAACGGAAATCGTTTCTTTATCTCTGTCCTTCTTCGGAATGTCCCCAAGAAACTCAAAACCCGGTAAGAAATTCGCCGCTTGAATTCACAGACCAACCCAGTAAAGAAAGTATTCAATGTCTTCCTACCCAATCGTCTTCTTGGCCTGCCCTCTTCACACTTACCTCCCTCCTTTCTTCAGCGGAAGAAAAATGGCGGAAAAACTCAATGAGAAGATCCCGCAAACGAAGAGCAATTACTCTGTTTTTGTTTGACTACTACAAACAAAATTAGGAAAGGCGGGCAGCAGAAGCTAAATACCAGGGTATAGATTTTTGGGCTTCCCTTTTTCTCCGGCTACAGTGTTAATGGCTTTGGAATCCTAACGTTAAACTTTTGGGGGAAGGGGAAGAATGTTTTCGAATTCAAAATCTTGCAATGGCGATATCCGCTGTTAAATCTGGCAGTGGCGCAATCCGATCCAACGGTTGACATAAGGTCAGATTCGAAGTCAAATGAGCCACGTAAGCTGCCGCGGGTTTTTTCCCCCTTTTTTCCCACCATAGTTTTTGGGCCTTCCCTTTGTGGGCTGCCAGGTGCGAGATCCAGTTACTAATGCAGAATATAATCATTTGCCTTAATTACTGGTAATTAGTCACTAATTAATTCTGTTGATTTCAGGTTTAGTGCTCTTGTCGGTTTTCAGAGAGAGGTTTGTCAGCCTTGGAAATTGGAATTCAAAATTACAGGCTTTTCTCTTGGCTGAACTGGACGGCCCATCGTGATCAATGTTCCCACATATTGGGCCTAGGTCCGCATTATCTTGACAGAAAACATGGGTTAGAGCCCATGTTATCGCACAGAAACTTTTTGGGCTGTATGACGGGAATAAGGAACTCTCTCTTCGTTTTTTTTTTTTTGTCAATTGTAAACGTAAGGTTATGTATATATGTGATATGTCCCTATGTCACGCTCTGGACCGGCGAAGGCTCTCGGCGGAGGAATGCGTCGGAGAAGAAGAAAGGGAAAGTAGGTAGAGAGAAGAGAGAGAAAGAAGTGAGAGGGAAAAGTTGTTATTATTCACCAAGTGACCGTTAGGTTGTTACGGGCCACATTTATATACATTTGGCAAATGTCTCTTCTGATCCCTCTATTTTCTATTTATCTATTCTAAGTCCCGCGTGTTACAACTCCCTCCTCCTTCAGAACTGACTTGGCCTCAAGTCTGGAACTCAGGGAATTTCTGCTTGATCTCATCCAGATATTCCCAAGTCGCATCTTCCTCTGCTTGATGCGTCCACTGTACCAGTAATTGTGTAGCTGCTGCATTGTTCCTAGCCACAACTCTTCGAGCAAGGATCAAGGCTGGTTCCACCTTCAAACTGCCATGATCATCCAGCTCAGGCAAAACAGCCTGTGTGTGATACTGGTGGCCACGAGCACGCTTCAGGAGAGACACATGAAATACAGGGTGTATAGCAGACCCTTGTGGAAGTTTCAAACGATAAGCCACACTTCCAACCTTCTTTTCAATCTCAAAAGGCCCATAAAACTTTGGAGAAAGCTTCTGATTCAACCTGGTCACCACAAAAGATTGTCTGTAAGGTCTGAGCTTCAAATACACCCTCTCCCCCTCTTGAAATGAACGTTCAGTGCGATGAGCATCAGCCATCTGCTTCTGTCGATTCTGAGCCTTAGCCAAGTTAGCCCTTAAGACCCCAATAAGCCTGTGCTGCTGCTGAAGCCTATCAGACACAGCTGCTACAGCAGTGGAAAGAGGATTGGTGAGAGAGAACTGGGAAGGAGCATAGCCATATAAGGCTTCAAAGGGAGTACCCTGCAAACTGGAGTGGTAATTGGTATTGTACCACCACTCAGCCAAGGTCAACCAGCCAGCCCACTGCTGAGGGTTATGATGCACCATTCCACGCAAATATTCCTCCAGACAACGATTCACCCTCTCAGTTTGGCCATCTGATTGAGGGTGATAGGCAGTGGAGTAATGTAACCTGACCCCTTGCAACTGGAACAAGGTAGACCAGAAAGTGCTGGTGAACAGAGAATCCCTATCAGACACAATCGTCTGAGGCAGTCCATGAAGCTTGAAAATACCATCAAAAAAGACTTGGGCTACTGAAACAGCAGTGTAGGGTTTGGCTAAACTGAAGAAGTGACTGTACTTGGAAAACCTGTCAACCACCACAAACACAACCTCCTTACCTTGTGACTTAGGTAGGCCCTCAATAAAGTCCATGGAGATGTGCTTCCAAGCCTGATCTGGAACAGGTAAGGGCTGCAGCAACCCAGGGTAAGGCACATTCTCAGTTTTGCACCTCTGGCATATATCACATGATTGGACATATTCTTGCAACTCCTTCTTCAATCCAGGCCACCAAAAGTACCTCTTCAACCTCTGGTAATTAGCCTGCAACCCAGAATGTCCCCCTACTGGTGAATCATGGAACAGCTGCATGAGTTGCTTCCTCATGCTTCCTCCTGATCCCACATATAAAGCAGCCTTATGATACAACAGGCCCTGTTTAACTGAGTACAATTTAGGACCTACCATGGGAACTGAAGCCTCCATCATTAATGCCTGCACCACAGAATCTCCCTCATAGGTAGTCTCAATCTCAGCAAGCCAAGCTGGTAAGGTAGCTGAGATGGCCTGGCAAGACCCCTGATCAGCAAAGTTGGGGTGCCTAGATAGGGCATCTGCTACTTTATTAAGCCTCCCTTGCCTGTACTGGATCTCAAAGTCCAAACCCAGCAGTTTCACTAATCCCTTCTTCTGTATCTGAGTATGGATCTTCTGGCCTAACAGATGTTTTAAGCTCTCATGATCAGTGATAATGATAAACCTGTTCCCTTCCAGATAATGCCTCCATTTGGTCACAGCAATGAGGACTGCATGGTACTCCTTCTCATAGGTGGAAAGGCCTTGTTTCCTTGGTCCCAAAGCCTGGCTGTGGTATGCCAGTGGTCTTCCTCCCTGAGAAAGCACAGCTCCAATGCCAATATCACTGGCATCTGTCTCCAGTACAAAAGGTTGACTGAAATCTGGAAGAGCCAGTACTGGAGCCTGCACCATAGCTGCCTTCAATACCTCAAAAGCCCCCTGAGCTGCTGCAGACCATTTGAAGCAGTCCCTCCTCAACAAATCTGTTAGAGGCTTGGCCAGAATGCTATAATTCCTCACAAACTTCCTATAGTACCCTGTAAGACCCAAAAATCCTCTTAATGCTTTGAGATTCCTAGGAACTGGCCAGGATACCATAGCTTCCACCTTGCCAGGATCAGTAGACACTCCCTCCTGGTTGATGATGTGACCCAGGTAATCCACTTGAGTCTGACCAAATGAACATTTTGAGGGTTTAGCATACAAGGTATGGGACCTGAGGATTCCCAATGTGATAGTCAGGTGATCCTTATGACTAGCTTGGTCAGGGCTATACACCAAGATGTCATCAAAGAAAACCAGGATGAACTTCCTCAGATGTGGAGCAAAAATCTGATTCATAAGGGCCTGGAAGGTGGCTGGGGCATTTGTCAACCCAAAGGGCATTACTCTGAACTCATAGTGGCCCTGATGAGTTCTAAATGCTGTCTTGTGCTGATCCTGAGGATGCATCCTGATCTGATGGTAGCCTGACAGTAAATCCAGTTTAGTGAAGAACTTGGACCCCCTCAATTCATCCAGCAGATCATCAATGACTGGAATTGGAAATTTATCCTTGATGGTAAGAGAGTTCAACTGCCTATAATCCACACAGAACCTCCATGATCCATCCTTCTTGAGTACCAACAGTACAGGTGATGCATAAGGACTTCTGCTGTCTTGAATGTACTGGGAATTCATCATCTCCTTCACCAATCTATCCATTTCATTTTTCTGAGGAATTGAGTAACGATATGGTCTAAGGTTCACAGGCTGAGCATTTGGTACAAGAGGAATAGTGTGGTCACAGGATCTAGCTGGTGGTAAGGTCTTAGGCTTCCCAAATACATCCTGAAACTCATTCACCACTGATTCTAAGAACTCAGGAACCTTACCTGCATTAGCAGTCTCCACAGAGATGCTGAACAAATGGCCCACCAGAGTGGCCTTAGTCTTCTTGATCATCCTCTGTAAGGTCTTGCCAGAGATGGCCTTACATTGAGCCATGTCCTGAACTCCTTGTAGGGACACCTCCTGCCCTTCCCAGTCAAAGAACAGCTGCAAATTAATGAAATCAAACTTGACTGGGCTAATAAGTTTCAACCAGTCTAACCCCAGAACTACATCATTCGTGCCCAAACTCAGGACTCTCATATCAAACATGAATTTGTGACCTTGCATCTCCCAGCTGAAATCCTTACAGATCATCTTACTCAACAAAATAGTCCCATCCGCCAACCTAACTCTCAATGGAGTCTCTGCCTGAATCAACCTGCACTTAAGATCCTTAGCCTTCTTCTCACTCAAGAAGGTATGTGTACTGCCAGTATCAATAAGCACAAATATCCTCTCATTTTTTACCTTGCCTTTAACAATCAATGAATTGGATAGACCCCCACTGCTTAGGGCGTGCATTGATACCTCCACAACATCTGGCTGCTGTTCTTCTGGTAAGGCTTCATCCATGTCTTCCTCGTCCACTACACTCCAGTCCTCTGGTGCCAAGATCTCTCCATCTTCAGCCTGTATCACATTCAGCTGCTTCTTAGTATCACATACATGGCCAAAATAGTACTTGTCTCCACACTTATAACAGGCTCCTTTGGCATAGTTAGGCTTGTTACTGGTCGAAGCCTGTGTTTTGCCAATATTAGGGCGACTGCTAGGCCCTTCCCACTTTCTAGCACCAGAGTTAGTACCCTGTCCCACTGGTGGCATTGAACGCATGCCACTGCCCAATCCAAGTCGCCATTTTCGCCTATTAGCTTCATTTGCTGTCTCTGCCAACTGTGCCAATTGAAATGTATGAACGAGAGTTACCGGCTGCCACATCTTGATCACCGGCCTAAGTTCCTCCTCTAATCCACTGACAAAGCTGGAGATGAAATATTGCTCCCCCAAGGCTGGATTATAACGAACCATTTGCGACTTTAACTCCTCGAATTTCTCCTGGTAATCGGCCAATGAACCTCTCTGGCGAAGCTTATTGAACTCCTCCACGATGCTGCCAAATTCCCGATCACCGAACCTGCCACACAAATCCCGCACAAAATCGTCCCAAATCCAATCCCTGTGCTCCAGTTTCCAACCTTCAAACCAAATATCTGGACGGCGATCAAAGTAAATGGAAGCCATTCGCACTTTCTGCTCATCAGGAATTGCGTAAATGTCGAATAACTTCTCACACTTCCTGATCCAATCCCTAGGATTATCTCCCCGAAACTGAGGAAAATCAATGCGAGGCAACTGAATCTGA